AGAATGGACAAGCCTGTGTGATTGATCAAAACCAACACGGATTGCAAGACCGATGAGGCAACATTACATAGAATCTAGAATGGACATGCCTGTGTGAGTGATCAAAACCAACAAGGATTACAAACCTAGTGAACATGTAGAATGATGTAGGATGGACAAAGCCAGGTTGATTGGTTCAGGATGTGGGGCTATTGCTGCGAAGGAGCGTGTAGTGAAACTTGCCGACGCAAACGCGGCACAACAGGAGCGCCCGGACGTTGTCCTGGGCAATGCGTCCGAAAGCAAAGCCACGCGAACCAGGCGCCCTGGGCCCTTTGATCCCTTTTGCAGGGCATTCAAACAATGTCGGATGACCGTTTGTTGCCACTGTGCTCACGGTTTCCAGGCTGAGTGAGTTGGCCCCAGCCCGCTTGGCCAGCCTGCGGAATCCATAGATACAGTACACCACCCACGGCGAAATCCGTGCCCTGTTCCAACTCGTCCGAGCGTCATAATGCCCGCCGGGCTCATCTTTCGCGTACTCGTCGGCCTAGCCCATTCGGCCCGGTTCAGGGATTCAGATCCGGGGCGGATCGGCATCTCATGGGACGGCTCCTCATTGGAAGCATCATCTGATCTCCAGCACTTTTGAGAAACCGATCGGCCGCTTCAGTGGCTTCAAGTGACTTGAACAGTATGAGTCGGTCGGATTCGGTTGGATGAATTCATCCCAAGGAGATTCATCAAGACTTCACCTGCCCGCCCCCACTCCTTGGTGGCGCTTTCGGTGAAGTACAGGCCTTTGCCGTACATCGTTCCTGCAAGTGTCGGAGCACGTTTAGGTGCACATGTCTTGGGGTGACGTTTGGGTGCACACCGGAGATCAGGAACATCCTGGAGAAGGATTAAAAAACCCTAGGCTTCCAACCACCATTAATTTAATAGGCTGAATCCCGAATCAACTAAGGATTTTACACTACAAAAACCAGGTCAACCATTTTTTAATGGTCTTGGAAGTCTAGGGAAAACAAATGTGCTCTTGATTTTGTATCAACCCCCCCATATGAAGGGGTCTTAAGTCTTACCGTTTTCACTCCGAATGGTTGCTTTCTATTACCTCAAGCGTTGACCTTTTCCGAAAACGCGGCCCGGTCTTAGTCTTGCCACTCCGAAGGCCGCCCTTCGACGCTAGGGGCCGCGACAGCCCCCCCCCCACCAGCTTGAGAAGCACTAATTAATGTAGCTCTAGGAAGTCGAGACAACCTTCTAAGCGACCAGGTATTGTCTCAGGACCTTCGAGAGGACCTCAGACCTTCTAAGAGAAGGAGCTACAATATGTCTAATTACCAGGACCGACACCGTTCGTGACCGTCCGAATGAGATCCCAGTGGCGGGTCGGTCACGAGTTTAGGCCTTGAAAAGGTCACATCTACCAATCCTGAAGAGGTCACTGAGAAGGTCCTGGTAAATAAATCTTAAATACTAATCTCAACTGGCTCTCCACCCTAATAGTACAAGGAACCTAACAGCGATGGCCTCCAACCTACTAGCGATGGCCTACAACAATAAACCAACCCAGCAAGGCTTTCGGACAAAACCGGGCCGTGCCGTTCTTGAAACCTCCCGATGGAAATCCTATGGACTCCCATCTGTTGCCAGCTTTGAGTTGAGGAACCCAGTGACTGGAGAGAGAAATGTGCTCGGTGGTGCTGAATTGAAAATTATCTTACGTTACATCTCTTATCTTAATTGAAAATGATGTATTAATATACAGTATGTTCTATATGTTTTGTTCTTTGGGGTTCACCATGAATGGTTCAATCAAACAAAGAGTTGAGCCTCCTCAGACCTGGCCTGCACCAGACCCAGCAAAGGTGAGATTGAAGTCTTCCTGAGCAATTTGTAGCCCAACTCGCACCTGTGTGCCGTGCCACAGGTACACCTGTGCGAGGCGGCATGACAGTGTCACAGCTTTACAGGTGTGTCCAGGTAGCTCTTCAGAGTGGGAGGAGGTGAGTCTAAAGTCTAAACCACTTGAGATGGTCCTTACTAAATATACCTAGACCTGCGAGTCGCCTGCTACTCCTCATCAGGTCAGTGGCTTCGAAAGGCCCCGAAAAACGAAATGCGCGCCTCATTCAACTCATCGTCCAGGTCGCACAAAACTCCATCCGAGGAGTGCTTGTTCATCCACTCTCGTGTGAAGAAGGGCGGATCGGGCACTTCACACTTCTCACCTCAGCCAAGCAGGGGGAGGCTCCATGCGCCGCTCCCTGGACAGGACAGGGAGCAGGAGAGCGCTTGTCTAAAGCCTCACGGTGATCTCAGTGGCTTTCAGAATTTTTCGATGGCACCCCAAGATGTCTTTTCCAGAGTATGATCCACCATCACAATAGTTAATAATAGTAAATAATATATATATATATAATATGTGTTGTATTTCAATCATATAGGAGTGGATTAAGGCTGCCGGTATTTGATGGGGGTCCATATGAACCACCTTCTGGGCTTATGCCATCGACTCTCAACCCACAGCAGCTCAGGACATTCGACCAAAGCAACATGGCCAAAATGGCTTGGGTCGAGCCCAGAGTGGGCAGTCAGCAGTCTGCTTGAAAGTCACAGTGCCAGAAAAATATATGTGTTTGGATATGCAGGTGTTCAGTTCAAACATTCAAAAAGAAGCTTTCAGACAAATTTGGTCGTGTTTTGGGGCTATTTTGCCTGGTGTTGGTGTTCCTCAAGTTCTGACAAAGCCATTGGCTTCTGCCGCTGCGGCGCCTCGCTTCTCAATCCGCTCCTGTCGGATCTTATCTCGTCGCACGATGTAGCGGGTGAACATCTCCTTGGCTGCGTGGGAATGAACTGGCCTCCAACCTAGTAGCTTCTTGTTACTATCCAGTAAGGCACTTGATACTAGAAGCTCAGAAACCGAGATGCCAAAGGCATCAGGTACAGAGTTCTTTCCGGTCACCCCGGGAAGCTTCCAGTCACCACAGGAGTCCTCCACTCTCGAAACGGCCACGGATCCCCCCAAAAAAAAGACATTGCCATACATTGCCCCGAAATTTTCACAGGTCTTAGTCATCAATTCCTTTGCCAATTGATCCGCTGCAAAACATGTGCATAAGTGCTCACTCTCATCGGTCATATCCCCCGTGCTGCTCTCGTGAACGCGAAGTCATGACCCTTGTCGAAGACAGGGTTAGTCGTCGAAGCGGACCGTCGGAGTTCACTGCAGCTAGGCCTCGGAATCTTCCACGCGGATGACTCGCTTCCTTGGCTGCGCGGATGACTCGCGTCGAACGCGGGTGAAGAGTATGTGTTGAGAAATCACATTGAGAGAGAGAGAGAGAGAGTGAACTATGCACTCCCTCGCTCCCTCTCTCTCACTCTCCAGGGTCTAGCATGGTCTAGCTGTCTAGACCAGCTGTCACTCTGGACGGAAGAGCTATGCGCCAGTGTTTCCTCCAATTTGCTCACCCATTGCCTCATCACCCATGAGTCACCGGCAATGACTCTCAAACGTGCTGCTGTGCAGCGCACCCCGTGAGAGCCCCAAAACTCCCACCACCCTTCCCCCCAGAATCCGCCCCAAACGGCTCCTCTTCCACCCCAAAACGACCGCGCGGCACGTTCCAAGCGTCACTTGGAAGTCCGTGGGCAAGCCGGGGTCACCACCTGGTTGTACGCAAGGGCAGCCGCCACGCGTCTTGTCGTGCTTGCCCGTGGGGCACAAGCGGTCTTGCGTCGGAATGTCCCGGTAGGTGAACGTCACGAGTTCCTCGGCTTCGAGGAACGGCCCTCGCCACGCAGGCGCGGAGAACGGTGAAACCGTTGGTTCCAACTAACTAGCTAAGTGAGCAAGCCTCCAGCTCCAGCGCTACCATGCTCAAGCGCCAACCAAATTTGGACATGGATTGGAAAGAATCTGTGCTTCGCATACCAGCCCAAGAAAAAATCATGTTGGTCGTTCATGGTCGTTCGTGGTCGTTCATCTCTTTCGCAACGAACATGTGATGTTGCATAGGGCATAGCTGGATGTTGAGGTGGAGAACCGACCGGCATCTCCATCCAACAACTCTCCGGACTTGGAGAAAGGAAAATCCCAACTGGCCCTCCACCCTAGAAGGAAACCTAATAGCCATGGCCTCCAACCTACTAGCCATGGCCTCTAACCTACTAGCGATGGCCTCTAACCTACTAGCGATGGCCTCTCCCTCCATCCCCCTCCTTCATAGCCACAGACTCTTGAAACTGCCGCATGTTTCCCTGCGAGACGTACATGAGCTCATCAAAGGTCAAGTCCTCTGCTCATCACGGGCCGTTCACGTGAAAGAACGGTGAGACGACAGGTGAACTCAGGTGAACGAAGACATTCCGTCACAGATGGGAGTCGTTCGTCGTTTGACCTTGGCGGTGTCAGTGAATCAAGCTGTCACCGTTCAACGGGCGCGCCGTTCGAAAGGGCGACCGAACCTTGATCCAACCCGGGAAGGAAAAACACAGCGATATTCCAAGCGGCGAGGTGCGACGACGTACCGAAGAGGATGTGTTGTTTGGTCCGCATGCTGCATCCCAAGCAGGTATGGATCTCCGCCTCTAGAGATGTTATACTACTCTCATGCCGAGTCTTCATCCTCCACCGACTTGGGACGCGGGGCTGTTTCCCGGAAGCCGAGGACATCAAGAGCGAAGCACGGGCGTCCGCCGAGGGCCAAAGCTGTTAGGGCTTCTTTCAAGAACGCCATTGGGCCGGAAAACAAGCCTAGCTGAACTAAAGAGTCCACCCTCCAGGTCCCTCAAAGCCCAGCTCGCACTTCACACATGGAAACCCATGAGTCTGAGGATTCGCTGCAATGAAGCGATTCAGCCCAGTCAATCCCGAAGCGGAGAACAGCAAGCTCAAAGAAACTGGTCAACCAAGCATCTTCTCTGGATGCGGCATGGTAATCTACTTCCTCGGCGGTTCGGCGGTGCGCAAATCACGCCATCGACATCCCCTAGCTGGAGTGGAGGAATATGAATCAAGCCACAAAGACCACACTTGATCAAGCTGATCCATAACCATCGAACTCCTTTGTTAAAGCACAGGTCTTGATGGAAAAATGCAAAACTGCTCTCAACTCTTTGAGCTGCAAGTTGAAGCGGCAAGTGACAGAAAAGAAAATTCATGGATGATTCCGTGATCAGGGGGAACCTGACATGACAACTACGAGAGTTCTAAGTTTCCAAAAACGAGCCAAACACTTCACTCAGGGATCCTGGAAGTATATATTCCATCAACTGACCTAATTAATGGTTGTCCAGGCCATCTGCCGAGTCCAAAATGCCGTGGGCCGCCCCGCTGCCCGAGCTTCAATGGCATCTTTAGGGCCGGTCCAATACTTTGGCAGGCTATTGTAGGCATCGATGGACCTAGGCGATGGCGCGTTCGTTCGAAATCGACGATGGGCGGCCGCATCCCTGGGCGGCCAGGGATCGGGAAAGGCCAAGGGAAAGCCATCGGTGACGCACGCGAAGCCTCTCCAAGGCCCAAAAAATGGCCCAGAGTTGGAAGTCTCGTTCAGGTCCTCTGGACTTCGGACCTGAAAACCTGAGTAGGTCAAGGATGATTGTAGATTTGACCCAAAACAAAGGAACAGGCTGCGTTCCAAGTCGCAAGTCTTGTAAGTTGCGCATCACTTGCTTCCGTTCAAGAGCTGGTCCAAACTCCCCCGAACTAACTACTTCACTACTTGAACCCGGGTGTGTTTTGGCGTTGCCAAGTCGCAACGGGTTCAATTCCTCCTTGCTGTGCGTTCGGAGCAGCGCCTTGCCACCGATCGTCACCGCCGTGGGCCCAGCACTGGAGACGGGAGCTCCCCCCGTGGCGCCGGTGGCGGGCGTGACGGCGCCCGGGCGGGCGCGGGCGCTCCGGCGCCGCATCACGGCATAGAGGAAGTAGCTTCTGGGCCGCAAGGAGGCAGGGTGTTCAGTGGTTTGAGATGGGGGTTTTTAAGCCAGAAGTTGCAGCTGTGTTTGGGGTCGAAGCGTTTTTGATGGTCGAACGTTTGACCAACTGCTTAGAGTGGATGATCGGACCTGGCCAGGCCTGTCCCAAAAAGGCCGTGTCAACCCCCCACGGTGGGGGGAAGGCGTGTAGGCACCAAACTGGTGGATGCAACCCAAGTCACATGACCACGACTCCGCCAATGGTGCCAAAGATCAAACCTCGCAAATTGCTGAAAACAGTCAATCATAAGGTGATCGGTTGAAAGCTCAACCATGTTCATCCAGAGAACTCACCTTTGAAAGAGTGGTTCTCTTCCAGAATGCCTTCTGGTCTCGGCCAGATCAGGGATTCGGCAACCAAAACTCGCCGCAGCAGTTCGCTGCCAAGAAGCCCAAGATCACTCCAGTTTCATCCTCAGGCGTAGGAGTGGTCTGCACACCTGTTCCTGCTTGCGTCGTCTGTGGCACGGTCGTGGGAGCTCCCGTCGTCGTGGTCGTGGGCGGTGGCAGCTCTAGATGGCTGGGGGGCACGTCCACGCGCGAGAAGGAGGAGAAGATTCCCACATCCGCCGTCACACCCTGCAGGGCACTGGAGTCTGAAAGAAATCCCCGAAACCACGGGCAACAGCAACATTCAATGAAACAGCTTGTGCCCAAGCAAACGCTGGATCCCAAGGGTATGATCTTTCTTGGGATAGCTTGGTCAAAGCAAAGCTACCGGATCCAACGCGATCTGCGACATCAGGGTGCTGCTGAGGAGGGGCAAGCCTTGGCTGGGCACCAGCTCTGCCATGCAAACGGAAGAAGATTCCGAGCCTAGAAGGACCACCCTCGACCATTGACTCATGACATGGGTCACCAGTTCAACACCCCGCAGGGATCGTGCTGGCATCGTGCGGGGCGCCTTGGCCCAGAAGAAGAAGCACACCTTCCGCTCAAGAAGCCTACTAGTTTACTTCCGGGTATATCCACAATACCTTCTCAGAAGGTACGACTGGACCCTCCAAACCTGCATACCCTAAGGAACCCTTGTTATAGAGGGTTCGACCCCTTCTAAGGAGGGTCCAAAGATCCTTAGGGTAAGATATCATAAGAGAGTGTCCCATCACCTTGTCACAATTGTGTGTGGATCCGGTTCTGACATGCTGCGCCTCACTGGGTGGTGACCACGCGAAAACCGGCCGGTCGCAAGGTTGGGCCAGTCAGATGGCTGATGCAAGGGTTGGGCCCATGAAATTCGGGCAAGAATGTTTAGACACCAGCTGGGTCTGCCAGGACCCCTAAGGGGTGGTGTCCATTCCTTAACAGCTAAGGGGCTATAAATAGACACCCCTTCGAGGGTCCTGGTGGGTGATGATCATTGACATACAGAAATCCCCCGAAGAACTGGATTGTTTCGACACCACATCCTGAAGCATTACACCGCTCAAAGCCTCCAACCCGTCCGAAACCTCCGAACTGCTGGCCACGACACTTTGTCGCATCTCCTCCAGCTGCGCCTGCACGCTGTTGGGCACCGCAGCCACGTGGGGTCGGTCCACGTAGATCTTGATCGTCACGGTATAGGTGAGGATCCACACCACCCTCGGGTCGTCGAGTGCGGACTGATCGACTTGCAGTCCCGAAGCCCGAAGAACTGTGGCTAAGGGCAAGACTGCAAGACCAGATCAACCATGGTTCCATGTTTCAAGTGGTCTTGGAAAACTAGAGTTAGAGTCTCTCTCTCTCTCTCTCTGTGCGGGCTTAGCTCTCTCGCCCCTCTCTCGCCCTTGGAAGGGGTCAGAGAGAACACGGAACACGCCGAACACGGCCGTGCTCGACGTCGGGGCGAGGACGACGTCGGGACGTCGGGATCCGCTTGGGAAGGCGGCCGTGCGCTGAAACAGGTCCGGAAAAGTGACCTTCTTGAGTGAACAAAGAAAGTGGGCTGGCGCATGTCCGTTGAGTCATCTTGAAATGTGCTACAAACCCAGAGGTCTATGTCAATGTACAGCTGATGACGGTATTAACTAACTACCTTTTTCCACTAGTTCTTGTTTAGTGGGGAGACCATTCTCCAAAAAAGGCTAAAGGTTGCTCACTATTCCTGGTTGGCGGACAAATGATGGAACCGTGGATCCGCCTCCAAACCCTGGGAGGAGGGTGATTCTGGATCTGAAAAAAGTGTCCCCAGGCACTCTGGAGTTCGATTTGTCTTTATTTGTCTTGATCTGAAGATGAAGGGTTTCCCCCCAAAAACAAATATATATATATATATATAGGATGCAAACCACCATTGATCTAATGGGCGTAAGTCGAACGCAAGGAAAACTGTGCAGCGGCACCACTTGTATAAGACCCGATCGATGATCAGCTGCAGTAAACCCGTGCAAAAATGAAGGAAGCGGAGTTCGCCAAGCACAAAGTAATGTGATTCAGACACCTCTGAAATGAGTGAAATCACAGCCAGAAGGGGTTTTCATACATCCACCGCCTCCTCTCTCCGCTCCATGGAAGGAAAATCACAGATCTTTGGGTTCCCCCCATTTCACGGCCCAAGGCTCAGCCTTCGAGCATGTTCGGCCTCGGCGCCCAGCCGGCGACGGAAAGTCTCTTGGAGCTCCACCTCGGGAAGAGGGAGGAAAAGAAAACAAGCATGGCGTTCGGAGATCAAAGCAACGTCCTCCAATTTGGCCAGCTCTGTGCGACAAACAGCCATGTTCGAAAGGTGTTCAAAGCTAGGTCCGAGCCAGCTGTGGAGACCACTGCGGCCTCCATCACCCTAACCGTGTCTCCCCCGTGAGCGGCGCCGTCGTCCATCTTGAAATGATTCGAGACTGAGTCATACAAACTACGGGCACAATCACAACAAGTTCCTCAAGGCGACCCAGCATACAGAGACATATATATATATATATATATACGAGTATATTATATTATATATGTGCATATTTAAAGAGAGAGAGAGAGAGAGAGAGAAAAAAATAAATAAACTAAACAAATACATACGAAAATCCCTGCAGATTCTGCGTTCCTCGCTCCATGGCGGGAGAATTGCAACCATTCACACAGCGAAGGTGGGGGTCGGCAGAGCGGGCCTAGCTTGCTCCGCCCACCCCACTGAAAACCCTGCAACCCGATGCTGACAGGGCAAAGAACCATGTGCTTCGGCAGCCCCAGTAAGGAGGCGAGGGCGGCTGCCAGTTGCCCTTTCCACCAGAAACCAGAGCAGCCGTTCACCTTAGTCATGTGCTCTGAATGGTGTTCAAAACCATTATGCTGCCGATCGGCGACATGACGACCTGACTGCGAGAAGGGGTGGGTTCGGAGCCCTGCTCTGAATTCGTGTGGGGCTGCAACACGGAATGTAACATACGAGAGGGCCACAATGCCAATAAAGGATCTTGCTAGTCGCCCGTCTTGTTCGAAAGCAGCTAGCCCAGACTCTACTGAGAGAAGTCTGAAGATCAGAAAACCACATGTTCATCCTTTCTCATCGCATGGCCGAACATCACCGTACGCTTTCTTCCGGATTGCTGAGGTCGGATTGGTCAAGATCTATTTTTTGGCAAAACTGAAGTGGCACCACGAGGAACACTGCCATTCCCCGCTGGGCACGACGTGTGCTTCGCGCGGGCCCTGGGCCCTCAACTCAACGCGGCTCGACCTCCACGCACCGTGAGAAGCCGAGCCGCCACGGGCGTAATGGTCTCAGAGCAATCCACGTGCATTGTTCCAGTCATGGTCACCTGAAGCGTTGGCCGGTGAGACCCCAAAATCAGCCAGCTCACCGACCTAGAAAAATGTATGTAAACAGAAACGAAAACTGACCCCAAACTGCTCTAGAAGTCTAAGGTCTAGAGGTGCAGAAGATTTAGAGATCCAGACGTCTTGGGATCCAGAGAGGGATATAAAGGCCTAGGGAGAAGTGCAGAGGTTTAGAGCTCTTGAGATGCAGGCTGGTCATGAGATTCAGCACAGAGATCTAGAGGTCTAGAAACATAAAATCGCCTAGACGTCCAGAGATCTCGAGGTCTTGAGATGCAGAAGAGAACTGGAGGTCTAGGCCTAGAGTTCCAGAAGGCTCGACGCCTGCAGGCCGAGACCAGGCAGTCTTAAAATCCAAGAAAATCTGGAGGTCTGGAGACCTAGAGTTCTAGAGAACCAGAGGTCGAGATCCAGAGGTCTAATCTACAAATTTCAAGGTGCAAAGCTTGAGAGGTCTAGTGGTCTAGGGACGCAGAGGTCTAGAGGTCTTGAGATCCAGGCTCTAGAAGCCTAGAGTTCCTGCAGTCTACAAAAAGCTAACGGCCGAGATCGAGGTCTAGAGGTATAGACATCGATCTATATATAAAAGCCCTAGATCTAGAGACAGCCACATACTGCCACCAAGTCTACATGCAACGTTCATAAGCGCCGCCCCTGCCACAAAATCTGCACTTCCACGTAACAAAATGCTTCGCCTGGGATCTTTGCACGTCGAGGTTGACAAAATGCCGTGCCTGCCACGACATCTGCACTTCGAGGTTTGCAAAATACTGCGCCTGCCACAAAATCTACACTTTCGCACCCACAAAACCCGGTGCCTGCCACAAAATTCGCGCTTCCTGGTCCACAAAGTGCTGCACCCGCCACCAAATCTGCCACGAATTTGCCACGAATCACACCGCACCCGTGCCAAGGTGTGCTGCAACAAGTTCCACAGAAAAGATCAAGATGCCAAAACGCAGCTTTCGCTCCAGACTTCCGCTGATTCCTGAATGCGTCTGCCGCGAAATCTGCACATCGAAGTAGAACCGCTCCAATGCCCTGCACCTGCAACGAAAGGCTGGCTTTGACGAGGTTCCCCCTGCGCCTGCCACGTACAGTGGGCACCAAGTCCGAAAATGTCCACAGCAACACAATGAGAGCGCGGTCGAGGAGAGCACCCGCTCGGGCCTACAAGATTCTCCGAGACTTCGCAGTCCAAATGCAATTTGAAGATTTCTAGGTGAATGAATGCACTGTAAATAGCAGCGAATTAGCCGGACATGCCGATGGAGCACCTCGATCAGACACCCGGCCTTAACTATCTTAACTTAACTATATATTACCGTAAGTCAAGACAGCTGCATAACTCGCTCAGAAAGAAGAAACAGATATGATAAGAAGAAAGCCCATGGCCTATAGATCTCAAACCCCGCCGGTGTCCCACCTGCCCCCCACCTACCAAATACCTACGACCTACCAGACCTGCCTCGCTCTCTTCCGCCAGATTCAGCGAGCTCGGCACATGCCGGAAGGCCACGCTGTTCCCGAAGCTGGTGCCGGCCTCGGCGCACCAGTTCGGAAGAGAAGTGCTCGGGGCGACCTGTCGTTTGGTGCTAGCCGGGGGGGGTTCTTGCTGTTCTGTTGGGCGTTTTGATCGAATCCATGGGATGCTTTTGGGCCTTGTCCAGGTGGTCTTGGAGTTGCCTTGTTCTTGGACCCCCAGAGGTTGTTCCAATGTTGAAAGCTCATGTTCCATCTGTGACAGCTAAGGCTAAGGCTACCAGGCTGCTCAGTCCAGGGTCGAAGCTTCCGAAGCTCTCCTCAGCGACCGCGAGACTGGTTCCGATGCCCGAACCCCGGGAGAAACAATAAGAACCCACTGAGGTCCACCCACAGAACCACCCAAAATGTGTGTCACCCAAGCGCCCGCCCAGCGCAGTTCATGAGCTCATTGGCCTCAATATGCCTGTGCCTGGGCGGTGTGGACAGATCTTTCCTCAAGTAACCTACCTTTGACAGCAACCCCCTGTCAAATTGACCACCTGTGGTGCGGATTTGCAGCTGGAAAAAGGTGTTTTGCACGAAGATCTGATCTGGGGGAGCAAACCCTTAGGGCTTGCTGGCCGCCCCTCCGTTTCAGCTCGATGGTTCTGGTGGGCGCCAGGGGGGGGGTCGGAGCCCACCGGTCCCAGCGTGATGGCAGTCACCCCCAATGGCCAGCCCGACTCCCGGTGACCGCAAAACAAAGGCAAACAGCCGGGGCGCCCGAGTCTTTCTCAGTCCGCAACCCCCTCCCCCACTAGCTGGTGGTGATAGGGGTCAACAACGGCGGTTGATAACTGTTGCAAACCAGTCCAGAGCAAATCCACGCATCAGTGCCCGGGCCCCTTAAGGGGTGTCTAATTACAGGTCCTTAGAGGTGTTTCGGGGTATCCATTAACCACCCAAAATGGCGGGGGCAATCACCTTTAGGATGGACAGCCAGAAAGGAAGAAAGGCACAGAAAAGCTGTGAAGAACAGAACAAGCAAATGCTCTTGATTAATACACCCTCCGTTTGAATTGGAAGTCCTCTTCATATGGGGGCTTTATGCATCAAGAGTCTACATGAATGCATCGAACAGGGATGAAAAACGGAATGTAACACCGCCTCGCGAAGGTCCATGCGCCTGGAAGTCTGCCAAGATTCCACCTGGCTCTGGGGGTCTAACCGAAGCTCCCAACCCTGGGCCAAGCCCGTGGAGGAGTGCACCACGGCGCACATCACAGAAGTGGTCTCGGGGAACACCGCCTGAGCCGTGGAAGACGGAGCGGTGCAAGACCACGTGCGCGAACGCTGGGCCAGGTCGTGCGCAGCCATCTAAGCCATCGTGGCAACCAGCGACTTCACCAGCCGGTCCCCAAAAGGAACTCAAAGAAACGAAGAAAACACTCCCATAGACTCCATGGGACTGCCATAGGACTGCCGATCAGGCCAGGGGTGGTGCCAGGGGGGTCAATGTAGGCAAAAATGGCATACATGGAGTCTATGGGACTGGAAGACCGACGTGCTCCGACTTTTGCCTGGAAAAAGCCCTCGTCCTCCACGCAGTTCGGCAAGCCTCAGCCCAGGGTCGGAGGTGACATGGACTTCAGGCAGGGCCTTTCTTTCATCGTGCATGTGCTTCTGGAGGCTCGGGATTTGATCGGGCCCTGGGGAGGCTCCAACACGTGATGCCTGGGGATGGTGCGGGCACTAACAAGTCCCGTCCATGAAAGAGTGGATGTTTCACTCGGGGATCGGGCTCCAGCGCCAGCTCTCCTCTCCTCAGCTCTGATCGTGAAAGCGCTTGCTTCGCGCGGCAGCCGGCAAAACGGCCGGGCAGCAGGAAGGTGTATAGGTCATCGGCGTCGTCCAGCTGGTGGAGAGGTTTTGTCCTCCGAGCATCGAAAGACTTTCCACCGGCACGGCGTCCCATCCGGGCAGACCATCCCGGCACCGTCCAGTCAGTCCTCCGCGAACGGGAACCCGCACGCGCCGTGAAGCGCCATTCCAGCCAAGAGTCCGTAGAAGTCGACTAAGCTTGTGGGAGTGAGGAGCTGGGTACATCCTGGTCGTGTTCAAACACGGTCCGGCAGTTGGAAGCGCGTGAGGCAAGGTGTCTTCTCTCTCTCGCTCTCTCTATCTATCTATCTATCTATCTATCCGTCCGTCCGTCCGTCCGTCCGTCCGTCCGTCCGTCCGTCTGTCTGTCTGTCTATCTGTCAAGCTCCGCTCTTTGAATCACATCTGAAGCGGCCCCTCAAAATCTGGTGTGACTCCTCAGGCATGGGATCGGATGCTCGAAAAACACGGGCCCTCCTGGTATCAATAGCCTCTTAGTGGCTAAGGGGTCTCCAACAACCACTTCACCAACATGCAGGTCCCTGCTTAGTTCGGGTTCTTCGGGTCACCTCTGGGTGGTGACCCTTGGCGCTATGGTTTTCAGAAGTGGTGCTACCATGGAAACCCTCCACGACCGTGGCTGGGGTCCTGCCCAGGTCCCTAGAAAAAGCCTTTACCCACAGCCAAGGCCCTCAAGAAAGCAAGTAAAAGCGCATGTGGACACTGGACACATTCGGTGGAACGATCATCCTATTTCTACCTGGAATGATCATGGTGACACGTGGAAATGATGGAACGGCCCCCGACCATTGCCTGGACACCAAAGATGGGTGCCGGGTTTTCTCCACTTCCATCGATGACTCCAGCTTCAGTGCTTTTCTCCAGTGCTTGGTCAGTGGAGGACGCCGGCGGGCGCCCCGGCGGACCCCGGCGGACCGCTCCTGTGTCACTGAAGAAGCTCATCCGCTGGATATTGAAGGACTTCGGACAATTCGAGTGCCTCGCGGCACGCGAAACATCGGGAAAAGGCGCGAGGAAGAAGCAGCTGCATGGTTGGCGTCTCCAAGAGAATCCATGGGAAGAATCCTTCGGACCTTTGTGGCAGTCACGTGTGTCTACCAATTCCCAAGATCTGGCAAACCCATCGTGTTTAACAATAATTAATAACAACAAAAATACGAATAACAATAATAAAAACAATAATAATAGTAATAATAACAATAACAATAATAGTAATAATAATCATCATCATCATATGCGACTCCTCACCAACTCTGGATCTCGTACGCTTCTTCGGCCCAAGCCTGGATGGACCGGCAACCACTTCTTCACCATCGGACGCCGGTACCCACAAAAGCATGGCAACCCCTCGCGCACGCCGAAACGCCCGCATTCCGAGAGACCCGGCCCCACCTGGTGTTCACGTATAGCACCGCCTCCATGGTGGGTTCGAAGCTCGGCGGCCGCTCCACGATGCTGAGGGACGCCGAAGCGGAGCCCTCCATGCGGCAGCGCACGCCCGGCCGCCCCACGTAACCTGGCGGCGTGGGCAGTGGGGGCCGTGGAGGGCGGCGGACCAGGAGTGGAGGAGCCACAAGTCACATGGAGGAGCCAGGGGTGGTGTGGTTCCCGAGGGACATGCGACGTCCGGAACCCGGCACCGGTTCACCCATGTGACTCCGGTTTTCGGTCGATCGTCCGTGATGTAAAACATGGTGGTTGGGCGGAACTGGTTGAAAAAAGGTGACGGACCGTGCGACGCTGCCATGAGGTTTTGGCACATACGAAGACAAACCGGCAATCAAGCAATGATTGGCACAACGAAACATCTCAAACACTATACCGTCGCTCGAAGGGTGCCCAGTTCCCATCAGTTCCCTTTGCATGGGATCCTCTCATGGAGAGGATCCCAATGCAATTGGATGCAGGTTGGCCCTTTTCACTACCTGCCGTTTTTTTGGTCAGACTCAAATATCATATCATGTTCTACTACGCCGACGCCAAGTGTTCCCAATGTTCGCATGGAGGAGAAAGGGACACGTTCGTTTGCCTCTCAACAAGTTGGGTTGAGGCAGTCGAAGGATTACGATGATGAACATGAAATGGCCAACGTGTGCGTCTTTGACGGGCGGAACTTGTCTTGGATAGCCAGGACATGTTTGGGATATGTTGGTCCATTAGCAAGTCGATGAACCAAGTTGGTCGCAATCCCAAGTTGCCAGCCGATATGCCTGCCTCTCTCAGCAGAACATGACCGTCGACACAACCCTTTGCCCCCCCGGGGGCCCGTGCTGTCAGGGTTGTACAGGACGGCTTCGCAAGCACCGCACCAACTGCACTTCTTCACGCAGTCCTTGGGGTTTTTCGGGCGAGTTCCAGGGGAGGTCCGGTGGCCACCGTGCCTTTGGGGAAAAAACCCGGGCTAAACAGGTTCATTGGATCGTGCCGCTCTAAGGGCGTCCATGCAGGACCCGTGACCTCCATTCCCGGCTCCAGGTACTTTCTGAGGTGTTTGGACCCTCCAAACCCACCCCAAACACCTTCTCAGAAGGTACTTGGAGCCCTAGGGATTGACCATTGGCCTCATACCAAACAGCTGGTTCCTCCACGGAAACCGTGATGCGTTCAGAAGTCTTGTCCGCATTGCCTTCCTTTGGTGACCAGAACCCGATCTGAAAAGACCCTTCAGGCCAGGACCCTCGCCCCCTCGGGGGTGTCCAATCGCCATGACCCTTGGTCCCTGTGATTCGAGGTGAAGAGCTTCACCACTCCGCCCTCGCCCCTTTCAGTCGTCACATCGACCCCCGAGCCCCCCCTTCACGCGGGTCCCGAGCTGGGCGACGGCGACCTCCCGGCATCGAAGGGTTCGATCCGGAACCCCTCAAGCGTTCCATCCAGAGGTATCCAGTGACCTGAACGTTCGGACCCGGAACACCTGGCGGTACCGAACTAGGAGAGCCTATATACTGCTGGGTTCTTCCACCTCTGCTGGGTTCCATCAGCCAAGCATCGGCCAAGTCCAAACACTCCGAATCTGCGCACTCTCCAGGGCCGGTGGATGGAACGGTCATCCAGCCGCTGCAGTCCACCTGGTCATCCAACAGTGGCACGAGCGCCGCCGCCAGGCGTTTTGCGAGCGCGCTCTGCGCGAAGTGGATTCCAGGTTTGGGAGGCCCTGTTGCCGTAAGGGTTTAGGGATCCAGTCGTACCTCCTCAGAAGGTACGACTGGACCCTCCAAACCTACATAGCGGTGTCTCCAATCACAGCACCTGACAAGGTACGACTGGATCCCTGCCGTGAGGTTTGCGCTATGTTGGACTTCCGTCTCGCCCGTGTGCAGAATCTGCCATGACAACATCCAGTCTCGGGCATGGCGACCGAGGACCGACTCATTGAGGAGTCAACGTCCAACAGCCCAGTGCCCCCGCGTGGCCCCGAGCCCGTCCCAGAAACTGGTGACTTGGCTCGTCTTGACGTCCTCAAGCCAATAGCCAACTGCAATCAAAACCAAAATACAATCATAAAATATATATATATATTATATACCCTATAAATCCCTATATAACATAACATATACAAGTCCAAAGACCAGCACAACCAGGTCTTTACCTCCTTGAGTAGGATGTTTTGCATGACGAACTCCAGTCAAATGAGGTCCTTGACCTGTAGGGGATCATCCATGTCGGGCACCCTTGACCCATCTGGTGCCAGCTCCCGGTGCCTGGTTCCCACCTCGCTACGCGGACCCCGCCTCGCCGTACCCGGTGATCTTGTCATAGGGGACTGAGGACCAGCCACAGTACCTCATTCCACGCGACCCGCGTGAACCGAAGCGTTGAAACGGTGCTCACACTGCAACGAGATCGCACGAACAGCATAGTTGCCAGGCTTGAATGTGATGCATACCCTGCCATTGCATACCCTGTCCACGTCTGTGCATGCCCGTTCTCCATTCACCTTGGGAACTCCCGGGGCCCCTCATCTTCGGGAGGACCCGGAGGCTTCTTCTGACAGTGCCGAAAGCCTCCCGAGACGCTGCGGACAAAGCCTCCTCCGTCTGCGGCGCACGCGGCGGCGGCTCCCGCGGACCCCGCCGGAGCCGCCGGACCGCCGTGCGTCTCAGGTCGAGCGGCTCGACGGAGGTGTCGGTGTTCGTGAACTGGTTGGAGGCCCAAAGGTAGGCTTTGTCGTAACGGCCTCACAAACAGCGAAACAAGGGACCCTGGGCGAAAATCGTCGCACATCTCTCTCCTTGTGTACCGCTTGCTTGGTTTTGGGCGGGGCGAAGGCATCCCAAAAGCAGCTTAAGTTGGTGGGGGTGACGCTATTGACAGGACTCGATCTGACCATAGAACCGGGTGGCAACCAAGACAAGAGGCCACCAAAAAATGTGTTTTGACTGCGGAATTCCCTTGTTCCAAGTTGTGACACATGCTAAGGGAATTCGGGTGTTCCACATGCTGGCTTCTCCATTGCCATCACAATGGGCCAACAAAATCTTGCTCCAGACCTCCAGGACTCCAAACAAACTTATATAATAATATATATATATATATAATAAGTATATGACCGAAATGGGACTGTCCTGGGCAACATCTGCCTTCATCACTTCAGACGGTCCCAAGTCACCAGCTATACCGGCTACCAAACCCCAGAGCCACCACTCAACACCCCAAACCAGAAATTTTAAAAAAAAAAAAGTATACACCATACGACACATTATGCACATAATACCGATAAATAGCTATAGAACAAATAAAAACGGCAATATATATATGTATATCATATCCACATACGTGACATACCACCAAAACCATCCAAACACAAAAAGCACTTATATAAACCCCTCACCAGCACCATGCCTAAACCTCTCCCGCGCATTCCTCTCCTCCCCCTCCGGCCTTTCCCGCAGGTGGCTGCTAAGGTGGCCCCCACCGCTCCGGCGGCACGGCGCCGGTGTGCCACGCTGTCCACGGGGATGTTGATCTCACACCTGGCGCCACCGGTGCGACCCACTGCACGGTCCGCGGTCCGCGGGCCAACCGGCCAACCCACCGCACGGGCCTTTCTTGGGGGTGCCGTGGACCCATACTTTGGTCCAATGATTTTGTCTATAACGAACCACGACCTTCTTCCCGTGTCCCTTCCCTTCGCCCGGTCCTTTTGGGCCTTCTCTCTCGGCGGACGGACCGCGTCCACCCACGCGGGGTGGGCGTCTGGGCGTCCGTGCTTGGGTGGACTGGTGTCGGAATAAGTTGGCTCAAAGGTGCCTTCCGAGATCCGTCGGGCGTCCGAGGGACGTCCGAGGGGAGAGGAGACACATGCACGCGAGTGGTGCACGGGGAAATGGTTGGAGGAGGTTTTGGATGCCCAGTTGAACGCTGAAATGGTACCAGTATGATTCATGATGAAACAGCATATCTCATACCAGTAACCGTGGAGGAGGAGGAGGATTAGTAAAGGCCTTTCTCAGAAAGAGTGATCGTCTTTTGCCGAGTGTTACTGGCTTACTGGGCAGCGCCCTAATTTAAACACACCTGCGCCCCAACCTCCCTTGGGCCACCATGGAGAATCTCCAAATATCTGACACTTGAGAGGCCGTTGGGGCACTCCGGCTGATAAAGCCGAGCAGTTCCATGTCGGAATGGTTTGGAGTCCCCAAGTGAGTGGATGCGACAGGAGCACCCCTAGCCGAATCCTCTACTAAGTCACTTGCACTCTTCTTTTAGATACCGAAGCCTTAAAGGGAAATGGTTTACTCCAGGGAGAGTGTCACAACAGAGTTTTTTGGAGTACAATCTGCGATGGGAATGGTTCGAAACGACATAAACGATTCTTGTGAAATGCTGCAATGAGTAGACTTGAGTAAACCCCCTTCACACCTTCGATACGTTTCTGGAAATTGGATCCAAACAACTCTGCAAACGGAATGCATCTCCCACATTGCACTGGTGCTCCCGCCCTTCGTTTGCCCCGTTTCGGGCTGTGCCCTGGCATACACTCGTCACCTGCCAGGCCGTAAGGCAATTGCCTCAAGGACTCAAGGAGCCACGTGCAGAGGGAGGTGAGGTGTGGAGGTGGATGAAACATCACCACCATTGCTTTAATAGCCCGAATCCTGAACAACCATTGTTTGACTCAGGATTTTACACGGTAGTATATGAAAGTATATGTATATCTACTCTTCTTCAATGGTCTTGGACGGCTCGGGTTGTCATGAAACTGACCAGATACCGGATGCTAGGAATGGTATGGTGTGAACAGTGTGAACTCACACTCGCAGCGTCACTCGCTCCATGCCACACAGCTAAGCTTTTCGACCTCCGAGCCTCTTCCACCAAAAGGGAACCACCCAAAAGAGTCCCAAAACATCTTCCGCTCCGCCCTCATCACAACGACCTCCAAGCAGCACGACAGGGCGGAGCCCACAGCGCAGGAGATGCTGAGGTCACCCTCTTGAAAAGCACCGGTGTTTTCCTCAGTTCGACTTTGTGGACACTGATGGCCCGACGGGTCATCCACTTGCAGATGCCAGTGTGTTCGTCTCTCCCACGAAGGGAGACGCTGAATCACTGCACTCCTTGGAACAAAATCCCATGGTTACGTGGATGGCACCTTCTTGGATGACCATGAGTTCTCCGAAGACCAAACAGGTGGTTTTCCTAGTGGCCACAAGTATATGTAGGACGAGCACGCAGCGAGTGTATGTGGTCACTGAGTCACCAGCCCTTCATCTAGTCAGACCCGGCCTTGGAGCAACTCCCTTCCCACAAGAAGAATCAAGCACCCAAACAGACTTGATCCACATCGATCCTGCAAGTGAGTCTCTCTTCCCAGCCAGTACCAGACACCCCGACACACTGCCACGAGGGTTCACCCTTCGGCCCCTCATGCTGTGTCCCAGAAACCCTAGACTTCCAAGACCATTACAAAAATGGGAACAAACTGGTTTTTGTAGTGTAAAATCCTTAGTTGGTTTGGGATTCGGCCTATCAATAGTGCGCCCGGAAGTGTAGGGTAATGGAAGGCGCCGATGCACTCCCCGAAATCATCGATGGCCTCCTTACATGGAGCTTAAAACCCGCCTGTGTCAGTTTTTGGGATGGCAAAATGGTGCTCAGGTCCTCCGAACTCCGGGGCGAACTGCCATGTCATCCACTTCCCACCCATGATGATTCCCATGCCGTCCGAACGTCCATGGCGGTCTCGAAGAGGTCGGAACACGTGGCCTGGAACTCAACCCGACCCCGGCGACTGGACGGCGCTCCAAAGGCAAACGAGGTCGCGATACCTTCACGGACATCCATGGACCTCTTGGTGGCCTTCTTATTGAGGGATTGCCCTCTATGAGTCAACCAAGCAGCTGGCCATTGTTCAGGCCATCTGCACATTCGAAGGGGCGAGGTGACATTTCAGTGACATATAGTGACATGGCGGAAGCCGAAAAGGCATCTGGCCGTCCCCACCCCTCTCGAACCAACTGAAGCTCGTTCCGACATGTTCCAACTCAAACTCTCAGCTCTTATCTGGTCCCATATAGTTTGGATCACCCTTTTGTCCCAAAAGTTCTCGGTGCTCAGTAGCTGCTCAAAGTCCATAGCTGCTACAGTATCCCTTTTGCTCTCTTTATCTCACACACACATCAAATTTTCACTGGCATAGACCCGGCCAGATATTGAAAAGTCAGAAGTAAGACCTCCTAGCACGTTCAGCTCTCGGGGGGGCTCATCGTTTTGGAGCACCGTGAAGAGCACCACCCCGCGCAGCGCACCGCCGCGCGAGGCAACCGCCTGCGCCAGCGTGATCTGCGCCCCATCGCCCTTCGCTTCGCAGGTCCGCCCATCGCCGGTCGCCACCAGCCCGTCGGCGTAGGTGCCCTGGACGCTTCGAAGAGCGGCGGTCGGGCGCGACGCCGGTTTCAACTCGAAGAGTGATCGTGGTAGGGAGGAAACGCGGTGATGTCCATCACTACTATATATAAGGAAAATATTTGTGGAATCACTGGAATACCCTTATTAACCCTTAATAACCCTTATTTGTGGAATCCCTTACTATGGTGATTCAAAGTGTCCTTCCAATTCCTTTCGTCAAGCAACATGTAAATGGAGAAGTGTGAGAAGTCTGCAATGAGGACCATTGATACTACTAGTAGCACAGGACGCTACTAGGTTGGAGGCCATCGCTAGAAGGTTGGAGGCCACTACTAAGAAGCTATGAACAACGGTGCTCGGGTCCAACACCCTCCATGTTGGACCCTCCAGTTCGGTGGTCGGGCTCCAATGAGTCTTAGGGTACATGACTTGCTCTCTCAGTCGTTCAGATCCCGCCGCGACGCCACCGCGACGCCACCGCAGTTTGCCCCCACCTGGTAGGCGCCGTCGCCCGTGTTCGGCGGGATGGTGAGACATTCGATGGGCCACGTGTTGGAGGGGCAGGTGGCGGAAACTAAGCCTGGGCGATGGCGCGAAAGCGAGGGACAGCCAACACACCTGAGAGTTTGGCCAGGAGTTTGGGAGATGATTCTAGCCTCGGGCCGTTCAATGATGATGTGTGCAAAACATGATTCAACATGCAGAACCCCGGTTCTGACCTGCAGTGCCTGGACATCCCTGCGGTTTCGCCCCTGATATGGACTGCGATGCTTCCATGTTGGCCAGCACCTGGAACTGCTCAGGTTGGATTCTCAGAAGAACCGATGGATACAAGATGACAATGATACAAAGATATACAAAAGTTTCCGTAAATCTTCCCGGAGCTTTCTGAGTTACTACAGATGCCGCTTTTTGGAAGGCACCCATGGATCTAAATGCATCGCTTCCGAGTTCCAGTGTTCAGCGGTGATCCCAGGTGCCGGACTGGCCGGAGCGGAGCTGGAAGACGCTTCGTTGTGGATGGGGGTCGAGTCGGAAGGAACCACGAAACCCATGGCTTTCAGCACCAAAGCGATGGGTTTTCCGGCAGGTGTTCAGGAATAAACCCATTCTGTGAAATCCACCGCATTCTACGCAACCAACCCATCAACCAATTCTGTCATCTTCCCTTCAACCACCTCCTGGGTGTGGCCGTCTTGGCTGAGGCACAGTCATCCGTGGTGCAAGAGCTGCTGCTGTAGGCGATCCAGGTGTGGCCGTCTGGTAGCGCATAGGTCTGACCAGGAGCTTTCGTGCCGCTCAGCCGATAGACCTGAAGAGGGGGGTAGAGGTCTACGAGCCAACACAAAGCCAGGGGGGAGAGGAGGTCTACAAGCCAGACATCCGATGGGCCAATCGACCGCCTGAAGCTTTACCAAGCTCAAGTGTGAGCAGCTGAACCCCAAGCTGACGGATTTCGGGCGACAAGGGCGAATATATAAGTAGCCACGCTGCCGCTGCCACTATTTAACTTAAAAGCATCAAACAAGTTCATCAACCACATGAAATGATTGTCCCTGAACCAACGATGTCTCTCTCTCTCTCTCTCCCTTTCTATGTCTGCCGATGTACGCTGCTGCCACATTGGCTGGTGACCTCACTCTGGCAGGAGCTTAGAAGCCAACATGCCTCAGGTCGACTCAGATGGTTGGGCAACAGGCTTATTCAATTTCGGAGGCCCCACTAGTGACAAGGTAAACTGTTTGATGTGTATGCATGATCACTGTTGCGAGGAAGGAGCTTAGGAACTGAGTGGCCTGCGGCCCCGCACCAGATGGGAAATGCCCAAAAGCCTAGACCTGGACTCTGCTCCATCGGGTGCTGTAACTTGCGTCTGAACTTGCTGCCGTCTTACATGGGAGGGGCGACAAACTGGTGGGGTTTACACCTGTGTTCCTTCTTCCCAAATTTGGAAGGATCCATCTTCTGCAAGGCTCGACAACTTGATATCCTGACAGGTCGGAGCTGGAGTTGCTGCGACACCCTCAGAAAGCCACCAGGAATACGATGCATCATCGCGATGCAACCAGACTAAACTTTCGATCTTTCGCCTCTTGAATTTTGTTCGAACATCTTTCCCCACAGGGCCCTACAGGTCGAGGATCTCATCTGATTGGTCATGCACAAACATGGTCACTGAATCAATGTATATAGACTCTTGACGAATGAAGCCCCCACATTACAATCCAAATGGGTGGCTCAAAGCTCGAGAACTAGGAATTCAAGTTGATATGCGTTCATTATTTGGGTTAAGAGGTAATAAGCTGGTGAAGAATGAGAGACCATCGATGGTGAACCTCTGTCCCACTGTGAAATCCCACGTTTTTCGTCCGACCCATGTACCTTGTAGTTCGTTTTCTGTACAGGATGCATCCTTTTCACCGATCAGCACCGGGGTGACCGCAAGTGAAGACGCATCCAACTGGGGGTGTCTGATTGATCTTTCGAGTCAGCATTAAAGTGAAAGGCCATGGGAGGTCCCAAAGATTCAAATCCGGGTGCGACCTAATGATTAAAGCACCCGGAGTTTGAATCTTTGCGACCTCCCATGGCCTTTCCTTTCTCGGCACCCCATGACCCCATTTTCGTGAGGGCGTCAGGCGTTGGGGCCAAGACCACCGCGGGTGGAGCAACACCACCGCGAGAGCCCCACGGCACCGCAGAAGTCACGCGGCCTCTCTCTCGTCAGCGAAACCCATGTCCACCCGCCCAATCCTCCCGTCATCTCCCGTCCAAGTATCGGTGTTGCAATCGAATTGGATGGCGTTACATGTGGGGATCTGTCGACACAGCTCGGCACCTGGGAGCCCCATGTCAGGTGGTGGCACATGTCATGTGTTCCACCACATGTGACCACCGCAAAACGCCAAATCCCCACACGTGCCGGACAGGGAACTATACTGCTGTGGTTGTGTGCTGTGGTTGTTCTGGCGCTTGCTGTGGAGGTTCCGGGCGACGGGTGACGACGAAAGAAGGAAGAGGAGGAGAAGGAAGCGGAGGGGGAGACTATCTGAAAAATGTAACAACCCTCACCTGACAGGTGGGGAAAAAAAAACAAAAACATCCTGGTGGAGGGAAAACCGTGCGCGTGGTTGTGTCATGTTGTGTCATCTTTGACTTCGTATCAATTTGCTCAGAACCTCAAAGAACTGCGGTATACTGAGGTTCTTGAAGCATTTCTATTGAGCAAAGAAAGGTCTCAAAACTAGCGCAGTTCCACCGGGATTAGTGTTTGACCGCATGTGGGAGATCATCTATCAGGAAAAGGGGCTCCAAGTGTGAAGCGGTTTTTTGGGGTGCCTTGTTCATGTTCGTGAAGGAAAACCGAAGGAAAAACCAAAGGAAAACCAGGGAGACGAACTTGCTGGTCTTCGAAGGTATGTCGGGCTGAACTGTCCAACACGTGTTCGCAAGGAAGCTGGCACGGCATGTTCTCCCTGGGAGTCAAAGACTATAAAAAGAATGGTCTGACCTAGGTGACCCGAAAAGGAATTTCCTTCACTTCAGTCGGTCAAAATATACTGTAGTCTTTGGACTTCTAGGGTTCTTCTTGGCCATCTTGCACATTGTCAATACTACCGGTATGCGCTTCCAATCTCTTGCGGTTGGCTATGGTTCAGTTCACAAACATGCCCTTGCTATGGTTGCAAGATCGACTCACATCTTTCATGTCTGTCAAAAGTTCACCATTCATTCAAGTCCCGACCCGTCCTGTGGTACCGACCGACGAACCCATGTGGAACCGACGAACACATTGCGCGTAGAAAACTGTTGAACACTTACTGACTTGAGAACAAAATGGTCACAACACATGCGCAGGTGCGCGTGCCACGCTTGCTACACGTTATTACAATGATGTCGTAGCAGCCAATGCGGTGTGTGCATGTAACGCGGATTTTTTGCTAAAAAGACGCATTAATGATTAATTTACAACGAAAATGACATCTTATCAACTGTCAGTATGTTCCAGTATGTCAGCGAACCTGAGTGATGTTGAAAAAATGCGCACGACTACACGTACGGTTTTCCTGCCGTTGGCCGCTGTGGGTCAAAACCACGAGACCGACCGGTTGACCGAAAAACACCTGGCGTCGGTCGTTCGCGCCGGACTGGTCGGGCTGTGGTCGGGCTGCCAGGTGGGTCGACCCGTCCCCATCTCAGTTGCGTCGGCACTGTCCACTGTGGATGGAGGAACTGGTTCCAACACTTGGACCTTCCTGCGGCCGGAGGAAGGTCCATGTCCCTTTGGAACCCAAGAGCTGGTTGCTGCCAGCTACCACCTGTTCCCCCCAAAAAATAAACTGAAAGCCCACATCCCAATATATCCCAACACATGTGGAGTGTGTGTTCAATAGGGGGATGTTTTGTGGCCCAATCGGTGTTGGGTCTCTTTGCCTTCTTCCAAAGGGTCGACCCGGGAGATGATCAGACCCACGTGAGTGGTGTCCTGCCACCTGAGGGTGTGGCGCATCACAACCCCAGCAGTTAGATCTCTGCCCAAGGTGCATTGGTTGATCGTGATTTGCCCAGCCTCCCCGTAGACCGTGGCTTCGGCCTTCCAGACTCGAAGGTAAAAGTTGATCTGAACATCTACTTCGTTTGGGTCGCGTGGTCTCTTCATCTTCCAATATCTGCAAATTGATGGTTTACTGTAAGTTTTAGGCCAGCTCCGACCGGTTCTTCAGAATTGTGTCATCCTCAGTCCACCTGACTCGTGACCTACGCGTCCTCCCCGGTCTTCCTGACCTACGCGTTGGCACGCCGTTTGGACGTCGAACTCGGCGACGTTTTGGCGCGAAAGGACACCTCCAAGTCCCAGTCTCCCGAGCTCAACCCAGTCCGCCACCCAGAAGCACCCCAGTGCGCCGTTTGAAGGGGAGCAATACACCATCGCCTGATTGGAGCAATACACCGCGGGTGTGCAGGTAAAATCGTTAAAGCTGTAGAGGCCCTCGGTGGTAGGAAAGCAAGCGCCAAAGATCGTGGTGGTGGTGGTGGTCACCTCAGAAGCGCGGACGCGCTTGACGCACTGTGAGGCGTCGTCACCCAAAAGATCAGGAAGAGATGGCCAACAAATCTGAATTTGTTCGAAGACCCTCCGAAGTAAGAAAACTCTAAAAACAATGTTTGGAATGTTGCCTCCCCATCCAAAAGCCAAACAAAGAGACCTGCGGAGGAATCGAGCCGTTGGAAGGGGGCATTTCCAGTCATGGCGCGAGACGCCGCACTTCAAAGCTACGGACGTCCGTCGGCTGTGTTTGACGCTTCGGTATGGACGCTTCGGCGGGTGTTTCGCCGGTCGAGGTACTGGCCAGCCCAAGGGCGATCGGAGGTAGACGCTGCTGCCGCAGGTGGTGGCGACGTAGCTGTCGCAGCTCCTGAAGTGAGGCAGTGGTGAGGCCTTTTAAGGTCTAAAACCCTCAGCTTGACCATGAAAAGAATGATTTGAACATGGTCTTGTAGCCTGAAACCCTTAGCAACATAATGGCTCTTTGTCAAAGACCTTTAGAGCCATGCTCGTTGGCATCCCAGGGGGGACGGGAAGTCACTCGACGTGGATCTGGATGGCTGCATGGCCACCATGGTGGGGCTGCTCAGGAAGAAGGGCCGCCGCTATGGCGGAATTGCTCCCCCTAAAGATCCAGTCGTCCGGACCCTCTATGGCGGTCGGGGTCGAACCCTCTAGTTCACAAGGGTGGCGGTCGGGTCCCCCCCCCTCCATCGAAGGACGAATGGCGAGGGTCGCCACGCGACCGTCTCGATGCATCCGCGCCTTAAGAGCCAACAATCAGTGTTGCAGTTGTATTGAATGGCATCGCAATTGGAGTACCTCAGCTCATGTCTGCCGGACCTGGGGAAGGGGTGGTTGTGTCTGGACCCTTTTTGAGGGGGAGAATGTCCGGTTCCTGCACAGGTTCCGAGTTGACCGACGACCCCGGGGGGCCTTTTCAACTTGGACGGTCGTTCTCCGTTCGAAAAAATGATGCCAGCATAGACCTCAAACAGTTTCAGCATGATCTTTTTGTGGAACAGGTCACTTGTAATCCTCTTTAAAGGCTCAAAGATCGCTGGCTGGATTCCACCGTCCACTTGACGTCCGCTGGATTCCAACTCCTTGAATTCCATGAGTTTCGTGTGCCTGGACCTCCTCGCAGCCTCGCGTCCACCTCCTCGAGCTGCTCAACTCTTCGCCAAGCTGCTCTTCACACGCCGCCTTACAGGCCTGTAAGGTCATAGCGCCCAACTTCAGAGCATCATGCTGGTTGCCTTGGCATGTGCACCGGCCGGCACCGGCCACCGGCACTCAGTAGCAGTACTGGGCAGTACTAGGATGCTAAGGCGTATTTCGGGCCACAGCTAAAGGTCACCAGCTAAGGCAGTGACCCATCTGAGATATCAATCAGCTTCTGAACACCTGACTGAGGTCCAAACCCTATACCAAGAAATCCACGTGAGCGGAACCATCATCCTGTTCAGTCGCTAAATAGCATGAGCGAACGGGTCATTCGCTCTGCTTCGTTCTCCCTCTTTCAGTTAAACCAGGTTAAACCCTAACCATTCACACACTTCAAGTACTTGGGGCTGTTCACCATGCCCCCACCCAAAAAAAATGAAACTCTCTCGCCACATGCATAACCCCCCCAATACCAAACCCATCTGTGCAGCCGAAGGCGCTGCAATAGACCTGAGCTTGGCAAGTATACTTCCCATTGCTGGTGCTCGAGGGGTAGCACTCACCTGACCGCACGAGGTCTGAAGGCTGGCCCAGTCAGACTGGCCCGGGGAGGAAGGTGGACAGGTGGGTGGCCAGGGAACATGGAGTGAAGTTGACGCAGAATTGCTTGGAACAGCACTTCTTGTGGTATTCTTTTCATGCCAGCTTCACCAAACCCCGACGCTTGAAGTGGTCTCAAACAAGTGGATCAAGGGTCAGGAGGTTTTGAGGGCACACAGCCTAAGAAACTGAACATGCCAGCACCAAAGAGCACGGGCATTCAACCGAAGGTTGGGGAGACTTTGGGCACCGTGGTTGCGCCGCCCTTGGTGGGTCCAAATCGAAGGCTTGATGTTCTTGTTGACGTCACCCCTTGATTGGCCACAAAAGCTGGGGCAGGAACTGTGGTGGGCGGCTTCTTGGCTGGCGATCTCTTGGGCGACTGGACTGGGAGAATGGCGCGCTGGACTGAGACCTGGTGAGACCTGGCCCTGGTCAATGTTCCGTTCAAAGTAGCTAGCAGCTACCAGTAGCTACCAGTCGTTGGCGACCTGATGGATTCTGTTTTCCTCGTACTTTCTGGCGACCTGGGGGCGCTGGAAGAGCGGCCGAAACCGCAACAAAACTTCGAGCCGCCTTCGTCTCGGGATTTGGGATGTTCTGAAGCGCCACAAGAAGGGGGATTTCAGAGGTTCGATGGCACTGGCTAGCTTCCATCGTGTTTCAGCTTCCACGCCTCCAACTCCACTGATGGTGGTGCCGGCCTTTCAAGGAAGGCAAGGCCAGCATCAAACACCGGTGAAAACGACAAGGAGAAGGGTTGGGGGTCATTGCTATTATTATTAATCTAGGATTCAAACAACCATTGTTTTAATGGTCAGTCTTTACCAAAGAACCTTTGTTTTACTAAGGATTTTTAAACTACACCACCAGCTCAACCGTTCCTTTAATGGTCTTTGAAGGCTAGGGATTAGGTTGGAGGCCGTCGTCTGAGATTCGTGTCGGCATAGATCGCGTAACGTTCGAGTATAACTCCCTGGCTCAATCCAAGGAGCGTCACGTTGATGGCCAACTATTCCTCAATCCCACTCAAGTTTCTGTCATATCTTTCTTTAATAAAAGACAAGTTCCCCAACACCACCCACTTTTCCACAGAAAAACGAAAAGGAACACTCCAAAATGGCCCGCCCAAAAAATGAGAATTGGATGGTCTTTGTTTCACTCGCTTCATGATCGTGCAAAGAAGCTACCGGACGTCTGCTTTACCACAAGGATCTGAAGCCTTCCGTCTCCTATGGTCCTATTCCTCCTCCAAAACCAGCGCACCTGGGATGTTGACAGGGTTGTCGACTGCTTGTAGTAAACACTGCTGCCACAGCTGGTGTCGAATTCGGTGCCACAACTGACGTCCACCAGCCTTAGATAGGAGATGGACATTCGCTCGTCCCGGAAGATCTTGAGCCGATGATAGTGGGCAAACTGGGCAAACAAACTGAAGAGCTGTGTGGAACTGAGCCGATGATAGTTCAGTGAAGGAACAACCAGCAATCCACATTGCAGTCATACTGGATGCCGGTGCACCTGCAACCGGTTTTTGTCGAGCATCTGCATGTATATATAGACACATACATTGCACGTATTTTTACACGCTACACTCCGACTCACTAAGATGGAAGTGGAAACCCCCCTGTTTGTAAAGGAAAGTAGTCTTCCAAGGGGCCATTTTCCACTTCCATGTTAGTGAGTCATAGTGTCATAGTTGATATGAAAATGGACACATCATGTTTGCTTGCTATCATGTCCACGCAGTGGTGCTATTCAGCTATTCAGCTTCATCATCCCTTCACACTGATCCCGCAGCCGGAGAAAGTAACCCAGCGCACCCTGTGCGCGTATCGCACTCGGAGAAGCAATCTTGCAGCGGCATTGTACCCAGTTTCAGGGCGCTGTTCTGGTTGCTGCAATACTTGGCCTTAGCGAACGAGAGCCCACTTGACAGGCGCAACCAAAGCACCTGCTGCACCAATCCAACCCTCCCGGGCACAACAAACACTTAGATCTTCATCCAACTCTGTTGAGTACTTGCGACCAAGAATGATCGCACATGGGCAAACTACAGTGCCAATATGCCAATTGAGGGGATGTGCAGCAATGCTTTATGGCATGGCAATTTTCTGCTATCATTCTCCCTTCTGCATGTACATAAGAATGATCAGCCTTCTGCCTATAGCATCCTATAGCGCCTCAACAATGAACCCAGGCTCAAAAAGAAGGGAGCCAAAGAGCGGCGCAGCAAAAACATTCAGCGAGGACAAAAACAATCATTAACAAGGGAGTTTGGAAGAGGCCGCTCTTTCTCGAGTAGTTTGCGCAACTCCTCCTTTCCTCCAAGCTTCTCCGGAGCAGGTGTAAGCTCCAGTGTCCAACGTTGCTGGGAAGCAGGCGCCAGCGATATCAGGGCCAGTGGTTGTCGACTGCTTGTAGTAAACACTGCTGCCACAGCTGGTGTCGAATTCGGTGCCACAACTGACGTCCACCAGCCTTAGATAGGAGATGGACTTGCTGTGGAGTGGGCTCAAGGGCAAACAAACTGAAGAGCAGTGTGAGTTGAGCCAATGATAGTTCAGTCGAGGAACAACCAGCAATCCACATTGCAGTCATACTGGATGCCAGTGCACCTGGCAATCACAAAACTGCAAACGAAATGGGACCGGCACAACGTCATGGAAGGTAGCTGGGAATGAAACTGGGAGCCTAGGTGCAGTATCAATACCAGCATATATACGTATTCAGCATATGATCCTCGCATGCTAGGTAGCATGTCCGCCGCTATGCGCCGCTTCATCATCCATCTCACATTGATCCCCGCGGTCGGGAGGAATTGATCCCAGCGCACCCTGTGCGCGTATCGCACTCGGAGAAGCAATCTTGCAGCGGCATTGTACCCAGTTTCAGGGCGCTGTCTTGGTTGCTGCAATACTTGGCCTTGGCGAATGAGAGAGAGTCGGCCGTCTGATCAGTGCCAAGCATTCAACAAGAAACAAAACACCCAGCTCTGGTTTAGAGTAGGTGGACAAATCGTCAGATCATCGGCAAAAACGGCAACACCAGGAAGCAGCCGTTTCAGATGTCTTTTCTCCAAGTCTCCGCCGAGCAAGCGTAACCTCCAGTGCTCTGGGTTCCTGGGAAGCAGCCACCAGCTTGTGCAGCTGTGGTGCCAGACTGCTTGTAGTAGATGCTGCTTCCACAGGTGGTTTGCATTTCATCGCCACAAGTGGTCCCGTCGGTGAACAGCCTGTCAGCATGGCACGGTTTCGGAGATCTTCCAGCACTGGGAGGATGCAAAAGCGTCCCCACATGACTTCCGACCGCAAATCCTGGAGGACTGCGCGTTGGGACCCAGGAAACTGGGGCACCATGTCCGGGATATGCCAGAATCGAGTTGTGAAGCACCACCCTGAAAAGGACAATGGAGGAACTTTGTAAGCTGCGCAAACACATGTCAGAATTGTTGTAAGAATGAAAGTGCACAGGAAACTAAATACTACAAGCAATCAATCCTGGGTGGTTTCCTTGCATGTGTCATCTGCAACCCACTCACGTGGAATAGGGAAGTGGCCGTGGGGACCCTTTCAAAAAAACCGCCTTCCTTCACCTGATGTGTGCAAGACCAGCCATGTTGTATCATTTTGTTCTGAAAGATGCTTTTGAGGGAACTCAGTTCCCTTCCAATCGCCAAGGACCCCTCTTTTGGGAACTTTCTGCGGCCACAAACATGCGGCCACAGCACACGCAGCTGACCGAGCAATCATACTGGACTGCGACGCAAGCTGCATCGTTGGAGCCTGGCGCGGTCTCGCCACCGCGCGGACCAAGCACGTGTGTGTGTGTGTGTTTCTCCGAGTCTTTAGTGTGTATAGGTTTGGTGTGCTTTCGGCGAAGGAAAGACAGTGCAACCACCACTTTATGACACTTTGTTTGCCTGCCATGCATCCAATACTGAGTCTCAGCATCGAGAAGGATGCTTGGGCGCTTGGCTTTTGGATTGTATTGCTCGATTTTGCGCCGCCCTCAAAATTGCGTCCGTCTGAAAATGATCGCCATCATATTCAGTATGACTGTGCAAAGCATGAATGTCTTCGTTAGGGGTCTTCCAACTCTACGTTTCCCAATATGTTTGGGCTCGGCGCTGTGTTGTTGATACGGATACCTATCTATAAGGGGATCGTGATTGGGGGCCCCCAATATAAATATTATATGTCCAGCCAAACGAACTCGCTTCTCATCCAAATCCATCGGGTCTGGGTCTTACTCTTCCATTCGGATCATGCGGATCATGGCTTTACTCGGTCTCAGCAAGTTCGAAGACCCTGTCGTTCGTGCACCGTCGGTCAATATAAGTGAACTTGACCGTGCACCCACGTAGGTTGGGTTAAGCCTCCATTTTTCTGACGTATGGCCAACGAGTGAGGAACACAGGAACACCAGAGTATATAGCAGCTTGGCCTTAATTACAGCATCATATATGACCAGTTGCCATTTCTTACTGCATACATTGGAAGAAAAAACACTAAACGCTTCCAAGTTGACATTGCATCTTGGATTCGTTGAGTAATTTATCTTCTAAGGTTTACTGTATGGTTTAAGTTGTTCCCCAAGTATGTAGCATCTTGCGCTCTATCTAGAACAGTACCATCGGCAAAATGGATGTGTGCATCACGGTGCATATTCATGGAATGGCAGTTAAGTTTCAAACCATAATGTCCAGAACATTCCTCCATATGTTTCAGAATTTAATTCAATCCACTTGGGGAAGTTGAAAAGAGAATTGTATCGTCTGCGTAGTACACCGCACCGAAGTCAACCCCGGGATTCTTGAGTTTGCACCGTAACCAGAGCTGCGGGACCTAACATCGTAATCAACACACGTCATGACACTCCCCGCAACAATCATGGAAGTGGAACAGTCCGCCCCTGGTTTCGACCATTTTCCTCTACAAGAGGGCAAATGGTCGGCTTGCATGATTGTTGGAGGGAGGGTAATGGCCTCGGTGTTGGAGTGAGTAACTTCGTCGAACTTCGGACCTTCAAGGCGACCTTTTGAAATCTCCAAAGAGGTCACTGAGACCCTAAAGAGGCCACTTAGAGACTCCAAAGAGGTCACTTTGAAGGTCCTGGCGCACATCTGCCCCCGAGTGGCACTGAGCGAGGCAGTCGTTCAGAGTGCCATCGCCCGTGTTGGTGCCAGAGTCCTGATTCCTGCAATAGCGAGTTGCAGTGCATGCCTGGGTGGTGGGCGTGGCATGGCGTGGGGGACAGGAGGACACGAGCTTTTGATGAACCTTAAGCGGTCAGGCCAAGTCTGAAAATGGGCGACGGTGATAGATGTGATTCATGTGATAGATGGAGATGTGATAGCTATATACATTCTAGCACCATCAAGACCCAGACAGTGCAGCTATGCCAGCTGTGCCCACACAGCAACTGTCTAGGTGAACCCCGCGCAGCATTTTGTCAATAAACCTTTCACCATGGGCCTCATGCAGATTCGCCCTGGCAGCGTCAACTGAAGATGAGTTGCTTCCAAATTGGCCAACCGACATATCCTAACTCACTTGACATGTGCATAGAACTCCTATATGCGCATTGATCCGTCCAAGCACATGCAGGACAAGAAACCACACACCAATGTGCACTGATTCAGGGGAAATCTCTCCAAAGGCCCCTCGCAAAAGAAGAATTGATGTAAAATCCAGTGGGTGGAGGGTTGAGGGTGGAGTCGCCAATTTTGGCTGGAGTAGCATCACAGTCATCATGAATGTCTTCCCTCTTTTTTCTGTGTGTGTAGGTCTCTGGGCTGGAGCGGTGTGGTGTTGCACCACTTAGCCGGTGCTGGCTCACACTTCAACTCCTAAAATCTGGATCTACACGCGAAATTGACCAGAGTTGCAGGGCTTCAAGGCACTGAAGAAGCACAAATCCATACCACTTCCGATTCTACAGTTCAAGGAACCCCTCCGAGGTCCTAGTGCCACTTCCTCCTGCCCAGTCGCATACTCGCCGCTATCCACGGTGAAGGGGAAGCATTGGCCCAGCACTGTGGTCGTGCTCGTGGTGGTCGTCGCTGCTGTGTCGACCCAATTGAGGTCGCGATAGTAGACACTACTCTGACAGCCAGACCTTGGGAATTCTTCACCCTGACCTGGGGAGGCCTGCGGGGAAGGCCTGGAGACTAAACCAGCGGCTCCTTCCTGACTGGACCCGACGCGACGCGACTGGACCAGGTCCGGTCTGGACAGTTGAAGTGTTGGAGGTGCCTTCGTCATTCGCATGCGGAGCTCCGCACGTTCGCCTCCCGCGGCCGTGCCCCTAAAAAACGAACTCTGTGGCCATCGAACGAAGGGTTGGTTCGGGAACGGGGTCCCCACGACGAAACCGACCGCTGGAAGCAATGCCCGAAAAGGGGGGTCATAGAAATGTCCCTGTGTGCTATAATAACCTGAATGCTCTGACGAACGAGGACACGGCCATTTTCGGGAACATGTTTGTGTATATGTTTGGACTCCACTAAGGACAAGCATAGTCACACTGGACGACCCTAGAAGTCACAGAATGTCCAGGACGATTCCGGGAGGCTTTGTCACTCCGTCTTCGCTACCGGGAGGCTCCGTCTCGCTACCGCAGTTATCCAGAAGCCAGCAGTGAGTGCCACAGTCGTACTGGATCACTTTACAGTTGCGGCTCTTGCATTCGTCCATGCACGCCTGGGATGAGAGGAAACACATCGAACCCCCGTTCAAAAGAGAGCCCAGGGGCCCAGATGTTTGTGTCCTCCCAATATCCCTCAAAATCAACTCCAAGAGAGAGAGACTGCAAGACATCGGGGCGGAACTTCGTCAAGTTACTGGTGCCCGTTGAAGTTACTACATGTCGCATGTGGGATACTAAACCACCATGGAACGCCGATGTGCAAAAGTCAGCACTTAAGTAGATCTTCGTCACTTGTGACTGCACTTTTTGGGGGGACGGCGATCTCATTTCCCGCTCACCTCACCTGCAAGCTCATGGCAGCGGGCAACTGGGTGGCATAGTCCTGTCTGGAGCAGTACCTGTTGCTGACCTCACACGGCCAACGGTATGCGGCGGTCAGACCTTCACGAGTCATGGCCGGCGTTCGAGAACCCGTGCAAAGCTGTTAACGGGTTGAAGTGGGGTGGCTCAAGGGCATCAACCGACCATCCCTAACTCAAGCACATGGCCTTCTACTATCCGGTGTAGGCTTGAGAAGGCCATGTGCCTTCTCCATGGCCTTCTCAGCGTCCCACATGAATCTCAGCGCCCAGCACGCGAGCTCCTCGAAATCGTGCTCCGGAAAGCCCCACAGCGCGGGCCATCGTGAGCCCCCAGGAGCCGCGGCCCAAAGCGGGCGCCGTGGGGACTTCGTCCCAACGGCAAACGTCTTCCGAAATTTGACCCCTGATTTCATGGAAAAAACGAACATGTTTGGGGGTGGCTGGTGGTCCCGGTCACTCAATATTCTAGGTACATCTAACTCCCCAACCGGGTGCTGGCTTTTTTCCCTCCCCAATGACCCGGTGACTGGCCGAAGGGACGCAGGTGTACTCCCCGGTGTCTGTCGCCGAGCTGTCGGGATAGCAGGTTTGGGGCTCGTCGCAGCCCTCCAGGCTGAGGGCCAGCAGGCTTAGAACCTCGAGGTCGGCTGGCGATGCTCTTTGGAGTTTGCCAGGAAAGGCTTGGATGTTAATGTTCAATGGTTTCCTTGGCCCGCAGTCACAAGATGGTGCATAGGCGTGCATATATTCACCAAAGATCGCCACTAAAGGCGCCCTTAGGCTGTCTGGAAGACCTACTTACCATGTGTTCAGTTCAATCGGGCTTGGGTAGGTCAAACGGCAACACTATCTTCAGAATCCCATTAGTGAGGGAATGGCTCAGCAGCACTGCCCTGAACATCGCCTTGCTTCATGGAGCTTGCTTCGCCTTATCAAAGGGACTGATCGCAAGCCAAAAAGCACCGAAACCCTCCGCATCAAGCATGGACCTCCAACCTCGTGGCCAGACCTCCATCGACCAAGAGTCGTCCGTCCGGCACGGAGGGAGCGCGCGCTCGGAGGGATCGCGTGGCCGGTTTCCCACGTGGCGTTCGAAACCGGTCGTGGCGTGCTCAACCGGTCCAACAGGAGCTTCGCCGCTCGGAAGGGGTCACGCCTTCACTCCGCGCCAGTCAGGGTCAACCCTGCTTCACTCCGTGTCATCCAGGCCTGTTGCTGTGCCAAGGAGCCACACCCAGAACCGAGTTCCTCCGCCATCTCGGCCGTACCATGGCACGAAGCCGGGGGCCCGGTGGGCGAACTGGAAGGCCAGGCCGTTGGAGTCAGACCGATGGGATTTGAGGCAACTGGCCTTCTCATCGGGTGGGTGTTTGCGCAAAGACAATTCGGCGGTGTTTTGGCTGGTTTGGACGATGAAGTTCGAAGAATATCACGAGAACAAAAAAAGAACTCCCCACCTCACGGGTGAACAGGGACAGAAGTGACCTCCTTCAATCCTCGCTTGTGTCTGTGTGGGGTTCGGTTGGAATGTTCATGAATGTTCGCCTTCTATGAGGCTGCCATGGTCAGGAACTGAGCCCAAACACCACGAATTTGGGCCAACTTGGTGGGGTGTCCCCTAAATCCCCTCAAAACGAGTAGCCGAGTAGCCTCTTGTTATTGCAGCTCCTCCACTTTTTGCGGGGAAATATGCCCCTGGATTGCCCAGCCCTTCATCACCCGACCCCTTGACTTGACCGTCCCATCAGGCTTCGCACATGTTCTTCCACCTCCTTCGCTTCGCTCGGCTTCTTGGTCTTGGCTCCTGCCGGGTCCCGCCCATGTCGCGGGGTCGCCCAAGCGGTCCAAGCCGCCGCCCCTGCCACGCGGTCGGCTTCTCCAGTCCTTTCTTCATAAAGATCGCGAAGAGGACCTCTTCAGCAGCGCTGGCCGCTGGCCCGGCACGGCTGGGCCAAACGGTGCTGCTGTTGTTTGGGTTGGTTGGTGAGGATTCATGAACCAATGAAAGCGAGGCCTGGTAATTAGTCAAGAAGGGCTGAGACATGGGTCTCCGAGACATGGGTCTCGTCCATCCCCCCCTCCGTCTCTGTCTCCGTCCCTCTGTCTCTCTACCCGCTTCATCGGTGTCGCGCCTTGAGCCCAAGCTTCTCGACAAAGATCTGACCTCGAAAGCTGAGGTGGACTTACCCTTGCCGGCCCTAGCCTGAGGTAGATGACCCAAAATGCCCCTCAAATCCCGCAAACCCATGGAAGTCGTGGCCACGGTGGTCCGCTTCCCATGCTTCTGAGTCGGACATCTGGGGCTCATTGAGCTGAATTTGACAGGTCCTTTCTTCTAACGTGGTGTCATCCACCTGCGTGTCGCTTCGTGCGCACGCTAAGCTGCTTGTGGCCTGTGGCCAGGTGCCAGTTTACACATTTTAACGTTGCTGGTTGGAAGTGACCGGAGGATTGCATCAACGACGTGCCAAAACGCAGCTCTACACCCCGAACACCCCGCCCTACCAGAAATCAGAATGAGTTCTTCCAGCTCCAGGTGTGGGACGTGTGGGAGGCTTGATGATGCATCAAAACAACTACATGGAATGACGTCATAAAGTGAGTACTCCAACTCACTTGTGTCATGGAAATGGACGAAGAATCGTTTTTTCAAGGAAGAATGGTCTTCCAAAGTTCGTGAGTCGGGTCATGTCATTCCCGAACCGTCTGCGACTGCCGGTGGAGGCCCGTGCTGCTGACCCTTCGGATGGGAGTTTCTCACTGGTTTGTCGGTCTGAAAACATGTCCAGCCAATCAGATTTGTCCAACATCCTGAAGAACCAATATCCTGAAAGAATGTTTCCTCACATCTCCCGTCCCAGCCCTACTCCTTTGCTGGGAACTCGCCGTAACTCGCATTCTCGCTCAGACCCAAATAGAAAACACAGATCTCCCCCCCCCCCCCACACCACTTGCGCATGACGCACCATGACGCACCTAGGTGCACCGGAGGAGGGTCCACATCTCTCCCCCCAACCACTCACTGAGTTCGCGTTGGGGATCCAAGGGGCAATTCTCGGGGCAGTGCCGTAAGGAATGGTCCACCAGCTTCAACGCCAAGGTGGCGGCAAAGACCTGCCATGGCGGTAGGTCACCAGTCAGCAGACTAAGGAATGGGTCATGGGACTAGTTCAGTTGGGTGTCTGGGAGGGACGTTTGGTGTCTGGGACGTTGCTGCAACGTGAGAGGACACCGAATAACAAAAATAGAACTGTCCGAAGAACTTATCCTATTCGTATGTTTGCACCATCCTATGTAACCAAAAATAACAAAAAATAGAAAAACAATAAAAACTTCACAAAGTACAAGGATGGTCTTTCACCACATGGTGCACTGGTCGGGGCGGGCTCCAGGTGGCTCCACGATCCATGCCCACCTTCTCCCGCATCATCCGGATCATTAACTCAAGCCTTGGTGACATTCAGCCGTGTGGTGACTCGTGGGATGTCACCCCTTGTGGTCGTTGGAAGAGGGGAGTTCGAAGCCTCCAGCGGGTGCCCATGTTGCTGAATGGAGGATAGGGGCTGCCCAGCACATCCATCCCCCTTTGAACATGGGTCCTTGACAGTAAAAATATCTCCGACATGGAACTCCTGTGTGCTATCCATGGAGGTTAGGGGTGCCCATTATCCACTCACTTAGGGACTAAACACCACCCCTTTCTCCTGGATGATTGCTTTTCCTTTTGGAAGGTCATTCACCTTGAGCTGGGGCCACCCTTGGGACAAGTTTGCGACGAGGAGGTGGGGTGGATGTATTCCTGCAAGAAAGCCTCCGATCGGCAAAATGGAGGCTAAAATAGGCTAGAATATCTTGAGCCAGGCTCCACACGTTGAAACCTGGATTGGAGCATTGGACCCCGAAGTCGTGAATTTCCTGGGGGGAGGCAACTTGGGAGGCAAGAACTTCAAGTCCAAAATGATGAAGCTCCTACTTGTCCAAAGCACTGCCAATAGCAGCCACACCTGGATCATCCTGGATCTAAGCCACGCCATGCGTCCCTAAAGCACGCCATTGAGGGACCTCCACCCAATTGGATGCAAGTAAAGCATTGTAAAGTCGTCTTTTTCTGACTGGTGCTTAGTAGAGAATGGTGGAATGGATCCTAAGGTATCTAGTGCGGAGGGGCATTCCCTCATTCCCTACGAGTCGCACTTCTTTGCCTCCTCTCAGGTCAGTTGGGCCAGTTCTGGTACGTGAATTCACCTGTTCAAAGAACATAAGTCAATTTCTGGCCAAAGAGCGGGTGGCTTCAGCTCCTCAAGATGCCCTGCCCTGCTCTGAACAAGTTCCAGTTCCCCAATTAGCTCCAAGCGTCCCCTGCAAGTTTCCAAAGGCGATCTGGTTGGCCTTCAGCAACATCAAGGAGCAAATGCAGTCGAACATGTTTTGCACGTACTCCGCTTCCTCCCAGGCGACGAGCAGCTAACAAACGACATCACCCCAACAAACCGGCCTCGCCAGCAACAGTGCACAAAACAGTGGTCCACAAGGAATGCTCAAACATGTCCAAGCACGTGCTGGGTATTGGTATGTGTTCCTCTTTTTCATGCTACCGACCTCCTTCTTGGAAGCGAACCCCGACCCGTCACCCTGGAGTCCAACGGAGCTGGCTGTCAGACCTCGCTGTCCGCGGGGTCGCGCTTGCGGTAGGCGGCGATGCCGCGAAGGAGCTTGTCCACGCCTTCCAGCTTCACCATCCTCGGCGATGCAGCGGAAGCACGGTCGGAGCTCCGCGCGCAGGCGAGCGAGCGTGTTCTTCACCCTGTTGGTTCGTTTCAAACGCTCGAATCCACCCATGGTCAGACTCAAAACGCTACCAAAAAGTCCTTCCTGGTTACAATCTCTCACACCCTCCGCTTTCCCCCAAAAAAAGGGATCAAACGGTCCGACGTCTGGCCCCGGTCTCCCACACCCACACCGAGCAGCTCCTCTCTGGCGCGCTCCGAGTTTTGAAGCATGATGCCCAGGATCTCAGAGGAGTAGACCTACACCACCCGACGAGACGCGTCTCGGTCCTCCGGTCGCTCCGGGACCACCACGACGCGACGGAGCGGTCCCTACGTAAAAAGGAAGAAGAGGCCCGGCCGTGGTGGGATCAGGTCCACAGGTGTCGACCCAACCGTAGTGCTTCGTCAAATAAAGAGCGTGGTCAGCATGCAGAATTCGGGCGGAATGGTGCGGTTTTTCTGGCCCATCGAGCGAGATCCGCCTTGTTGTAGTCCATCCCCTGGGCTCGCAAGCGCTTAATCAGCCTGGGACGGCAAAAGGAACAAGTCGGACAAGTGCTGATTTTGGATGCACAGACAGCGCGGTTCTGCTCACTTTGGAGGTTGCAAAGGGCTGCGGGGTCGACATGTTCTTTACAACCTGCACATGTAGGTGATGGCTTGCTTATGCAAACAGGGACCCACAAGTTCACGGACAGCACGGCACAAGAAGATTCACCCCCTAAATCTGGGGCTGTCCACACCCAACAACGGAACCGGAAAATGAATGGCCAGGTCTTTTTCGTGCAGCATATCCTCACAGCACTCTGATCCTTTCAGTCTTCGAGCGACCAGGGCAGAAAGTTGGGGATCTCCAGGAACTGTCGACATGTCTCTTGAGGCATGAGGTCCTCAGCGAGCGATCAACTGCTGCTCCAGCTGCAAGCTGGATGTAACTTTGACACACTTTGGATGGAACGGATCCTTTTTCGCAGATGGTAGCTACATTGCCACAGGGCTGATGAGGGATGGGATGGGATTCGTTGGGTCTCATGACTCTAAAAGGCTCAGAAGGAGCCAAATCCTGAAGAAAACATCTCAATCTGCTGCCTCGTCATCACTGGTGGCTTCGTCCATCTCTTCAACCAATTGGTGCTTATGGTGAATACCAACCAGCTTTGGGGTGAAGGGGGGGCTGCCCGGACCGCGAATTGGATCCGCCCACCCCAAAACGCCCAGTGTCGACGCCCGCGGAGAGTCGGGTCGGCACGACCCACCGCCACCGGCACCGACCCGTTTTCGGCACCGCCACGGGCGGTCAAGGCTCCGCCAGGTTTTCGATCATGCTTAAGCCATTCGTCACCGCCTCGCGGCGGAATGGCGATGGGGCGATTTGAGGGTGGGGTGAAAACCGAAACCCGTCTTCCGCGACATGGACCGTGGGCGTGCCCGCGTGAACAATGAGTGCGTATACCACCTCTCATTTAGAACAGCTCCTACCACACGAATCATGGTTTTTCAGTCTCTTTCAGATTTCAATCAGCTGCCCAGGCAAAAAGGGCGGCCATGCCTTGAAGTCTTCATCGCTCACCGTCTCATCGATACGCATGAGCACATCCACCGTCATCTGGCAGAGCTGCGCATCGAAGACGGCCTGGCAGGTGGTTCAGCTCAGCAGTGGATAGGGGAAAGTAATTCAGACTGCTGATTGAAATTAAAAAGATACTATATAAGAGGTGTCCATTCCAAATGGGGGGGCTCAGCAATCAACAGTCTACGTTACGTTAGCTCAGCGGTGTCCCGATGACCGTCGCGTTCCGGCTCGTCATCGATGCCTTCACGAAGACTTCCGGCTCGTCCACTTCGCCTTGGCAGCGCTTGCCCTTCGCTCCAAAACCTTGTAATGTGACTGACAGCGCCGACTCTTGAACGAGCGCAGGCCCTTCAGACTTCCACTTCCTTCCATCACCGTCCCGCATCTTGAAAAACTCATCATATACCCAAAGGCGTCATACCATGCACTTGCAAAGACCCCTTCAACAGGACATCTCTACAGTGACCTCTTCAACTTGCCCTGTTTCCACCCCCACCCGCCCGCCCTGTTCCGGCCCGCTCTACCGAAACCCACATCCGACGCGTGTTCCGCCGCCGGGTAGCTCAAGACCTCGGGGTCCGTGAGTTCGCTCAAGACCTCAAAGATGTCCACGGCGATGTCGGTGTTCACGTGGTTCAGCATCCCCACCTGGGGTGTTTCTCTTCTTTTTCTCCGGAAATTCGGTGGGGAAAAACGAGCAAAAAGTCAATGATGTATGTTCTCCCTGGGAGTCCAGTCGACCATGTTTAAAACGGTCTTTAGATGATCCGAAAAGGAACTTCCTTTACTTGGGTGGTGCCTAAAAATAGTCTTTGGACTTCTATTGCCTTGGACTTCCATTTTGTATATATATATATATGAATCATTAATCACCTAACAAACAGCCATCCTCCGCCGCGTGAAGACGCCGCCGGGGGCCGCTGGGGCGAAGCAAAGCGACGCTTTTGGGCCCGAGGGGGTTCGGGGAGAACGGGCGAGCTTCGAGGTCTTGGACTGACCGATCGGCTCCGACTTGGGAGGACCTAAGAGGTTGGGCCTAAGAAGAAATATAGACCCCCCAAGTAGATGGAAAAGGTACAGTAGATGCCCCACATGGAAAACAGGTGTTGGAAATTCGTACCACTAATCTATTTGGGGACCATCTTCACGTGACCGCCTTCACACGTAGGAACCAAAAAAGGAACGCGGAAGGAACGCACGGTCACCGCACCGTACGGTGCACGGTCCAAACGGGACTCAGCGGTGGGGAGGCTGGAGAAGCACTGAGTTCGTTGAGGTGGAGGTGGGACCGAAGCTCCTGAAGGAGCCTAACCTGGGGGTAGCTGTGGGGGTAGCTGTGGGTAGGTGGAGCAGGGGGGAACATGTATGGCAAAGCTCACATGGCGATTGAAAGAGACTCGGACAAGGAATACACCCACAAAACGTGGAAACCGTTAGTCCCATCCACCCAATGATGCGACTCAAGCTGCAATGGCGGCGGGTGCTGGAAATAGAGGGAGTCATCAGCGGTTGGGGTTCATTCTTCTACTCCAAAGTGCTAGAAGAAACTACAGTACTTCTTCCCGCAAACGGACCACATGGAACCCGAGAATGGACCGTTTCGAGCATGTTCCGAAGCCCAACCCGAGAATGTGTGCCACGTGGGTGCCAGGTGCCACGGGTGTCACGTGGTCCGGTTTTATATATGTGCAGCTTCAGGCACCAGTAGCGGCAATGTCTCCAACTTCAGGAGTGATCCGTACAGCTCCGGGTGAGTGGCCACTAGGGTGAACCTCACTGAAAGGAGATGGTCAAAAAAGTTGGTGAAGGGTGGTGAGGGGGCAATTGAACTGATCAGAATTGGATGTGCATGTTTTCCTTGGAGACCCGCCAGCCAAAACTTGCTGCAAGAAGGAAACTAAACTCGACCAGACCGGTCTGCCCATTGGGCTGAAAATCGAGAATTGGAGGCAGGATTTGCTTCGAATTGGCTCCCAGTGCCTTCCTCCAATCATATCCAACCCCTCCCAACTAGGCCATTCCACTTCTTGATCTCCTCATCCAAGTCCACCTCGCTTTTGAGAAACTTGTCCGGATCATCAGCGTGCCTCGGTGACGATGTTCTTCTCAGATCTCTTTCTTTTCACCATCTTCTGCTGAGGCCCAAGATAATTAGGGTGTTTTTGAGAGGCTCCCCAAGAGCCTTTTGCAACCCATCCCATATGTACCACTACAGGGTCCTATAAGGTCTCTCAACCTCTCTTGAGTCCCTCTCTTGGTCAACCCCGCATCTGGAAGGCTCATCCGACGCATCCGAGACACTTGCTCAAGGCTTGCACCAACAAGCCTTGTCCCCAGGAAATCGGTGTGACGGCGCAACTGCAGTCAAGCTGCTTGATTCGAAGCTCACGATTCACCTTGACCTTGCGCTCAAACTGCAGGTGCATGCGCTTTAAGGAGGCCTCGTTTAAGGTTTCGACCTCAAGCCAGGCAGAGATGCAAAGCACTCTGAATAAGCAAAATAAAGGACATGAGCTTCTTGAGAGGCATTGGCTGACAGTTGCACACATGCAAGGTGTGGCTGTTCGAATTCGCCTCCATGTTTCTGATCTTCTACCAGCCATGGAGCCCATACCTTCCACGAGTTCTCTGGGGCGCCCAGCATGCAACTCCTAGGCCGCCGGGCGCGGCAAGAGCCGAGCACGCGAGCTGAGCACTGTCACATGCACCGGAACGCCCGCGAGTGCAGCGGTGACATGCATCCTCAAAAAAGGTGTACAAAACCTGTGCAGCTTCAAAAAAGGGTAACACATCAGGGTGAGGATGATGATGCCTTAGTTCTTCCAAGGCACATCTGCCTTGTCCAGCATTTGTTGAATGTCTTCCTTGGACACCTCATCTGGCAAGTCGTCCCCAAGCCTCAGCAACACAGGGTTTTTGCATCCCGGAAGTCTCCAGAAGGAATCTGAAAGAATCATTCACTCCGTGCTTTGCCACGGATTCTAGTAAGAAATAAGGGTCCAAAAATGACGCCCTGGCCCTGTCCAAAAAGCGTTAAATGACCGCCCTTATACACAGAGGATCCCTGCAGCACGTTTCATGTCAAAAGGGGCAGGGCCTTCTAAGCGTGGCATGACACAAAGCTAAACCTCGGACCTGCTAAACCTTCCATGCAATGCGAACCAAGTTCTTGGAACCAATTCCATGTAGGTTAGGTGCTATCCATGGACGATAGGCCGCCCCGGCCTCGCCAAGTCGGAGGCGTCTTGTCAACACCACGCCGTGAAGCAGAGTGTGAGACCTTTCGACCTTTGAAAGGGTGTTCGACCTTTGAAAGGGTCGAAGGTCCATTCTCCAGACTTCCAGGTCCCTTTTCGGTCGTTGGAAAGGAGGGTCGCCTCCAAAATAGGTCGGTCTTTCGGGAAGACGAACCCGGGGCCCCTCTTAAGGCGACCATGGTCGTTTTTTCCGAACATGCCTACGGTAGGACCTAAGTATCATCTCCCAAGCGAACGCTGCAAGGTGATCAAACGTGCCTTGGCCAGGGACACGCTTTTGAGGGAAGTATCATCTCCCAAATTCTTGGCCATTGACCTTGGCCAAGCATTGGCACCACAACAAGGGAAAGAAACACATCGTGCCCTTGATTCTCAAGTCAGTCAAGTCGTGATCCTTCGAAGGTCAGAACCCCACATCCAATCCAAAAAAGAATGGAGGAGGGTGCAGATGTGCACGGTCAGCCCCTCCGGTAAGCCTCCGCACCTGCCCCACCAATCACCTCCCAGCAGCTCAATGCGCTTCGGCGCCGGTTCATCCGCCGGCGGCGCCACCGCGGCCTTCCTCTTGGCAGGCACCGGCGGTGGGCGCATCGCGCCGTCCATGGCCTCAGCCATCGAAGCGGTCAGAGGCCAAAGCACCTGGTCCGATCGGAAGGCCATCCAGGCATGGTGTGTTTATGTGTTCAAAAGAGGTGTTGACAGAACAGCAGGGGAACAAAAATGGAATGAGCCAGGAACGGTGATGAAAATGGACACCCCCTAACCTCTGAAGGCACATTGAATGGACACCCCTTCAAGGGGGGGGGGCCTCAAGGATGTTGGTCGCCTCAACGGCGCCCAAAAGGAGCAGCCAGGTGCCTGGAGGCATCGCAAAACTCCTCGTGCATGTGTCCAGATTTCGCAAAAAACGACTTGCACTTCTTGGCCAAGTGAGGGCTCGATCTTGCCAACTCACAATGCGCAGCATGACCCACAGCATGACTCGCTTTTTCAGCCTGTTGCTTGAAATTCTTTGCCCAGGCGTGACGCCAAGAATGCCTCTGGTGTCCCAAGACGACCAAGAAATTCACGTTTCCACACCGGAGAATCTTTCTAAAGAATTCGCCACAGACGCCGGGCGAAAAATGTCGTTTCAACACCACAGCAACCACGAGTCGAGTCGATCAGTCGATCTGGAGATGTTCAAATGACGAGTCGATGTTCAAATGGAAGTATAGGCCCTTGTCTCGGCAGGCAATTGACTGCACAAGGAGGGAATCCCATGCCAATGTTCGTCATGTTGGCCTCCAAACTCCAACTCCCCAGATACACCATGAGCCACCAGCAGTTCCATGTTGGGGTGCGATCCATGGAGGTTTGGGGTGCCCAAATACTCCACTCACTGCGTGGGACTATACACCACGCCTGACAGCTTAAATTTGGTTAAAGTGATATATCATGTAACTTTATCGGGTGAGGTTAGAATTGATTAATCAATTCCGGCAAGGGGAGATTTCTCCTCGGACAGTACCAGCAGAACTCTTGCTGCTGATGTCAAATCAAAAGAAGCGCCTCATATTCCTGGATGATCAGCCAACTATCCTATGAAAAGACTCCGTAACAGCAAAAACACATGACCCATGCGGTATTATAACCACAACTGTATCATTAAATAAATAAATAAATATATATATATATCTATCGTATAGTGATACAATGTGATACATGTCTCACCTTCACGGGTCACAAGAAGACCATCAACACCCAGGTGGGGGCCCAACCAACGAGAACCCCTATAGCCCAGCTCCCCACGCGGTGAAAACCGTGGGGTCAGGCCATGCTCAGCGACGCTCGGCCTCTCAGAACTGCTTCTCGGTGACGCCAGCGGACATGATGCCGGTGGAGGAGAGCCCGCCGCTGACAATGTTGCCTGGTGACAGGTGTGGTGACAGCAGCTGTGACAGCAAGTGGGACTGAATGCATGATGAAAATCCAAGACGTATCTCATAGGTGTACATATATATATATAATTAGATAGATTAACAAATCTATATATATATATGTGTGTGTGTGTGTCTTTGTGTGTGTGTGTGTGTCTCTGTGTGTGTGTGTGTCTCTCTCTCTCTCTCTCTCTCTCGCTCTCTCTCTCTCTTTTTCTGTGCAGCAGTCCAGCACTGACGGCGTGTGTGCGTCATCATTCATCACAACACCGTCATCTCAGATTCAAGTGCCTAAAACTGCATAGCTAGACCTGGACCCAGACTCCCTGACAGTCCCTATAAGGCTACGGAATGCAAACTGGGCCGCCAACCCATCTCGTCCACGATTTCAGATCCACTCCACTTCTGGTGGGTCAGGGTCTCCACCTTGTGCTTGCGCTCCTCACGCTGGATCATCTGCACATAGGCAGCGGCGCCACGCTTGCTGTACTCCTTGGCGAAGAGGTCAATGTTGAGCGCATCGCAGTGGAAGCCAGCCAAAGTGATGAACTGCCAGCAGAAGCCGAGCTTGGCAAGATCCCAGATGAAAGACTCCATCTGCCCATCAGTCATCCCAGCACTGTCCCAGTTGAAAGATGGGCTCAGGTTGTATGCAAGCATCTGGTGAGGCACAGCAGCGCGCACTTCTTTGGCAAACTGAGTGGCCTGCGCAAGAATGGGCTTTCCGGTCTCCATCCAAATGCTGTCAGCATACGGTGCAAATGCAATGGCACGCTCGATGCAGAACTCAGTGGAGCCCTTGATACGGAAGTAGCCCTCAACAGAGCGGGCAGAATCCCAGTCAAAGAAAATGTCGCAGCCCATGCCTGCTGCGGCCTTTCGCATCTGATCCAAGGACATCTTGCGTGCATCTTGGAGCCACTTTGCAGGGTCCTGGCCCTTGGCTTTCAAAGCCTTGGCCACAGCATCGGGGAAAGTCATGCAGCCAGACCTCTCTTCCCAATCCTTGTCGGTGCCCTTCCTCATGGCCTCGTACAACGGCTCAACGCCCTTGACGGTGACACCCTTGATGTGTGGATGATCAACCGGATCCTGAGCAACTCGACCGTTCGAGTGAACAGCTCCGACGCATGGAACACCAACGAATGGCGACACGACTAGTCGTTCGTGGTAAGGAATCGATGCACTGAGAGCAAACCGTAGGCACCAACACGGGCAGAAAAGGACTGAGGTTCTAAGGCAAGAGCCACCAAGAAAATGGCCAACAAAGCAAGCACAAATGCAAGAGACAGAAATAGAATACATTCCACACCCTCCTCCTGCCCTAAGGATCCTTGGACCCTCCTTAGAAGGGGTCGAACCACCTGTTACAACAAGGGTTTGTACCCTCATGTACCCTCAAAACTCTTGTTTTTGAGGGTGCGGATCCTTAGGGTGGCAAAAATAATCTCCTGGCCAGAAGAAAACCCACTTGTTCCGCGCCCGGAAAAAAGCACTCCCTTACGCCGAGGCTCGATGTTGCTGTCGATCATGGTGGCTGCTTCGGCGTCCGTCCGGGCCACCAGCACCAGGGGAGAGTTCAGCACGTCAGCCTGACACCGCATCGTGAGTTCCGGACGCGGACGGCGGGAGCGGTGACGTGCGGTTCGGAGCGGTGACGTGCGGTTCGCGAAGTGCTTCCACCCGGTGGGAAGTCGTCACGCATGGCCTTACCCTAGACTTCCAAGACCATTAAAAAAATGGTTGACCTGGTGTTTGTCGTGTAAAATCCTTAGTTGATTCGCTAAAGCCTTTTAAATTCATGGTGGTTGGAAGCCGGACTCCGGGTGACTCCACGAGTTTGGTCACGACGCTTACACTCGCTCGCTCGTACGACACACACACACACACACAGACGCACGCACGCACGCGCTGGTCCTTGGGGGGGTCGGTCAAGAGGGGGCCTGGCTAGCCCTGCCATGCGAAACCCTCAAGAGCCGTGGCCCTTGCACGCCGTGGCCCTCCAACGGCCCGGGACTGCGAAGGTGTTTGGTGTGGTGGTTTTGGTGACTGAGTGGGTTTCAGTTGCACCCACCCACCGACCGACCCAAAAAACCAAGCTTTTCAAGCCGGGCACCTGCAGACGGATGGCGATCAAGCGCTGAATGTGCTCCTGGGGGTCGGGGACAGAGTGTGGGAACCCTTCACTTTGAGACTCCAGGTGGTGCCGACTTCGAACTACCTCCAGCCTCGAACCTGAAAACAGATCACGGCTTAAGGACCTGCATCTATTTGATCAAGGTTCCAGTTACCAGTAGAATAAGGTGCCCCAAGGGTCCATTGGTCCATCGTTCAAGGTCTCCACTGGTCGGCCTGAGACCCCGGTGGTCCCATGTACCCAGTGGGTATGACCCACACTGGTCGACCGCATCCAGGTTTTTGGTCCGAGCAGAACCACGCGAGTGGATGCGAGTTCTGGGGCACTAGCCTGCCTCCATGGATAGGAACTGTTTTTTCCATGTGTCATCTGTTTCAAGGTTGTTAATGGACGATCCACCTTGATATGTGGGTGGTTGATAAAGGCCTCAAAAACAGGGTTTTTCTTTATCAACGTCAATCTGGCAAAGCTCCCGCGACCACCCCTGGTCCAAGTTAGGCCCAACAACCATGTCCCGGCGGCCGCGTGAACGGCCGCGTCCTGGGTGGAGACCAAGACCTTGCCACCCATGTGCCCACATTTCTTGGTGCCAGGCTTCTGGTCCTGGAGAACGCAGCTGAACCAGGCAACTCACTGATGAGAAAGGCACATTCTCCCTGATGTCCCTAGAAACCATTTGACCTCTGCTTTGATAGGAAAGACTCACCTTATTTTGAGTGGTTCATGGTCCAAAATAGGTCATTCAGGTTCTAGGTCTATGGATGTCAGCTGAGCACATGTTGGTCCTCCCACACGCCCTTGTTTTCTGCGCCACCCGTGCCAAAACTCACTCAACGCCATCATAGGGGAAGTTCTTTGCTCCCCTAGGCTTCATGGACGACGCCTTTGCCGGGCCCCTTGGACCACCCAGGCCCAAGAAGAGCACGGCACCAAAATGGCATGCTGGTGCCCCCGCAGCTGGTGCCCCAAATGCTGGTCCTGCCAGCTCCCCGCACCCTAAAAACACCGGCAGCCACCTCTTCCACCTCAGATTAAGATCTCTTCCAGCTCTTCCACTGCACGCACTCCCCCTTTCTGCTCCAACCATCGCAACCACGGCGCCCAAACCGCCTCCTCCTGCCGCAACGTCTCCCGCGCCCCGAAGACCAGCAGCCCAGACCGCGCGCGCGTCAGCGCCACGTTCGCGCGGCGCAGGTCGCGGACGAAGCCGAGGCGCCCGGAAGAGTTGCCGCGCACCAGGGAGAAGAGGATCAACTCGGCTTCGGCTCCTTGATAGCCGTCCACCGTCGAGACAGGCACCTGGGAGGTGAGGTCCTGCCTGGGCCTTCTTTCGGTGGTGTCTTGGCTGGAGGTCCCTTACATCGTGATGGGCTGGGCGAAACCAGCCAGGTGACCCCGGAATGAAGGTGGTGAGAAGATCGATATGAGAAGATATGAGACAGACATGCGCACTCCTTGGTTGACCAGAATCGATGGGTACGGGGAGCAGCTGATGGATGTCACGCTCATCCTTTCACGGCCATGCCATCCATTTCCATGACTCCAGGGAGTGTAAACATATCATCCATCAGGAAACAAACAAGCAACATCAAGCAACCCCATACATCACAAACCGGTGTGAAAGTGACGACTTGAGTTGTTTTGCCTCTGTGGATGTGTGTGTTGGGCACTTGGTTGAAGAGCCGTTGTGTGTGTGTGTGGGCATGTGTGTCAACATCTTATTTAAAACATGATTGACCACAAAGTTCCTTGGGGTTAGCTGGCGACACTTCCATTGAGCGTCTCCCGGCCTGTAGCTTTGCATCCGCCAGCACAGACTTCAGCAGCTCTTTTTGTTGCACGTACGGTGTCAAGACCGCGATCCTGATGTAGCGGGCTGAGGATGGGCTCCACGAGTTCAAGAGGATGGGTCCAGGAAGTCTCAACAAAAAGACATGCAAGCCAGGAGTCACATGGAGTTGGGTGCCGGTTCCGAACGGAGGAAGGATAGGGGCGTCCCAAGAGCTCTCCCAAACGATCGTTTCATTCATTGAGGCTCCAGCGAGCCGCACTCGGCGGCAAGAAAGTTCCGACACTTTACGTTGGAAAGATCCCCCCTTCAAAAAAAAAACAGAAGTGCCCGAAGAAAAAACATGCAAGTCAGACTCGTTTTGTCATTGGCCGAAGGAAAAAAGAAGTGCCAAGGAATCGAACCTCCGGGGAAATAGAGCGATCATGTGATGATTTTTCTGCACACTCTCAGTGAAAAGCTGCCTGGGGACAGGTGTAACACGCTGGAGCATATAGGATACTTGTCTACTTAGGGAGTTGCTGTCTGCGAGTGCCACTAGCACCACTACCCCAATACTACCACTACGACAAAGACAACGACGACGACTGCTTCTACTTCTACTCCTACTTCTACTTCTACTTCTGCTGCTTCTTCTTCTTCCTCCTCTTCATCTTCGTCTTCTTCTTTGTCTTCTTCTTCTTCTTCTTCTTCTTTCGAGGGGTGACTGCGCCGTCCCATAGCAGCACTCCACCAACCCCTTTTCCTTCCAGGCCACTCGCCCTGCGTGCTGTTGGGCCTCAAGTGCTGCAGCACCCGGCGGATGGCCTCGGCCTCCCCTGCGTTGCGCCATGAGGTACCGCAGCGCTCCTCGTCCATGCCGCAGTCGATGAGCATCACGCGCAAGGCATCCTCCAGGGTCAAAAAAGGGGGGGTCCTCTTCCCCACGCACCTGCTCAGCAAAACAAAGAGTCTGGCTTCAACACTTCAGCACTTCGGATCCTTCTGAGGGAACTGTAGCTGCCGGATGGGGGGCCGTGCTGGCACCTCATCCCTCACACGTCCCTGGTAGAAGTGTTGGTTGGGGAACTCCGCGATGGACGGGTGCATCCGGCGCTGCTCGTTCAGCAGCAACGGCTCCACCAACGCGGCTCCGCCTGTGCCCTGCGGCGCCTCCACCAGGCGCGCGAAGAGCGACCGCTCCAAGCCGCCGCGGCGGGCGTCGTCGGAGATCACGGTAGGGGGCAACTGCCGGTGATCACCAATTAGGACCAGATGTGAACAGCCGTTGATGATGGGAAGCAAAGTGCTGGGCTCGATCGATTGGGTGCTCTCATCAATGATCACGCGCTGGAAGTGCTCACCTGAAGGTAAATGTATCCATCCGTAAGCTCTTGACTTGTCCTTCAGATGTTTGATGAAGGGCTTTGGGGAGGGCACCTCATCCAGCTAGCGCAGCTATTTAATGGTTGAGCCACGGCCCCATCACGCCCAACGGAATCCAATACATTACCTTGACACATGATGTACTTCTACTTCCGCTGTCCCACTGACCGGACACGTCACCTTTCACGAGGTCGTGCCCCGCACTGGCGCAGGTGGTCACCACAATCTGAAAGCTGCCGAGCGCATCCTGTCGGCTACCGCGTGGCAGCGGGTCTGTCTATCCCAAGGTCCCAGGAAAGTTGGGTGTAGGGTTGGGTGTGTGTTTTGGACCATCACCACTAGGGTTGTGGAGCCTTTTAGGGCCCAACACATGGTGAAGTGCAAATGAAGAGCGAAGGCTCCCTGAACGCATCACGCGCGAGGTCGGTCTGGCCCCACCGCAGGTTGGGGGACAAGGATTGGACCCAACCGCTCGCCTGAGCCATCATCATCTTGTCATAGATCGAGGCTGCTTTGCGCATTTCGGCTGGTGCGAAGCGGTAGGATTTGATGCCTGAGTGGGTCAGAAACCGGCTGATGCAATCACGGTCCTCTCAGATGTCTGGGAAATCTGACACCACTAGTGCCCATTTCTCTATTGAAGCGCCAAAAGCCCAGCTGTCCAAAGCTCCAGGCCTTTTGCCGTCCAAGCCACCCCACTTGCGCAGGGCTCTGTGCAGCTGGTCCGCCGCCACGTTCGAGTCCGCCGCGCACAAAATCCGCTGCCCACTGGAGCGCCAGCCCATGACCACGGCCGCCGCAGCGGTGGTCTTCCCAGTGCCTGCAGCGCGGAAGGTGTTCTCTCAGGGGTCACATGTCGGGGTGGTGTTTGGTCTCTAAGTGGATGGACTAGCTGGGCACCGCGACTACCTCCAAGCTCGGCACCCAACTCCATGTGACTCCTGGTTGTTCTTTTCAATACCTGGGGGGTCTACCTGAAGATGATGAGACAAGTCCCGAAAAGGTGCAACATGATGGCATCAAGCAGGGCACACATGGGCACACGTCACAAGTCTCCGTTGTTGGAGGACACTCCCGCCAGGTCTCGGCATAAGTAATGGTGAGTCGGGCGGGAGCGTTCACTTCCGCTACCCTAGCCTTCAAAGACGTTTTAAAGAGTTGACCTGGTGACTGTAGTGCAAACACCCTCAGTAAAACAAGGTTCTTTGGGATTCAGACCATTGAACCCATTCGATGGCTGGCCACACATGCTAGGGTCTAGCTTCAGGAGTGACACAGTGTCGTCCAGCCTGGCCTGGGGGGCCTTGGATCAAGGTGAGCCGCTGCTGAAGGGAAGCCATCACAGAGTTCAGCTGAGCCTGCGCTTGGCAGGGAAGAAGTGCATCCGCATCCTCTGGATGAGCGACCTACCCGGCCATTCCCACGGCATCCACACCCTTCGCGTTGCTTTCTGAGTTCGTTCGCACCCGACCCGGCCCCTCAGCTCTCGACGACTCGTCCGAGCCTGGGAGAGGCGCTGCCCGGTGGCGAGGGCGGCCTTCTGCACCAGCTCCTCAGGAAGGTCGGCCCGCGCAGATGGGGTCTCGGACCCAACAAGTCAAGTGGAAGTGCCAAAATCACAGCCATTGACTCAATGGACCATACTCAATGAGGTTCGGACCAGGTATTGGACTTGCTCCTGGTTGACTTGCATCGATGGGATTCCCACCTCTAAAGGTTTTTGCTGCAATTTCCCCCACATCCACCCATCCCACCGCTCCACAGACTGCTCCAACTGCTCCACCGGCCGCTTCGCCAGGGCCCGTCGGGCGCTCTCCAGATGTCGCGCGCCGGGCGCGCCGAAGGCTTCCACGATGATCTGGGACATCTCCCGGCCCAAGGCCTGATGCCGCGAGCAGACCGAAGTGGCCTGCCCTCCAGGGAGGCCATCTCCAGGGAGTTCGTTGTTCATGCACTCTACAGGTCCCTGCTGGGAACCAGCATGGTAGTGGAAAATAGATGAAAATGGTCCCCTTGGGAAGACCATCTTGCTCTACAAACAGGTGGCGCCTCTTTGGGACCGTGATTTTGCTTGCACGGTCAGTTGCCTGGACCCCACCGCGTTCTTGAGGGTTCCCTTTTTCTTTCCCATCCAGCTCCGGACCTTCACAACCACCCCCACCCACTCCAAAAAGCGGACATACAACGCCTGAAGGGGCTCAAAGAATCCCAGGCGAGCGCCCCACCAACCCCCCCCGAACAAGGGACAAACCCTCCCGGCAACCCATCCGATCGCGACGGAGGCCGACGGAGTCGGCCACAGCCGGCTCCTGCGGCGCGGCTCGTCCCTCGTCCGCGGAGAGGCGCGGCTGCGCGGAGGCCCAGAGTGCCGAAATGCACCTCGCCGGGACCGGCAGGACACGAGGGAGGCATGGCCATGGACAGGGCAAATCCTCCAAATAAAGACCAGGCGATGGAGGTGGGCAAAAGGTCGATGACCACCACCCCCTACATCATTTGTGCTCAAGGAAGGGCTACCTTTCGTGAGTACCATCCAAAAGTCGAGGCAAAGTTTGGTGTAATATGGCCGCACGGTCCCGGTACCGTGCGGGTCACCCCGGCCAAGACCCGCGACCGGGCGCGACCGGTCGGCCGCGCGTGCGACCACCTGAAGGCCGTGACCTCGGACTCGAGGCCATAGACATCGAACCACTCCTGCCGACGAGGAGGAGCGACCTCGAACCGGCAAGGCCAAAACAGGGACCCAATGACAATGAACGATAGGAAAGTGAAGGCACTTACGTTAAATAATGACATCTATATATATACATATATATATATAGCTGTATAACTATAGATTTAATGACATCTTCTTCCTATGCTCGGCCCGCTTGTGCCCTAGCCTAATGATTAGGTGAGTCAGCCTTGACCGAAGGGACCATGGAAGTGGGAATTGCTCCTCGTCCACATCATCCATGCTGAGGGTATGACAGCGGACAGTCAACTTCGGCTTGCCTTCCTGCAGATCTCACCCGGCAACTTAGATACTCTTGGACCATTGCCAAACTGATTGCAACATCTGTCACACATTCATGGTGGGTTGAACCTCTTTTACATGATTTTAACCAAAGCAAAGCATGACAAAGCCACGGACATCCGTACAGCTCAGCATATTCAGAAGATTCGCATATATAGTGGATTGAGAGTGGATGGCACAGACCCCAAGAGGTGGTTTATATGAACCCCCATGTAAAGGACATCTTGAGGTCTGTGCCATCTACTCTGAAACCACTGTAATGTTCTGTTAAGTTCTGTGTTCGTCTGAATGGCCGGTCCTGACCTTGTGCTCAAGGGTTGAAACAAACCCTTGATCACCGCGAGCTGGAACGGTTTTCTTGCCGTTGACTGTTTGACAGTTTGTCCCTGTGGCTTACCTCATAAATGCACAAACTGTTTGGGGTCTACGCTGGTATATTTTAAAAGAGTGAGTCACTTGAGTGAAGTGGGGTGCGCTGACGCTTGGAGTTGGGGCTGACGAGGATGCATGCATGTATTTCGCTCCAAATTCCAAGCACTGGAGTATCAGGACCCATGCTAGGACATGAAATTCTCATAGAGATGCCACCCAGGAAAGCACGACCTGGACCTGCAAGGGGCTGTGTAATGGAGACCCCAAGTGGAGACAAGTGAAAAAGAATGCGGCCAAGTGTATCCAGAGTGGGCCGAAACAACTGGGAGACAGGTGGAGACAAATGGGACACGAGTGTAAGAGCATCCGGCCAAGAGTATCTAAGCAGGGAGACAAGCAAAGAGACAAGTAGAGACAAGTGTAAAAACATCCGGCCAATTGTATTCAGAGTAGGCCGAGACAAGCCGGAGACAAGTGCAACAAGTGTAAAAAACAAGAGCCTCCAGCCAAGAGTACCTAACCACGAGACAAAGAGACAACTGGAGACAAGTGTAACATCCGGCCAAGTGTGTCTAGAGGTCCGAGACAAGTGGGGGACGAGTGGAGACAAGTGCAACAAGAAGGGAGAAGCATCTGGCCAAGAGTGTCTAAGCAGGGAGACAAGCAAAGAGGCAAGTGGAGACAAGTGTCACAACATCCGGCCAAGTGTATCCAGAGTAGGCCGAGACAAGTGGGAGACAAGTGGAGACAAGTGTAGTAAGGGAAACACGCAGGGAGACAAGTGGGAGACAAGTGTAAAATCATGTGGCCCAGAGCACCCAGTGTGTACTGGGAGACAAGGGAGACAAGTGGAACTGCAACATCACGCATCCAAAGCAACCACAGCGCCGCAGGAACGCAAGCCCGGAGACAAACATAAAATCATGCGGCCCGGGCATGCAACCCTTTCAAATGAGCAAGAACCCCTCACAGGTAAACCTGTTCGGGGAAAAAAACAAACCCCGGACCTTCTCAGTGACCTCTTCAGGATTGGTAGACGTGACCTGGCCTCAGAGGCAGTTTCACTCGTGACCGACCCGCCACTGGGATCTCAAGGACGGTCACTGCGAAGGTCCGGCCCGACATGTTCCTAAGGGCTCAGATGTCCAGGTTCCGCTTAGAAGGACCGGGCCGGACGGATGTTGACAAACATCCGCCCGGCCAGCCACAGGACGCGTTGTGTCCGGTGTCCTTCACAATGGTCGTCACCACTGCCAGGTGATCCCGCTCGTCCGAGCGCAGGTACACCACATCTCCTTGCCGCAGGGAGCTTAGGAGGGAGCCATCCCAATCGCGTGGAGGCACCAGGGTCAGGTAGGGCAACACAAAATGCTGCTGTCCTGAGTGGGAGTTCCGGCCACAAGTTGCGAACTGCAAAGGGGCAAAGGCGGCCAGTTTGGTAGCTAGAAATTGATGATCTGTGGTCTCAATCTCAGAGCCCCTGGCCCAGGAATTCTATGAAATTTTGCCTATGTTTCCAGGAAATCTATGATCTAGCACCCACAGACATGGGCCAAAGCTTTCGTCGTTGTCCTCGCGGGTCTCTGTCCATGCTCACTTTGCAGCTCTTGTGGGCAAGCTGCTCATCCTCAAATAGGGTGCCTCCGCTTGGGTGCGCAGCTCTTCCACCATCGCCTGGTTGGCTCCCACCCTTTCCATGGCCATGAGCAGCCGGAAGTGTTGGAAATAGTCCCTGTGCGCCGCCGAAGGGAATTGAGCCGCATCCAGCCGGGTGCCCTGCAAGGCTCGCAGGGCCTCAGCAGCTGTAGCCCCACACGCCACGTGCGCCGGTGCATCCAAGAGCGATTCCCAAAGCCTGGGGCCTAAGCCCTCCCTGGGCAGCTCCCGCACCGCGCGGCCCAGCACTTCGAGGGCCTTCGTGTCCCGCAGGGCCAGGGACTGTCGCCAAACGTCCAGCAAGACCAAGCTCCAGTAGGAGGGTGGCCATCGGGACATGAAGTCACATGCTGACGATGCAGCTGCAGGACCCGAGTCCTTGGCCAAGGCACGAACTCCCGCGGCCTCGCAGAGCGCGAAAGCATCGGCACCCCCGAGGAAGAAAGGCGGAGTGGACCAGGTTCCTTGACCAATGATACACGGTGGGGTGTCTCGAAGTCTAATGAGTCCAGGGAGTGTACCCTGGACTCATACCGACTGTAACTGGTAAGGGGGGTTACAACCCCATGTTGACCCTATCCCTGTCGGTTGGCACTGGTCAGGAACCACCGACCATGGCCGAAGCCCCGACTCCGAGTCACACCGACCCCTTAGAGGGATCGCTTTGGAGCGTAGACTCTTGGTGACTCTTGATGATATGTCTGTCAATCCCCATATGAAGAGGTTCCTCGCTCCAAATGAGTAGCTTCTGAGTTTCATGAATCAAGAGTCAAGAGTATGTTTGATGAGGGTGTTACAGTATGTTCGATCTATCCCAAGTCCACCTGACGCCTGCATGTTTGGAAACCCTCCATTTCGCCTCGTTGAGCGCGCTCACCTCCAGTGCTTCGAAGCCCTGCTCCTGCAGCATCCGCCGCATGGCCTCCGCCTTCGCAATGCGCTTCTTGCCACCCAAGGCGCTCACGCGCGCCTCGCGCGCCTCGCCGCTGGGATCGTCCCAGAACCAGCGGAGGACACAATGGTAGCCCGCCTGCGAGATGTAAAGGTCAAATGATGGCGTAGGGTCCGTCCACTGGTGCCACACGTGCCCAAGCCCTCCCTCTCTCTCTCTCTCTCAGCCCTCTTGACCCCTGAACACTCGCCTCATGTGCCAGCACCTCATCTTTCACCTTCACCCGTCGGCGTAGCACCACCAAATTGTGCCTCACTACAAGCTCCCCTGCCGCCGCGTCGCTCAGCTGCGACTGCGCGGCGTCCAGCTGCTGCTGCCGCTGCTGCGCGGCCTCCTCCAGCAGCTGCTGCTGCTGGACCTCGCGGCGCTCGGCCTTCGCCACGTGGACACTCTGCTGGAGCGCCGGCTGAGCGGCGGCCTGGACATATAAGTGTTCCAAAGCATCGGCCTCTGCAGCTGTGCGGCCGGTGCTCTTTTTCCCCGGAAGAAAGGCTCCTGGAAACAGTCCAACACCCACACGTTCATCTTTACCTCGTTCAAAAGCTGGACGAAAGGTGGTGAGAGATTCAGAAGACATCGATGGATGCATCTAGTGTAAATGTCCTGTGAGTGGCCCCATCTACATTCCACTCAAGACATGTTTGGTGAAATGTCCCTGGGCACTAGGTCATGAGAACCTCTCGTTTGCGGGCCTCATTGTTCACCCTCTGTCTCTCACTCTCTCTCCCTCTCTCTCTCTCTATATATATATATATATATGAGCATATATGAGCTACCTTGGAGATCTTGGAGACTGGCCCCATCCAAGTTTCATGCTCCCTCGCTCGCTGACCCCCATCCCACCGACCCCACCTGCGCTTCAGCGGCTGTGGCACCCCGGCCCTCGGCCGTGAGCTCCAAGGGGGGCCGGTTCTGCGGCCGCGGAACCCGCCAGGTCACCGAATGCACCGAGCCAGACTCGCCCGGCTCGCCGGGACGATCCTCCAGCACCTGCGGTTCCGGGCGCGCGGGAGTTCCGCGCGGCGAGAGTGGGGATGTGTCCATGCGTGTTGGGTGGGGTGGGAGGGTTGAAAAAGGAAGGCACTGGCGGGCATACCTCTCCGGGGTTCTATGGAAGTTCCTTCTGTAGGACGACTCAGCATGGCCTAATGCCCACAAGCCCAGGCACCTCCGCTGACAGCTTGTAGCGAAGCCCCGAGAGCATTTGCTTCCGCATCTGCAGTGCGGCCTCCTGCGCGTGTGAGAGGCCCATCCGCTGGTCGTGCTGCAACCCACTCATCACCATGTTACCATGCAAGCTCTCTCCCCCTCTCTCTGTCAATCAGCCGTCCCACAGGGACACGATGTGACTGTGTTGTAACGAAGGTCATAGGCTCCACTAATCTGGAGTCGCACGCTTCTCGTGGCTTGGACCCCTCTATACAGGGCTCATGATGGCTGGCCCGACTCCAGGTCCACGCCTTGACCGCCTTGGTTCCCCCCCCTCTCCAAACCATCCTCGCTCACTGGCAGCTTCTGGAGCAACTGTCTGGCCGCGTCCCTCCGTGCCGCCTTCTTACTGCGTGCCTGGCCGCTGCCCCTCACCGTTCGGTTCTGCACCCTCCACTCAATGTCGACCACCTGCTGTCCTCCAGTCAACCTGAGAGGAATCAACGAAAAATGCGAAGAGAAACCATATAGCCTTCAAAGACCATTAAAGAACTGGATGATGACATGGTCTTGTGGCAAAACACCATCAAAAATGGTGGTTGGAACCGCAGGAAAAGGAGAGTCCCGAAACACCTGCCGCGTTGTCTGTCCGTCTGACTCTATAGTATATAATTGTGTTGAGCAATGGCAGCCATGCATGACCAACCATCAAATAATTTGTGTGAAATAAAGTGGGCAAACGCAAACCAAAAGCAAACGAAAATGCAAAACAAAAGCAAAAACAATAGCGAAAATAAAGCAAACAAAAAGTGAAAATAAAGCGAAAAAATTGAGTGAAAAAAATTGGAGCTTGCATGTGTGTGTGTGTGTGTCGCTTGTTTTTCACTGTTTGTTCGATCTTTGTTCGCTTTATGTTCACCTTTTTTTGCTTGTGTGTCGCTTTTTCACCGCTTTTTTCCTAGAAGCGTACAGCGAATATTGCTCACGGGTAAAGTTTTCGTAAGTGCAGAAGTGGTACCCGGAAAAAAAGGTAACACAATGCGGAGAAAAAAAACGAAAATAAAGCCTGAAACATGTGAAAATAAAGCGAATAAAAGTGAAAAATAACGATAAACACGCAAAGCTACATTGTTTTGCTTGTTTGTTTGCTCTACCTTTTGTTTTTTTGCTTTAAACAATTATGTTGGCTCCGTGTATCTATGGCTGGCGTGCCGTATGTAACTTAGCCATTTCTAGCACTTTTGCTTAAACTAATGCCGGAAAGGATTGAATTGCGCAACTGAGGAGCAGCTTCACATCCTCTTTGACCGCTGGCGTCAGCTGCACTCTCTGAATCGCATAGAGGTACAGCACATTCTCCTGGCTAATCGGTCCGTGCGAGAAAGTGCAGGACTTCGGCGGGAAAAAAGAACCATGGTACGTTCTCCCTGTTTCCAGCTGACCGGTCGTGTGGAAATCAGGTGGACTCTGGAGTTCAAAATCCTCCACCCTTCAGATGAAGAGGTGGTTCAAAATCCGGGGGGTGGGCATGTTTCTCAAGAGTCTACCAACACCTTCAAAGGGCTCACCTGGCTCTTCCAGCTCCAGCCACCCCGAAAGAAGGTCGCAGGTACATGTTAGTCTGTTTGCCGTCAAGAAACCCCATGGAAATCCCACAAATCCCACCAGGACCTTCCCAGTGACCTTTTGAGATCCCAGTGGCGGGTCGGTCACGAAACGGCCTTGAAACGGTCACGTCTACCAATCCTGAAGAGGTCAGAAGGTCCTGGTCCCAGTTCTTCCATTTCGACCTTCTCTCCTGAGCTCCCTTGGCCCAGCTCTCTCAACCTGCATCCGAACCCCGACCGTTGGCCTCAAATGAACCCAGAACCGACAGGTCCAGTCTGCCCTGTCGGTCCAAACCGGATCCTGAAAACCTCATTGAGGACCAGGACCTTCAAAGTGACCGTCCTTGAGATCCTAGAATGAGGTCACTGAGAGACTCCAAAGAGGTCACTTAGAGACTCCACAGAGGTCACTGAGAGACTCCCAGGTACCTAGTAGATTCGATTTAGACATGTGTAGTAGTTGTTGTTTTTTGGGGGGAAGGTGCGGGGTATGATCAACTTCCGCAAAATGAGGTCAAACTGACCTGTAGGGCAGACCACACGCAAGAAATCAAGAAACAAAATAGACAAAGGCAAAACTCTCGAACACCAACCCTCGAACACCAACCCCCGCTCCCCACCACTCCCCCACTCACCGCTCCTCATTCCAGTAGAACTCCTTGAAGCAGTCGCTCCGGCAGCTCCCGGACCACCTCAGCACTCCTGCGCCGTCGCCGCTCGAAGCCACCGAGCGCCGCGCCCGGGCCGGCCACATCGCCGCGCCGCCCGCGAGGGACCCCGAGAGGAAGCCCATCCGTGGAAGGCTGGAGAGGTGCCGGAGAAGCTGCATGCGGCGGTGCGGCAAGCGGTGCGCCGGGCCAGTCCCTGCCCCTCGGTGAGGAAGTGTCCAGCGCAGCGTCGCCGTCGCTGTCACAGGGCGGAGGGCGGAGGGCCGGCATGCTTGGGCACTTCTCATGGGCTAGCTGCCTAGCTGCACGATGCTGCAAGCTGCTGGCCTACGTGATGCCTTCAGTGTGGATGCTGGAGGGCCTTGACTGGACCAAGGAACCCAAAAGCCAACAGATCGCATTCAGTCAAACAAAGTCCAAGCAACTTATGTCTATATACAGTAGGTAAGTTTGTTCATGCATCCCGCCGAGCTTACAGTGTCTAACCATGTTCAAGCACTTGGGCCAAAGCCTGTCCAAGTCCAACGAGCCAGAAAACGTGTCTCGTGCAGCCTGTCGCATGCTCAGCCGCTCACTTTCAGTGACAGGGTGTTGGCTTCCGCATCACCAACAATACGACTGACGGATTTTTGGCCCCAAAGAAAGACCAAAGGAGCCCCTCGCAGAAATGCTCTTGATGTGATGCTGCTCTCATCTCAAAGCCAAAAGCTGCTTGGGTCAGTAGCCACTGGTCATGGCCATATCTGTAACCCCAACTTAGCACCATATATGGCGCCGGTGCCTTCTTAGTCATTCCCCACCGATTTCTCGCTCTACACCCGCTCAACTATGCCCCCACTCAGACGTTTCCAGCCATCCTCGATGTGGATGCCAGCGGCCCCGTTCTCAATGAACATCTTGGCGAGCTTCATGGTGGCGGTGATGCCACCGTGTCCGGTGTCAGCGTCGGCAATGATAGGATTCAGGTAGTCCTTGGATTCAACATGTTCAACAGCCTGCCGGTGAAATGATCACAACCTCTGCATGCTAGAAACTGGGCAAGCCAAGCGGGACGGCTTTCAATCCTGATAATCTTCCTAAACACCTGTCCAGCAATGTCTGCTAAGGCTCCACCACCGGAGTCTTCGCACGCTCCTCGGCGCTCATGCGGCGGCGCTCCTCATACTGCTTGCGGTCATGGAAGAGCTGGGCACGGAAGAGCTGGTCCACCTGCAATAGCACGGGCCTGATCCGCTGTAAAGCTAGCACTTGAGGCAACCGTCACAGAACGGGTATCTCCAGCTCCACTGGCTCCTAACTTGCTCCGCAGCTAGTGGAGAGATGAGATCGAATGCTCTGGCCAGCGTCTTAGCTCACAAGGTTTACTCCTAAACATCTTTGACCTCTCAAAGCCCCTCCGTTTTCCATTCCAGTTCCATCATCCTCCGGCCATGCCATGCCCGTCCGACCGTCGATCCCAAGGACCCTTTCTCCCGTCTCGTCGCGACCGTCGCCACGGGTCACATGCTCACACCCTCAAAAGGTCGAGCCGACCTGAAAAGAAGGGGGCGGGGGAGCTGAAAGATTCACATCACTTCACTAAGGAGAAAAGTATAGTCATTGGACTTCTAGGGTTCATAACTCTCATCACTCCCAGTTCTGATGCCTTGTTGGGCACGGTGTCATAAGGGTAATCAGCCACATCTGGGCCGGGCTCGTTGGAGGTGGAGGCGGTTGAGGAGCACTGCCAGCCGCTCACGTAAACGGAGGTCAAGTACTTTGCCATCTGAGTGACCTGCCAAGATCTAGCACAAGGCCAAGCAAACAGTTTGGTGCAGATGCGGGTATATCTCCGACATCATATATGCATCTATTATACTTCTATGAAAACATGTGTGGGTGTGTACATCTCCCGTATTTCTACAATTCCTAACCATGCATATATAAGGGAAGATTTGAAGAAAGAGAGACGCAGAGAGAGAGAGAGAGAGCGAGAGCGTGGCTCAAGCCGTTGGCTCAAGCGATATACGGCTCAAACCGGGTGCCTGGACACCTTGAACGGCATTGGTGCTACGAGTCTGAGGCTGACAAGGTCCTGTACTATACCCAGGGCATCTTTGCCTTTGCTAGCTATCGAGGTTGAGGAGGAGGCCGCGCTCTGTGTTCTGTGAGGATGTGGGCTGGCTACCAGCAGGACTTTGTCAAGGTCAGGAGCCGCAGACACTATCTTGCGTGCCATGGCTGCAGTGCCTCATGGATTTGGGCCGACAGAGTCAATGAATCTCGATGGGGTTGCAACAAATGTGGCACGCCATGGAAACCGCAGGACACGCGGAATGATAGCTGGTCACCCACCAAGAAAGTCAGGAAGAACAGAGGGCGAGACCGCACCAAACTTGAACCTCCCCCTGGGCTAGGAAACAGGCAGAAGTCGGAAGGCAATGCGATTGAGGCTGCTCTGAGGAAGGCCTGGGCCACTATGCCAGCAGAGACTCAAGAGGCTTTGAAAGGGGCAGGCATTGACCTCACTCCGGAACCGGAGATACCCCCATTGGAAGAGGTCTTGAAAGCGCATTTGGAGTCCTTGCCCAAGGAAGTCAAAGATGTGGTGGCAGGATTGATCAAACCGGCCCCAGCTGCTACGGTTGATGTGACAGGTCAACTGAAGGCAACAGTTGGGGAACTGAGACAACTGGCAACGAAGAAGCAGTCTCTGCAACGCAAAGTCGACCAGGCCAAAGAGCAGTACCGGGTGTTGCTAGATGAGCTGAAGACAGTTCAAGAGGCCATTGACAAGGAGCACAAACAGCTGGGAGACCAATCGGCTGCGTATGCCAAGCAGTTGAAGGAGGAAGCAGTGCCGATTCCGCAGGCACATGAACATGTGCTTGACCCGGATGCAACAGAGCATGTTTTGAAGGCTCTTGGACAGGCAGGCATCCTTTTCAATTCGGAGCAGCAGAAAGAATTGGAACGCAACTTGGCCGAAACACTGGCCAAGCGACGAAAGACTGATGAGGCCCAATTGTGTGGGTTGCATCAGCTGGACACCTTGTGCTCGAAAAGATGGCGATGGGGCTGTTTCTCCTGCAGTGAAGGGGTCCTGGAGGAAAACTATGGGGTTGGCACCCAGGTGTTTGGGTTTTGGGGGTGCGTCAAACAGATGGGAATGTTTGACTACTTGGAGAAGTGAATGGTCACCTCATCAAGCTTGGGGACATGAGCAAGGTGAAGGTGAGTTGATGCAAACGGTGATGGATGATGTGCAGTTCCAGCAAGGTGACTTCATGCATGTTGCCCTTCAAGGACTGCAGCCGTATGTGAATGTCACAGGTTACCATGACACTCCAATTCCATGTGAGTTTAGTGGCAACTATGGCATCCACATGGGCGTTGATCAAGATTTTGCAATTTTGTTTCAACCAAAGGTAGGCATGCGCCATGCCTGCCGGGACATGGGGGATGATGATGCAGTACAGATGAACGATGCACATGAGCCTGCCAGTCTTGCTGCAAAGCCAGATGGGAATAGGGCAGGCCAGAGAGCCGATCTGACTACAGAACAGATGAAAGTCAGTGGTCAGGAGAGGATAGGGGCACCGCCCTCCACGACCTCAGAGCAGCTGGGGAAACCCAGACTTGCTTCCTGCGGGACCCTGATTCCTTCTCCAATGACCACTGGCAATGGGGATAGCAACTATGCTCGAACGCAGCAATGTGCCCTCTTAGGAGGGGGCAGATTAGATCAAGATGACTACTTCATCCTTGAGGATGATGATCGCCAAAATGCAGACCTTCTCACACCTGGCCATCTGCAGGATAGGTTGGTGGTGTTGCAGCAGAGAGCACTAGAGGCCATCCAGGCCTTGCCGGCCAAATGCAGAGAGGATCAGGACTATGGGATGGTTGAGACCAGGGTCTGGGGCTTGGAGGCCCTAAAGCACATCCTACGAATGAGGCTTGCACTTCAAAGCCATGTCCAGCTGACCCGCCCAGTCACGCAGGTCATTGACATGCCACAGACAAGTGAGTTACTTGCAGCAAATTTGACCCTGACAATCCGCAATCCTGGCAATAGGTGCTTTGCAAATTCAGTCCTCCGGATGTGGTGCTGGATGGGGGCGCATCATGACAACCCTGGTGAGTTTTGGGGGCCGTCCACAAATTTGTGCCTTCAACTACTCCAGCAGGAGGACATACCGGACATCTTTTGGGCCTCTGAGATACAACCTGTTATTGCCAAGCTGGAAAATCCTCAGGCACAACATGACGCCTCTCAATTTATGGTGTTGCTGTGGGAGCATTGGTGTCAAACAGGCATGCAAGGCTCATGGCATTCCCAGTTTGGAGGCAGAGACCATGAATTTGAGACCCTCCCACTTTTCATCCGGATGCCTGTGGAAGCTGGGGATGGTGTCAGTTTTGAACAGCTGCTGCAAGAATGGGCGAACGAGGCCAATGGACAGTGCCTGGCAGCTGACGTCCAACATATTGTCTTTCATGTGGGGAGGTGTCATCTGTGCCCCAGAGCCAAGTCGTGGGTCAAACGTCACAACAGGCTGTGCATCCCCTCGACTTTCAAGTGTGCACAGAGGACCTCGACGGGACATGGGGGGCAAGCTACATTTGCTCTCAGGGGTGTCATTGCCCATCAAGGGGAGGAGCTCATTTCTGGCCACTACGTCACTCTCCTGGTGGAAGGGGATGCGCTATGGTCTGTTGATGATGGGCAGTGTCCTCAAGCCCAGACGGCAGTCCCGGACATTTTCCAGACTGATGCAGTGATGATCTGGGCATCAAGGGCTGAGCATTCCCCTTTCTGGACTCGGACCATTGGGACTTTTGAGAGGCCCATAAAGCGCCAGAAGCTCACAGGGGAAGGCATTGAAGTCTTTTACAGCAACATCACCCAGTGGAATGGCCCAGCCAAGGAGTGGCTGCTGCAAACGGAGCACCATACAGTTGTCATGGTTGAGACGCACCTGCATGGACCAAAGATGGACCAAGCCAAAGCAGCCCTCAGCAGAAGTCGATGGCAAGCAGAGTTCATGCAGGCACATGAGACAGGCAGAGGAGGAAACAGTGGAGGACACCTTTTCTGCTGCCGTGAAGGGCAATCTGCGTACAGGTTGCATCACTATCGTTGGGAGGCCATTCAGCAGGCACGCCGTTGGGAGGACTTGGACCCCCATGTGGTGATGAAGAGGTTGCAGCGGCTTCCCCAGAAGGCCTGCGGTCCGGATGGCATCAGCTACGCCCTCCTCAAGAACCTGCCCCTTGAAGGGGTCACTGACCTGTGCAACATGCTCCGGACCTGGGAACTTGCTGGAAGGTTGCCTGAGCAGGTGTGCACAACGTTGGTGTTGTTGCTTCCCAAAAAGCCGGACATCGAGCGTCCTATTTCTTTGACAAGTGTGCTGTACAGGACGCGGTGCAAGCTTCGCTGGGATAAGTTGAAGCACTGGCAGTGCACCATAGGCCACAGGCTGCCTTGGGAACGGAGCCTTCCTGGCACACAAGTCCTGCATGTTGCCCTTATGCGCCTGCTGAAATGTGAGGTCAGTCGTGCTGTTGACAGGCATGTGATCAGCCTCCTGATTGACCTCCAGTGTTTCTACGACTCAGTGGAACTGGAACGGCTGCTACACCTGTGGGAACCGCAGGATTTCCCACCAGTGCACATGAACTTCCTGTATGAAATCTATTCTGGACCAAGGTTGCTTCAGGCAGAGCAGGTTACAAGCAGCCCAGTGCATTGCAGGAAGGGCATTCTCGCAGGTTGCCCCATGGCACCCCTTGTAGCCAAAATTGTCCTGGCTCCAGTGATTGAACAGTTTGTTCAGGCACATCCGAAGGCCTCCATAGATGTCTGGGTTGACGGCATTTCAGTGGACTTCAGTGGACAAGATGCTTTTGTTGTGTGCAGGGAAGCCTTGCAAGGATATGAGGAGCTCAAACATGGGCTTGAAGAGGCTGGCCTGACTCTCTCGGTCAGCAAGACAGGCTTCCTCACCTCCAGCAATGAGTGCAAGCGGCAGTTGAATCTGACCAGGAGAGAAGATCAACCTCGAGCTCACGACCTTCTCAAGGATCTTGGTCTGGATTCGAGTGGAGGGAGGAGACGGCGCATTGGCACTCAACAACAGCGGCTCCTCAAAGGAAGAGGCCGACACTCCAAGCTGATGCATTTCAAGCTCAGGTCTCGGCCAGTGAGGATAAGAATTTGGAAGACATCAGTGCATGCGGCTGTCAGCTATGGCATGGAAGCTCAGGGCATTGCGCCGCAGAGATTGCGTGTCTTGCAAGGGCAATTGGCCCGCCATGGTGGTTTGCAGAAAGGAGGAAGCACCGACATTGTTTTTGACCAACACACCAAATTGCAAGATCCACGTGACACGGCCATCGAACGTCAGATGAAGGCAATGCACCAATTGGTGCAAGCATGGCCGGAGGCACAGAGGGGAGAGCTGGCCACAGCGTGGAGAGTGTCATGGAAGCGGTTGAAGGCTGCTGCTCATCCTTGGATGGTGGTAGCAGGACCAATGGCAGCTCTGCAAACCTGGCTCATGGAGATGAAGTGGGATGCTGCTGTGCTTGATGACTGGGTGAAAGCGCCACAAGGTGTCCGACAAGTGGCTCAGCTCAATTTAGAGTACCCTTGGCCCTACTTGCACAAGCAACTTCAAGAAGAGTTGATGCAGCAACGGGCCCACAGGATCCAACAGCTGGAACATTGTTTTCCTTTGATGCGGAAGCCGGACTGGACCACATACCACAAGGTCATGAAGAAGCTGACAGGTGTAGCCCGAGCAGCCGTTGATGCCTGGACCCAAGGATCCCTTCGCACACATGTCAGTGGAGGAAGGGTGGTGTGTCCCATGTGCAATGTCCCGGTCACGATGAAGCACCTCATCTGGGAGTGCTGCTACCATGAGGAAGACTTACCAGATGACTGGCAGAGACTTATAGCAGCCAATGAGGAGACCATGCTGTGGGCAAGGGGATTGATTGAAACCCCGGACTATGCACCTCAGGTGGGGGTGGACTCTTTGCGCACCACTGGGATTTTGACCGAAGGTTGGCCGATGAGCATTGGACCAAGTCACCGGGTTGCAATTGGAGTCAAAGCCACATGTCAGGATGCTCGAGTCCAGAAGTTTGCAGTTGCCCTCATGGTGGGACACTGGCATGAAGGTAGCTGGCAAGTGGCTGGTACATGCACGGCATTGAGCCCGGGCAAGGCCAGTGAGGCCAGGGCATGGGTTTTTGGTTGTTGGCTGCTCTTACAGGCCTTTGTTGGGCGGCATCAAGTTAACCTGCCCAACAGAAGTGGGTGGCAGGCTTTGCAGAATGGACCCAAAAGTGTCCTGGTGGCTGACCTTTGGCACAATCTGGCAGGGCATGAGTGGAGCAGGTTGCGAGCTTTACATGTGCCACCCAAGCTCTTGCGGGAAGCGCAGGGTGATCAGAGGGCCTGGATGCAGTATCAGGAGGCGCAGAGGTGTGCAACTCAGCGGGCAGAGCAGGAAGTGCCGACTGCTTTGGTCCAAACACTGCGGAACAATGATGAGTGGCACAAACAGGTGTATTTGGTGGCCTCGGCCAGAATTGCGGCCATTCTCCAAGATCATGAGCACTACATGCATGACAAAATGGCTGCAGTTGAGGCTGAGTTCAAGATCAAACCGAAAGCACCTAAGGGCCGCATTGAGGTGATGCAACAACTCACACAGCGCCTGGCAGCCCCTGGGCAACATCAATGGCAGCTGAAAGGAAGTGGAGTGAAGTGCCGGGCATGTGGGATGAACATCAAGGCATGTTCAACGCATGCAGAAATTGAGAAGAAGGATGGAACCATTTGTGCTGGCTTGATGAAAAGCACGCTCACACAGCAGATGACACAGCTCGTCGAGGAGACCGAGCAGCTCCCGGAGGAGACACCGGGACATCGCTGGGTTTTGAGGTCCAGTGCCTTTAGCTGCAAGAAGTGTTGGCAAAAGGTGGCACGCAGATGCGGCAAAGATGCACTACAGGTCCTGGTCAGATCTCCCTGCAAGTTTGAACCAATCCATGAAGGGGATCTTCGGCTTCGCACCCGGCTGCACCACAGTCATGCTTTCTGGAGAAGAAGTGAGTGGATTGCATGCGCAAAGTGTGGCCGCAGCACCAAAGAAATTGATGGCAAGGTGCAAACGTGGACCTCCCAGCCTTGCAAACATGGGGATGGCCAGAGAAAACTTTCTCTTGGGCCAAGCTCGAGCAGCTAGGCGCTGCTGGTTGTTTGTAGAGGTGCCTTCAAGGAGAATGAGCCTTGGGCATGTCGACAGCCGCTTTTGGCCTTGAACGCAGGCTGCGGCTAGAAAGCTGGAGGTGGAAAAGAACCGAGAAAAAAAAAAAGAGCGAGAGCGAGAGCGAGAGAGCGAGAGCGAGAGCGAGAGAGCGAGAGCGAGAGCGAGAGCGAGAGCGAGAGCGAGCGAGCCTAGAGCCCGGACGCTCAATAGAAACTGCCTCGCGGGTTTCTTCGCCGCGGTATGTCCATGATGAAAAGAGGCCGGCGCCGGGGTGGAATACAGCCCCCCATACCACCAAGCAGGTTGACAGCACCACTGAGGCGACCGAAGGATAAGCTGGACACCCACAAAAAAGCCACACTCTTGACCTGAATTGAACCTGAATTTAGGAAGGTTGCAGAGGGGTTTTGATACATTTTCTCCAAAGACCCCAGACATTGAAGGACCTTATAGCAAAAAAGATTGCCATGTGAGCGACCAATGCTTCGCTTCACTAAGGCCGGTTCTTCACCCAACAGCGACCCAGCTAAAGAAGCCCAGCACTTTGGCGGAGACAAAACCTCTAGCTCTTCGGCATGCCGTTGCCCGTTCCGGTCTATCATAGAGCAGTTTGTGGCACATCCTCCTCCATCACCAGCCTGGACGGTGTCCAGCGCACCAAAGGTGTGGGAGCAGGTGCCCTTGGCCTCGGCTGCAACGGCTTGAGGTGGAAGAATTTCTCCAAAAGGATTCGAACAGCAGGTTCGTGCATTAGCTATGGTTTTGTGGCTGACTCGGCCAAAAGAATGCAAGAACAAGGACAAACATGTGTAACATGTGACCAAAACCAAACAAATCGCAAGTGCGGGACATGCAGAAAGTCTCAAGAACCACAGGTCCATTCAAACCTCCTTGTGGTTACGCTTTTGCGCCACCTCTTAGTAGGCTCCAGTTGTTCCAGCTCAAACGCTACCGCTCTGGTCCCCTACCTGGTGCTCACGGAGCATCTTATAGAGCTTCTCCGACACCTCCAAGCACGGCTCTGGTCGCAAGACATTCATCTTCTTGGCTTTCATAGATAGTCAACAAGATACACCTGGATTTGACCATGATGGCCCCATCTATTCTTCCACCTCATGCAAAACAAACGCTTCGAACGCTTACCGAACACCCCCCGTTCGTCGCCTTGGCGCCGTTGAAGTACATGGGGAAGGTGCCCTGTAGCTTAACCACATCCTCCACCTGGGCGGCGGTTGGGTGTGACCCCCGGGAGATGATGGGGTGTGGCACTTGGGGTCTTCGTGGGTCCGAGGCGACTTGGGAGGTCCACCCGTGGAGTAACCGGTGCTCCGCCAGAGCAGATCAGAGCTCTGATCGCTGAGGCGGCCTGGGATCTGCCTCTTCCTGAGGCGAACAAAGGGGCACCGATGGAGCTCTTTCTGAGGCGACCTGAGGTCTTCCAGGTTCGCCAACAAGCTCAGCTGTTTTCTTTGCGCACAAAACACCTGAGGCGACCTGGGTCCCTATCTCTCACACAGAAGGGGCACCAACAATCAGTCTCACAGCCAGCGATCAGTCTCACGGCTTCCCTTCCAACAGAAACCAACGAAAACGTCGCCGCAAACGCCACGAACATCGTCCCGCGCCGCGGGGCAGGACCTTGTAGGGTCGAGTGGTGTGCTTAAAGCGCTCGCTGCTCATGAACTCCTTCATGACCTTCACGCGCGCTTGGAAGTCCGCATCCTCATTGGAGGACACCGCACGCATCTCGAGGCCGCCAGAGACGGCAGCATCCTGGGAGGAAGTCAATGACCGGACATAACGAGACATACTGACCACCTGCCCGTAAGTGTTTAGGTCCAAGTAGCACCAGCCAGGATGTGCTGCTCAATGACGTTGAGGCGGCCAGCCATGGTGTTGGATCAGCAATGGGGACGAGATGAGACTTTGGAGCAAAGACGCACTGCGGCGGCGAGCGCAGGCTGCTAAACAAGCCCCACGCCCCAGCAATTGTATAAGTGTTAAACTTGTCCTTTAAGGTACCTTCCCTGAAATAATCATGAAAGTGGAAAAACCACCTGTTTGTAAAGAAAAATGGTCAGGGGGTTATACAGCAGAATCTTCTTTGACTGGATGATGATATACCATGGCTTCCCCTGTGCCTTTGTTCCTGCATCATCCGGTTTCCCCATTCACGTGGACGTGGCTGTCTCTTGCCAAAACCGATATCAAACACAAAACTGATGCTCAATGCAACTCAGCCACCATCGCGAACCACCCTGTGGGCAGGACGAAGCAGAATTCGCGCTTCTGGACTTGTTCCGCCCTTTTTTGCTGTGCCGCGTTTCTCTTGAATCAGACCAACACCACCTCGGCAAATATGTTCAGAAACGTTGTGATGACCACTTCCCCGCTTGTCTGGACCCAAGGACTTGGGACGACCTCTTCCACCTCCATCCCACCCGACCTCCACGCACCTCCCGGCCTTCACACGGGCCGCCGACGGCCGCGCCGAGTGCGCAGTGAAGGGATGGGAGTCTATGGAAGGAATGGGCTACTTCACTCAACGGGCTGCACTGAGATGACTGGGCACGTTGCTACTGACGTAAGAAGCGGTGTTTGTGCGGTGGAAGGCCGGAGAAGCAGCTTCACGCACGCCGACTTGGTGACTGTCCATACTAGAGTGGCATGCCATGCTTGTTGCGATCGGCCCATTGCTTGGTACTATAGCAGCTTACGACAAGCTACATGACCTTCACCATACATTCTTTTCTTTGCATTTGTAGGCTCAAAGTGCACACGTTGTTCTTGCAGTGGCTCAACTACACTGATCGCTTTCTCTTTAAATGTTTATGTCCCTAAAGGATCTCTTGCTTCAACACCTCGAGTTTGAGCACGAGGCGATCCAGCTGAGCCCCTTCCGCCGCACGTGCCGCTTCGCCTCCACGTGCCCTTCGAGAAATCGGTCTCCCCAAGGAGTCCCGTCCAGCGAGCCCGTCCCAATGATCCACATTCCCAGACACATCACCCGTCATCATCCCTGCACTTCCACCGTCCAGACCTTTCCGCCCTGTCTGCCCTCCTCTCTGCCCCGCTTCTCTCAGGTCCCATTTTCCGCCGCTCGGAAGGGCTCCGGGCTCGAGGCCCAGCCTGGGCGGAGGGCGGAGGCGGAGCTGGAGTGGACCGAGCCTCAGCTGGGTTTGATGTCCAGGGGCGGCAGCTGTGACCTCCCTGTGGTCTATCCCAGGTCCCAGCAGAGGTTGAAGAACCCTATACACTAACCTATAAGGTCACAGACCACCTCTGTAGGTCTGTCGAACTGTCGAGGAAGGTATATCTATGTTGGTTTCTCTCCGAGGAACTCGCGCCGAGGAACCCGCGAGTCACCTCCGCCGCCACTGCGGCTACATGTCCTCGGGGTCTTCGTCTGAGAGCGGCAGGTCCTCAGGAGTCACCTCTCCTTCGCCGACGCCGTCAGACCTCGTGCGGAACGTCAACCCCCCCGGAGGGGCGCTGTACTGGGGTAGACGGATTTTGAATGGAAAGCGCCTCTTCATGGGCTTGGACCTTCAAGGGGTGTCCAATGGAGGGGCTTCCACTGGTGAGCCCTTTGAAGGTGCTGGGGGGCTTGATGAATCAAGAGTCTACATTGTGTGTTCATCCTGGTGCCATCGAGGGAGCCGCGTCCCATACCCTAGCATCCAAGAGTGCGTGGACTTTCGCCTGTATGGGACCTTACAGGAGCGGTCATGGGGGCAGTATTGAGTTCAGTTCAACCCCTGTAGGATTGGGTTAGCTACTTCCCAGCCCATCCCAGCCCAGGGAGGAACCGAAAACAAACGAAAACACACGTGACCAGGCTCCACGCCTATGGAGAAGACCCACCAACTCCTGCCGCGTTCGGTCCCTTCCGTTCCTCGAATGTTTCATGCACATCAAGGTGCTGACCCGTCATTCTGCACGCAAACCTTCGGATAGCTTCCATCCCCCCCAAACAACAAAACTCGTACCAGGAGTCACAAGACGTGGTGGCGTTTAGTCCTTGAGTGAGTGGATGTTCTAGGCACCCCTAACCTCCATGGATCGCATCTAACCTCCATGGAACTGCTGGTAGGCTCTTGGGTCTTCCATCCACGCCTGGCGTGCGACGCCGGGCCGGCCACACAACCGTCCCGCCTCAGCCACTTCCGGTCGGTAGAAGTGGTCCAGGACCTCCATCTTCACGGCCTGGGCGGCTCAGGGAGTTCAACGATCAACGGATGAGAAAAACCGCGTGGTCGAGCAACCGAGGCCGGCTTCAGGGGTGGAATGGCTGACACCATCCTTGTCGTTGGCTGCCAAATAACAAGAAACAACTGGAGTGAGCACATGTAGGGATTTACATATACTATAGGCTCTATAATATGTATTCCTGTAGATCCATGTAGAATGCTATAGATACATCTCCGAAGATCTCACACTTCTCCTGCTTCCTGGTGCCACTGACTGCTCGTTCAACCGTCAGTTCTCCCCCCGAAACATCCCAAGGCACAGGCCTCGGCCGGAAGCGTCCCCCACCCTTCCGTCCCAGCCGCCCGGGCCATCCGGAGGTGGCCCAGCTCGAAGCAGCAGAGTCGGACCCGCATAGGGTCCTGGCCGATGGAGGCCCGGCGGAGGCCGGTGGGCCACCACGCAGCACCACGCAGCACCAAACGAGACATACGTGACAGACGGGACACATGGGAGCGCTTTCCATGGAGCTCTTCCATTCAAGCATGAGCTCATGCTTCACACTCAAGCTTCACATTCACCCCAAAAAAACCGCCTGCACCCATCACCTTGGATTTGCTTAAGGAACCTCGAACCAGGTCGAATTCTTCCCCAGGCACCGGGGGGATTTCCACCCGTTCGGGACGACTACCCCAGCACCCACTGCGCTAGTGCCCAGCTCTTAAGCTGGGGGCACCTAGGACACCCCAGAATTCATCTTGAAAAGTCTTGGAGTACACATGCACCACCCAAACCATTCTTCCGCACAGGCACAAGCCACCACACATGTCCACAAGAACACCCACTGGCGCGACAGAGGCGCCGTGGGGTGCGCGCAGAAGTCCCAGTAGACGCTGCGCACCGCCGCCACGGCGACGAACTGCACCGGGATGCCGATGCCGCCAGTGCACAGAGTGGGCATCGAGACGCTCCGATAACCGGCGGCGCGCCTGGGAAGGGAGAAGAGAAGCAGATGACCACCATGCAGTGCCAGCCATGTTACTCTCATGATGGTGTTATTTTGACCATCTGCTATTGAAGGTGGGGCTCAATCTCACCCGCAAAACCAAAACCAAAGGGAACCTGGAGAAGCTGCCTTCCACGCTGATCCCTGCCATCCGGGCGGCACGGTGTGCAGGAGGGCCGCGTGCAAACGAGTGAGCCACCTTGGCGCGCGGCTTCCGAAGGGTTTCCAGGGTGACCTGGTCGGTCACAAGTTCTGCTAATTTCTGCGCCTCTCGGACCAAATCGTCCAGCAAAGGTTGGTAATTCACCCTGAATGTGATGAAGTTCAATAGGAATACTTATACATACCACGACCATCCAAGGGGGTGCCCAATAGAGATTCATAGATTCATGTCATAGGTAGTGTAATTAGGGTAGTCCGGGCACCCAGACAGGATGCTCCTGGTATGTCCTGGATGGGAATTCGGTGCAACAGGCAGCCAGGACCCTTAAGCCCTGCGCGATGGGTGTCAGTGTGGACATGTCCGAAGAAAAAAGAGAAAAAGGACGGCCCAGCGAGCTCATCACCAAAACCCCGCATTTGCTCGGCCTTCTCGGCCAGTCCCGGCCTAGTTAAAGCTTTGTCCCAACGACATCAGCGAGAGACGGTTTTCGCATCGTGCCCGGACCCAGTGGAATGAGGTATGTTCGCATCTTCACTTGGGCTACTTTGGGGACAATATATGAGCTTATCAGCCAAGAATCTTATTATATTATTTCTTGATGTTAGGACTGGTTCTCGCTCCTTCATTCATATCTGACTGCTCCTACTCAACTGCCTGCTCTGGGGGTGATTCAAACAATCCCACACGTCAAGACCAGGTGCGACATGAGTGTTCCATGGCGCTGCTCATCGCCCTGACAGGAGCAGGAGGCTTGACCCCGAGGTCGTCCGGTGGGTCGAGCTGATGTGTTTGTGCCACCGCTACGACCTCCGTTGGCTTGATCTGCCAAGACCTCCAGCAACCAAAACCTCAAACGAAATCGTATCTTGAAAGAAAGCGATGTCTTTTGAGGGATGGACCATGGCATGCAACACACCGGGTTCCGAAATCTTAAAATCTCACTATCGAGTCGTTTTCGTTCTCCTCCTCGCCCAGCTGACCCCGCCACGTAGGGCATCTGGAAGATCTGCAAGACCTCGTAGGGAATCTCGGTCACCGTCAGGGCCAGCTTCTCCTGAGAGTGTGCGAGGAGTGAGGGAGGACTCCTCGACACCGCGTTGAATGGGGACGCGGAGCGGACCCTGCGACCGGGGGGGGGCGGGGAGGAGCGGACCCGCAACGAATCCGAAGAGGAGGCGCATGTGGTAAGGCGGACGTAAGAAGAACTCCTTGGAATCCGGCCAATTCCCCCTCCCACTCGGACCATTGAAGTAGGGGGACCTCCAAAGACCCTCTGGAAGAAGGGAAATAGACCAAAACATACTGAAAGCCCATTGGGTTTGAAAGACACACCCAGATGATACCAGCCGGCGACCACCGGCGCGTCGTCATGGTCACAGGACTCCAGGAGTTTCGACCTCCACTTCCAAGGGAGCAGACCCACAAAAACCTGCGTTGAGGCTCCGCCAGCAAGCCACCATGCACCTCAGGCGGGTGCTCAGGCGGGTGACACTGCATGTGGCAGTAGAACGCCCGGTGGATGATGGGAACAGATAGAAGAGACTAGGAGACAAGGGGAAACAGCTAGCAGGGTTTTTGGAGGCTCCGGGTTTGGATCCGAAAACCGGGACAACACCTGAAGCGGCTCGACGACCCTTCTTGTGGGTGAGTCGGGGCGGACGGGCCTCCAGATCCCACTCCGAGCCCCCACTAGCACCAGGATGAATCGATGATCAAACTGGTTGGAACCTGCCCCTGGCGCATCCACAAGACGGAGCCGCTCCTTGAATGATCTCCAACCCTAGAAATCCCAAGGATCTTCCTTCTCCTTGCTGTGTTGGACGCCTTCAAAACCCACCATCACCTGATCAGGGCCCTGACCAAGGTCACAAGGTCCAGCTCGTTCAGCCTTTCCGCCCGCAGTCGGGCGATGGCGTCCTGGAGAACAGGCCGCCCGTCTGACTCGTCAAGGGCGGGTGGGGAATTTGGGCACCCTGAGAGTCCTAGACTCCTTGTTGAAAGCTCTTATATATGTCCCAGGGGCCCTCAAAACCATGAAAAAGATTGAAAAATAAAGGTTTTCACATACAAAAACCATGTTTTTGCCTAGGGAGAACCAGGTTTTTGATGGTTTGTGGGGCCCCTGGTCTATATATGTTCTTTGATTAAGGCTTAAGGGTGACCTGATTGAGGGAACTTCCAGCAACTTCACTGGGGTCACATCTATCACAACCCTTTCGTATGGCGTCAGGGACAAACTTGGAACAGGAGGAAATGATTTGGGCAGTGGAAATCGTGGCTGGTCCTTCACATCATAGCCCCTGACATGTTCGACCCAAGAACGGATGAGGTTCCACCGAGCCGCCCTAACAACCGTAAGAAGTTGAGAGCATTTGGGCTGAGCGGGAGGCCTTTTCCATGATTGACCAGACCCGCGCGGCTGCGCCGGGCTGCGCCCAACCAAACAGACCTCACTTGGGGTCCCGGTTTTGGCCCCGCTGACATCGTCAACACCCTGTGCCCACCACTGACATCGTCTGGCATCGGCACCTGACAGACCAGAAGCCCCCTGCGACCCTCGCGGGCGCTGATGCCAGATGCGGCAACGTAGTGTTCCTTTAGGGATCACGAGGGTATAATAGTATAAGGCTAGGAGATGCTAAGACAATACCAGTAGGCCCCAAAAACTGACCAAATACATCCAAAAGACCCAACACCTCCAACTACCCGTCCAAAAGCACTGGACTTCCTTCGCTTTCGCTCCGACACCCCACGCCTCGGCGGCCGGCCCGGCCACGTGGCGCACGGCGCCCTGCGCGCCCACGTTCACGTTCCTGGACGGTCGCCGGTCGTGGCCGGGTCGGCACTGAGGGAAGCACCGAGGGTCACCGAGGGTCACGGGGGAAGGATTTTCGGAGCGCAAGGGATGGAACAACTTCCGCACGTAGCAAGAGAAGGACGGAGGAACTTCATGGAGGACAAAGAATCTGTGAAGCAAGAAGCTGCTGGACTGCTGAATATCGTCTGAACTATTCATAACTCATTCACCCCTGCCGATGCTGCGACGACGCTGCTATGTTTCTCCGGCCACTTCCTTCTAATGCCCTCAAAAAGACCCATCCACCGCATTCCGATTCCCCTCGGCTGCCATCGTTTGCATTTGTATCTTGAAGGGTGTCGCCTTCGTGTTTCTTCGCTGCCACAGGCACGTGGCCTGTTTCCATGCGGTGCGTAATGACCAAAAGGATTGGAGCGGGCTCGGGTCCCAAGAGACCAAAAAAAACGATCAACACCATGGCTGGGGCTGGTTGGTAGCTTCGATGGACCAAGCCTCACCCTTGGCTAAAGTAGAAAAATCTGTCCTACTGCCCTTGGCAATCTTCAAATGACCTAATCTGAGGTGCCCATGAGACCAAAAGCCTTCATGGCTCTCAGCACCTGCGCCAGTGCTCAGGCCTCTCAGAACTGCTTTTCCGTGACACCTGCCGACATGATGCCGGTTGAGGAGAGGCCACCGCTCACAATGTTGCCCATCTCATCCACGATTTCAGATCCACTCCACTTCTGGTGGGTCAGGGTCTCCACCTTGTGCTTACGCTCCTCGCGCTGGATCATCTGCACATAAGCAGCGGCGCCACGCTTGCTGTACTCCTTGGCGAAGAGGTCGATGTTGAGCGCATCGCAGTGGAAGCCAGCCAAAGTGATGAACTGCCAGCAGAAGCCGAGCTTGGCAAGATCCCAGATGAAGGACTCCATCTGCCCATCAGTCATCCCAGCACTGTCCCAGTTGAAAGATGGGCTCAGGTTGTATGCAAGCATCTGGTGAGGCACAGCAGCGCGCACTTCTTTGGCAAACTGAGTGGCCTGCGCAAGAATGGGCTTTCCAGTCTCCATCCAAATGCTGTCAGCATATGGTGCAAATGCAATGGCACGCTCGATGCAGAACTCAGTGGAGCCCTTGATACGGAAGTAGCCCTCAACAGAGCGGGCAGAATCCCAGTCAAAGAAAATGTCGCAGCCCATGCCTGCTGCGGCCTTTCGCATCTGATCCAAGGACATCTTGCGCGCATCTTGGAGCCACTTTGCAGGGTCCTGGCCCTTGGCTTTCAAAGCCTTGGCCACAGCATCGGGGAAAGTCATGCAGCCAGACCTCTCTTCCCAATCCTTGTCGGTGCCCTTCCTCATGGCCTCGTACAACGGCTCAACGCCCTTGACGGTGACACCCTTGATGTGTGGATGATCAACCGGATCCTGAGCGACCATTCGAGCGACCCCCGGAATCGGCAGTGGAGTTGTGCAAGGAAACGGACTCCATGTTCCAAGTGGTTCACCATGTTGGCACCACATTCCATCACCTTCCTCCCACATCATGTCATGCCTTTTCCTTTAAAAGTACGCCGTGGCTCGATGTTGCTGTCGATCATGGTGGCCGCCTCGGCATCGGTACGGGCCACCAGCACCAAAGGAGAGTTCAGCACGTCAGCCTCACAGTCCGAACACATGCGGAAGCGCGACTAAGGGGCAGAGGGGGTAGACCATGCTAAACTTGAAAGCCCCTCAAAATAGCAAAACAACATCGTGACAAAATTAACAAGCGCCTGTGGGGGAGTATCTATTTAGGGGTGTCCATGAAAACCACCCCGAAACTTTGGGGTCCTTGAATCTATAGTACCTCATTGGTCATAAAAATCGGTCCTTCAAAGGTGAATCATTACCCGAGAGCTTGGGATGGTCCCATCTGACATGACCCTCTTTGGGTTGAAAGTTCTACACACCCAGTATGAACCATGCTGAACCATGTATGACTGTGGGGTGTGCATGTTCACCTCATCCACTTTGCAGCAACCACACCCGTTCGGATGCGACTGAGCCGTCTGTCCGATCGGCCTGCAAGCGGATGGCGATCAAGCGCTGGATGTGCTCCTGAAGCGGCGCTTGAAGCGGCCAACTCTCGGAGGGCCCGGCCCTCTCGCGTCGCGAGACGAACCCGGAGGAGGTGGGGTCACGACGAGTCTCACCGGTTCTCCCGACCTCTTCGGCGCAACAGGACTGGGTGGGAACCGCGTGGGGAGGTGTGAACGTCCGGGGGCCGAAGCCCCCGAAACCAGTCCCCCCGCGCCAGGGGCGAAGCGGGAGAACGCACCGTGAATCGCACGCAAGGGCCCCTTCTTGCCGTTGAACGGGCGCGTCCTGGGTGGAGACCAAGACCTTGCCACCCATGTGGCCGCACTTCTTGGTGCCAGGCTTCTGGTCCTGGAGCCACGCGGGCGGGAGAGGTCGACCGTGAACACGGCAGAAGGCACCCGGAGTGAACAAGCGAAGGGGGTCAGGCGAAGAGGTCGACCGTGAAAACGCCACGGGGAAGACCAACGGGAAGACGGCACGTCTCAAACTAACAAACATGTTCCTGGTTCTTCAAAGTGACCTTTTGATGTCCTAAGGGTCACTTAGGAACCTTCAAAAGGTCACTTTGAAGAAGCTGGTTTGAACATTTCTCCAAATGAAAGCTCCTTGGAAGGCCTTGCTGAAAACAGGAAGTCACACTCAGACGAGTATAACCGATCATGAGGAGTACGAAATCCCACAATCAAAAGGATAAATCTTCTGGGTGGCGCTGGTCTCTACACCCGCTCAACTATGCCCCCACTCAGCCGTTTCCAGCCATCCTCGATGTGGATGCCAGCGGCCCCGTTCTCAATGAACATCTTGGCGAGCTTCATGGTGGCGGTGATGCCACCGTGTCCGGTGTCAGCGTCGGCAATGATAGGATTCAGGTAGTCCTTGGATTCAACATATTCAACAGCCTGCCAGGGCTGGTGCAATGATTACAACCTCGGCATGCTAGAAACTGGACAAGCCAAGCGGGACGGCTTTCAATCCTGAAATCTTCCTAAACACCTGTCCAGCAATGTCTGCCAAGGCTCCACCACCGGAGTCTTCGCACGCTCCTCGGCGCTCATGCGGCGGCGCTCCTCATACTGCTTGCGGTCATGGAAGAGCTGGGCACGGAAGAGCTGGTCCACCTGCCATGGGAAGAACGACTTCGGGTAGCAGGCGTAGCAAGCACACATGGAGGCAAGATCTGCCGAAGCAACCTCCCAGCCAAACAGCTGGGGCATTCCAACCTCAACCACTTAAGTGCGCAACTCATGCGTGCTGTGAGCATGCGCGCACGAGCTTTGGCGTGATCCCGGTCTTCTGAACTGGAGGTCCTTTTTGAAGGGAGCGCTTCCATGACTCCCTTCAAGGCTCCCGTCCCGTCTGCAGGCCTCTCTCATCACTCCCAGTTGAGTCTTACGGTTGGGATCTTGATCTCCACTATGAAAAGAAGGGTCTGACAAATTACAGTAGTGGGCCTGAAAGTGGGCCTGAAAGAGAATTTCCCATGACTTCTTCAAGGAAAAAGAATTGCCTTTTGACTTCGAGGGTTCTCAAATCGCATCAACTCCCAATTTCCGCCTTGTTGGGCACGGTGTCATAAGGGTAGTCAGCCACATCCGGGCCGGGCTCGTTGGAGGTGGAGGCCGTCGAGGAGCACTGCCAGCCGCTCACGTAAACGGAGGTCAAGTACTTTGCCATCTGAGTGACCTGCCAGGATCTAGCACAACGCCACGCAAACAGATTTTTATCCAAGATGCAGCATACATCTGGATGGTGGCCTTTTCCTGAGTAAGTGGATAGCGAATCATGGGCCACCGCTATCATCCAATCTCGCCATTGAACTGTTGGTATCTGTGTAAAAATGCTACCACCAAGGACTAAGGAGCAACAGGAGAGGACTCTTCGACCCCACACGGCCACGGCTGCACCTGGACGGTGTCGAGTGCGCCAAAAGTGTGGGAGCAGGTGCCCTTGGCCTGCGAGGTGGTGTGGGAACATGAGACAGGCTTTAGGATTGGGAGAGGCGTTGCGATCTCAAAGATTGGAGGCTCAGTGGCTTAGTGGCCCACAATCCCTGTCCAAACCAGGGCCCCTAAGGAGTGTGGACACACCTTGACCCCTAAGGAGCTAGTATTCTTAGACATCCCTGGGGGGGGCGCTGGAAAATGGATGTTCAGTGGTGTCCTCAATGCTGCCACTCAAATGCAGGTTCCGACCCCGGAGCCATCAACCCGAACCCGAACTCGACGTCGGTACGTCGGTACGTCTGGGCCACTCCTGGTGCTCACGGAGCATCTTGTAGAGCTTCTCGGAGACCTTGGGACCACTGAGCGATCGAAAGAGGTGCTTTTTGGGGGTCGAAGGTGCGGTCTGATGACAGAGATGTCCGTTCAGCTCCGGTGTCCCGGTTCCCCGGTTCGGCGGCACGGTTTCTACGAACTTCTATCTATGACAGGGGGTCTCTTGATTGGCCCTTGAGATGTTGATTGGCCCAAAGTGGTGGAAGGACTTGCGATCAAATTGGCAACCAGAACCTTTACACCCGGGAAGGCTAACATGGAACCTGATGGCATGGACCTTTGGAAGACGATTTTCCTCTATAACCTAGTGGTTTCAGGTGGGGCGACCCATCCACGGTGTACAAGTTTTGCAGTTCAACCATTCTGTCCGACTGGAACTTGAACTGCAAACCGCTCGAGCCCATCCGGAAGTGGCATACCTGTGTTCCACAAGAGTATTGTTGGACTGTTATCACTGTTATCCCTGCTCCGTTCGTAGCGATGCCCTTTGGCTACTCGTAGTCATGCAGCCGGAGAGCCTTTGCGCCGTTGAAGTACATGGGGAAGGTGCCCTGCAGCTTCACTACATCCTCCACCTGGCACGAACCAAAGGTCTGAGCGGCTGCGACGGCCAAGACCCATGGATTACAATGAACATCCAAAACGGTTGAGTTTCTCACGCAACAAATTATCATAAAAGTATGTGTTTTTGGGACTGTCCTATCCCTCCATTTTCTCAAGAAAACCACTGGGACTCTCACCACGTTCGCGCCACGCGCAGTGGACGCGCCACGTTCGACCTTGTAGGGTCGGGTGGTGTGCTTAAAGCGCTCGCTGCTCATGAACTCCTTCATGACCTTCACGCGCGCTTCGAAGTCCGCATCCTCGGAGGCCACGGGGCGCATCTCCAGGCCGCCAGAGACGGCGGCATCCTCGGCTCACGAGCTCGCTGCCATCTGTCCCACCTTTTCGATGTTTGGAAGGCTGGCGAAAACAGACACTCTCAAGGACCGTAGGTCTGCACGGTCCAGACTTATCGGATTGAAAAGAAGAACTCCATATCTCTTTCTGATCTTGGATGACCCATCCTTCCCCTACCGGAAGAGCGGGACATCCGATCCATGAGTTCGGGCATTCCGACGTCCGGACCGAGTGACGGCCGGGGGTGGACGGCTCTTTCTCTGTTTCTTGGGCGGGTCTCTGTCGAGTTACGGTGTGCTTGTTCGTTCTTTTTTGCCTTTTCCAGGACCTGACGTGAGAAACTGTAGGTCTTTGAAAACCTGCAGGATCTGAAAAGTCTGGAAACTCAAGGTCTCCCCCCCAGGCACGGCCCAGCCGAGCTGCGCTTGCCAGGAGGTGTCCCTGGATCTGACGAAGGCGGTTGGCCATGGCGCCAAAAACCACGGGGGAGGTGTGTGAGGGCGACAACGCGGGACGGTTGAAAATCGGCTGCGGGAGAAGAAAATGGAACATTGGAAGTGGAAACTGGCAAGCACTCTCGTCGCCATGCTCTTCACCGTCTTCTTAAGCTCCGGTGGTTGGCTTCCCTTGCTTCCCTCACGGGGAAAAAGTTGGAAAAATGCCCTAGCAATTCCCCAGCAAACATAATTTAATCAAGGTAAACACAATCAAGGTAGAAAACAATGGTCCACGAGTCTTCACAACTACCCACAGTGTCCAGGATTTCCCTCCTCGCTTCAGACAAGACTCGCCAAGTTTCGTGCCACAGGGCAGGCAACCACCTGAACTGCTCCACTTTGTCTGGGACAGGTGGGAGTTCCTCAAAACCCACAAGGTCGTCGAATGAGGAGAATCTTCACTTGGATCTTGATTAATGCCCATGAACAGCGCAGAAGGCGCTAACAACGTGGGCCGAGAGCAGCATCTTTGCTATGCGAAACTCTCACCCTTGGATCATGGACTCCAAAAGTGAGGGAATGGACTTCCAGGATGTCCTAGGTCGTCGTCTTGGGCGTAACATCTCCTGAAAAAGTGGATAGTGATCCTCCCTGCCCCTCGCTCCTGCCAACCCCTAATTTGACTGTACACATCTCAAGCCACTGACCACCATGAAATATGTCCCAAAAACCTTAGTGCAAGGCTAGTTTCGTAGCACGCAGCACGACCGTCTTCTTTTTTCCCCATCACTTCCCCCACGACTCCAACCATATCCGCAGGTGGCTAGACCCCAACCATCTTGTCAGGAGGCAGGCCAGGAGCCCTAGGGCCCTAGGGTTCAGTCACTCTCCCTTCTGCTGAGCATCCCCGAAGCCACCAGACTGCTGATCCACGCCTCACGGGTCCCGCAGGGGTTTTCCCGGGTCACGCGGGTCACGCGGCCCAATGGAATCCCGGTTGGACATGCCTTGGGGGGGTCCTGCTACCTGCACGGATGATGCGACCGCATCGTGACTGCGGCGGTCTCCCATCAAACAGCGGTCGCTTCGCCCCTTGACCGAGGACAACATAGCAGAACCAACAGAGGTTGAAAAACCCTAGTTCGACTATTAGTGACTATCCTATAGTTTGCCCAGTAGGGCCCTATAAGGTCACTTAACCTCTGTTGGGAATACCAAGCACCCTTCTGAGCCCCGCGCCATGCCGCTCCGGTCCAAGTTCGCTCCGCTCCACGCCCGCGCTTCGTCGCGCCCGCGGCTTCGCGCCCGCACCTCCCTCCACCAGCTCGAAGCTTCGTTCGAAGAGCCGCTTCAGACCACGTGCCACGCCTGCTTTCAGCGTTTTGGGTGGACCGCGTGGGCCACGTTTTGGAGAATTCGGGAGAGGTGCTAAAAAGATCGGAAAAAATATAAAATGACCCTGTACCACTTGTGACCGAATAAAAACACCACAGCCTCTTCATCGCAGAGAGCCAGAGAAGTTCTGGACAAGTGAGTCCTAGCCTCCTAGCTTGAGGCTAATCTCTTCAACCTCAAGGCTTGCATCACTTGGAGGTGCTCGCCTCTCCCATTGCCTTCTCCATGTATCCCGGCACACTCTCCTCTCCAATGCCTCTCCCCCGTTCCCCCCGCGACCAGGTCGCGACCGGGTCTCCAGGCGATAGAGATCCAGGCCATCCAACAGCGAGTGCGTGGCTCGGACCACCTGCACCGCCGCACGCCCGTGGCCACGCTGCAGCAGGGTGAGCCAAAGGGAGCGAGCCTGGCGGGGCCGGCGGGCGTATTGGGGCCTGCACAGATATTTGCTGGTATTATGCAATGTTGGGTTATACTGTAGTACATTACAGCATGTTACATTATACTATATTGTATTGATATATTATATATTACACTCCCCCAACCATCCTCCCAAGATTCTTGCCCCTCCCCACCTGGTCTCACCCAAATGGAAGGCAGTTTCTAAGAAGGCTAAAAAATGGCCTTCGACGTCCGAAAGACTGACTCCTGGTTCAGCTCAACGCCTGGTTCAGCACACCCCCTGACCCAGACGAAACCACTCCCCTCCTCCGCGCAAAGGCACAAGGAGACCCGCAAGGCCCTGGAACTCGCACCCAGCGCGGCCACCGTCCTGGTGTCCGCGCGGCGATTGGGCCGAATTCCCTTCCAAATGGGTTCTGCTTATACGCTCCAAAAAAAAACAGAGAAACACCACACCGCCACACAACCAAACACAGCCCAAAAGACACCTTCGAAAAACGGAAGCACATGTTGATTACATCATGTTCCAGCATCTTACTTTCTCAGCTGCTACCCATATCATCCGTCAATTCCCATAAGGACCACCTGACTTAGGGTGGTTTTCAAAAGCACACCATCTACAACCGACCACAGCACCCACACCATCGCCCGTGCGCGTTCGTCGCCGTTCTATCCCCGCCGCCTGGCTGGCAAAGCCACCGCCACGCGCTGAACCTCAGGTACGCGGATTTCGGTCAGTGTGGTGACCGAAAAAAAAAATGATGAAACCAAATGGAGCCCACGAAGAAAAGGCTCTACCCCGAAACCCCCAGCGCCCCTCGTGAAACGAGAACCCTTCGCGACAAGGACTGGACGTCAAACCCCCAGGAATGCTGGAATGAGAGGAAAGCCTGGAATGGAATGAAAGCCTCATGCTGGAATGGGGCAACACCTCCCGAGCGGAGGGCCAAAAGCAGCTCGGCGTGTCCAATCACGCCTGGACACGCATCCTGCACACATCGGCGAAGAAGGAATGGAACCTAGCCTTGGAAAAAATGTCATGAAGGGATTCTATCATCCTGGTTCTTCAAAGTGACCTTTTGACATCCTGGTTTGAGGTCACTTAGGCCTGTAACAGGTCACTTGGCGACTCCAAAAATGTCAGTTTGAAGAAGCTGGATATTTTATAAGTAGATATAGCCTGTGAAGTTCACAGAATAAGCACAGACTTACAACCACCTGTGAAAGGGGTTCGATCATATTCTATAAGCACCCAACTTCACAGGTCACCACCTGGAACGTTGGGTAAGTCTGATATACCTGGCCTCCATTTGGGAGACCTGTTGATCGTGGGGTGCTGAAGGCAGCGACGCGACCCACCCGCAGGATTCATCAACCATTCTCCACCGCTTCAGGCCGCGCACCACACAAGCAGGGAGGTCTCGAAAATGGCTTTCCGACTTCAACCAAGCGGATTCATCAGAGGTGTCCTCAGCGCCCAGGTGGGGCCGCAAACTTGAGAGAAGGGGTACGGTAGCTACACAGCGAATGCTAGCGACCATCCTCCGCCTCACATCCGACGTCGCTCTGATTGAATATCGTCATGGTCCCAGGCACTCTCTACATGGTCCCATGTATTGCCTCCTCTTTCCGAACTTATCCGAACTCGTCTCGAGAAGATCGTCCACCTTCACCCCCGTTTCGAGGGTTTCGAGGGACGGGAGCTCGCAGCGCTTCGGGCTTCAAGAGCATCGACACGCCGTCCACCTTCACCTGGAAGCGGCCTCCACGTGCTGAAGCGCGATGTGACCGGCCCAAACGAGTACACCATCAGTCAAGGACCGCGCGGTGCTACGGACCGTGCGACGGAGTGTCTAGACAGATCTGGAAAAGGGGTACATCTGGAAAAAGGTGCTGGGGCCATAAGGTTGTTCAACCCCTTGTAACTCGTAACCCATGTAACCCATAGGGGTAGAGAGTCACCATGCTCGGTTCCATTCCTCAACAAGCAAGAGTTTTTGAGGCTCCGGAACCTTCCAACTATGAAAGCTGGCCTGGCCTGCGATGCCTGGCCCAGTCCTTACAATCACTAACACCTGCTTTGACGGTGCCACTACCAACCTGCACCCACCGGTACCGACGCACCCACCCGGTGCCCAAATGCCTCGGTTGGCATACCAATCCACCACCTGACACCGCGCTGCAGTCGAGGAGGACTCTGCAAAGCTTGATGCCAAGTCTTCCGACAGACTTCGGGCGCCATCTTTCACCCCGTCCCAGCCAAATGCACATGCCTTCTGAGAAGGTGATTGGAGACCGCTCGTAAAATTCGTAAATACCTTCACTGGACAGGTGGCAGTGGATCAGTACAAAAAAAGAACCCCTACACCGCACATTCCATCGAAAACATCCGCCGTCCAACATCAACCGCGCGCGACACTCGCGCGCGCCCGCGCGCGAGTCGTGACCGTCGCCTCGGCCAACTGGCCGTTCAGGTGCGGCCGCTCCTGGATGCCCTCCACAAGCCTCAAAAGGAACCATGGAGAACGTGGCAGACTCAACGCCTGGAACTCGGGGTGTGGCCGGTGGAACTCAATGCCTGATGGAGGGTGAAGAACCAACTAGACTAAGAACCTCATAAAACGCATGCTGATGCGCACCAGACCATGTCCAGAACCGTCTGACGGTGGATCTTCGCACCCAACTCCTCGCCGCCGGCGACGCCGCCGGGGAAGCTCCCCTGGCCAAGGCGCAAGCATCCATCCGGCGGAAAGACTCCCCCCGGGCGCCCGTAGCACTCCCAGAGCAGCTTCCTCAGCCGGGCGGAACTTCCGAGACTCCGAGACCGCAGTGGCGAAAGAGACTCTGAGGGGTGTGGCGCCTGGTACGTACCAGGCAGGTTCGGTTGAACGGTGCACAGTGGAAGCGAACGCAACGTCCTGAATGGCTTTCCTTGGACGTGGCATTTGGGGAGGATGAAATCCTCATAATACCAAACAGAGGGTGCCATCCACGTAACCATGAGGTTGCAGGGTCTGTGATGACCTCCATTGAAAACATCTTACCAATGCTCATCGCAATTCCCCAACAAGCCTCGACCCACCCAAACCACCAGTCTCAACGCCACCCCTGCACACCCACACACTCATTCGCTCTCTCTCTCTCTCTACCTACCTCTCTCTCTGTGTGAAATTCTGAAACATATATACAGAATAGTATGTGTATATATATATGTGTGTGTGTGTGTGTTTTTTTTATTTTTTATTTATCTATTTAGTTACTTACGTTTATGAAATCAATACAATGCAATGCAAAACAACATGCTATCATAACTTAACATACTATGTCATACAATAAGATATGTATATAGATATAGGTATACGTGCCAGGTGTGCTGGACCAGTGCCAGCAAGGAGCGGTTGGATTTGAAACCCCGCGGCGTGGATCATCTTCGAGCCATGGTTCGAGCGAGCACACGCAGAGGGTCTGCGTAGACTCCGGGCTCGGTGTCGCTGTGAGAAAAAAAAGCACTGAGAGGGCTTGGTGTCGCTGGGATGCATCAACGGTTATTCTGCCCAGCTGGTGGTGCTTCAAAGTTACTCTTGCTGGTCGCTGCACATTCCTGCTGCCGCTAACCAAACCTTGTTGAGCGCTGACTGACTTACTTTCAGCTGACAGTTGTACCCAAGTGAGCCCAAGTGAGCCGGAACGAGTGTCCAACAGTTTCAGGGCACCATGGGACCATCCAAACACCTACACTTCTGCATAGTCAGGCTGCACTGGTTTACAAGGCATGCCGAGTTCAAAAGGAGACCAAAAGAATCATTGCCATTGAATGCATTGGGCCCTCGAATTGCTCAACTCTCCACGAAATGCTGGCTTCCAAAGTCACAAGATTCAGTTCGGCGCAAGGTCCAGTGCCCCAAATTCCCCAAATTCCTTTGTTGCGCTTCGGCGCTAGAACATGCAAACTAGTTGATTCCATCAGCCACCCCAGAAACGAGGTCCTCGTGTCACTATTTGATTCCCACTCAAACCCCTCAGCCCTCCTCCCCTCCTCACCACCTCCCAGCCGTCCCATCGAACTCCACCCGATCCACTCGAATGCACCCCCCCGGCCATCTGCCTGTTGCGAGGCCTTGGCCAACTGCTTCTGCGCCCAGGTGGACAATTCCAACGCCTGGGGGCAGACCTACACAGACCTACCAGGACCTACCAGGACCTACACAGCTTGGCCGAGTAGAAATGCCCCTGTGACGAAGCGAGGCGTCCGACCTCCTGCACCTGCTCGGCCGCCTTCTGCCCCGCAGCACGCTGCACCTGACGTGGCCCACGGAGTCGGTTCGCGATCACCGGTGAAACCGGTGGCGTGTGCGTACCGAACGAGAAAGGGAGGACACCTCTGGAAACAGAACGCGGTGAGGAGCTGTGACTTGAAATGCTCCATGGGTTTTTCCTTCCCCGAAGCGTGCGAACTTGGAGAAGGCTGCGGAAAAGAACCACGACTGGCAGCTGTGTAAACAGAATGCTTTGGGACAGACCCAAGCCTAAGGAGACATGAATGAATGGGTATTAAAATGGGGACGTCCCAAAGACCCCCGGGGTATAAGGGACATAGACCAGTCTACCCCTTGGGACAGGAAGTCTCCCGGATGTAAGATACACGCCTGAATGATGTCTTTGCCCTACTTGCAAATGCGTTGATTTCACCCAAGATCTGCAATTCTAAACCACCGGTTTAACTGAGACGTTCCATTGAAGACCTGACCTGAACACCTGAGGAGTTCCGACCTGAACGCCTCACCTCGGCTTGAAAATCGTGGTGAGGCAGTGGACGATGGGCAGTTTGGGACTTCGCGATCGTGCCCTTGCGGTTTCACAAGCTATCGCCTCACCTCCTGGGGTTTTCAGGCCACCCACCCAGGAGCGCGGAACGGCCTGGAAATCTCCATCGCGGATCTGACGCTGAGCGGCCTTGGTTTCGGAGAGCGCGTACTCGGAGATGCATGGAAGGGTGGAGGGCAGTACTCAGTACTCAGTAGAGGTCATGTTCAAACAAAAGTTGTCGATGTTGTTCGGCTCTGCCAGCTGAGGATGGAAAAAACTGCGACACACTTCGATTGAAAAAGGAGGCATCTCTTTGCTGGGGCATCTCAGGGGCCAAAGGAGGAGCAAACTCCCAAGGCCACAGGCATGTCTTGTCTCACACAACGATGTGAAAGGCGTGCTTCTGACGCTTTCATTCAAGGTCTCTCAAGACACCAGGGCAGCTTGCTTCGAAGCATATCACGTTCATCCAACGCCTTCAAACATGGCCGAGTTGGGAACCGACGAATGTCACAAAGAATGCTAGGATTCCACTCAGGTCACACCTGGAGCGTCCTTCCAAAAAATGATGTGGAGGCGCATGGATCCTGCACCTAGAAAGATTAACATGGAGCCTGAATATGGACCTTTGGAAGACGATGTTCCTCATTTTTCCTCTACAACCGGGTGGTTTTCGGGTTCCATGTCTCTTCCAAGATGTATCTAGTTCTGGGTAGTTCCGGGGAGGGACCACTCACCTTCACCAAATCTGCGATCGCTTCAGCGCGCTCCTTCACCATGCACCGCATCTAGACCAGGCTGTTGTCTCCGATGATGACTTCAGAATCACCTCCCACAGAGAAACGGTTCAAGGCCATTCTTGGACGGGTCTGATCGCTCAGGATGTCTAGGCAAAAGAGACAGGATGCACACAACGACAAGCCAAGCACGGGAAGTGTGTATAGTATGTAGTATTGACCCTAGTTTTTGTGAAGGCTTCGTCGTCGTCGTCTTCTTCTTTCTTCTTTCTTCTTTCTTCTTTCTTCTTTCTTATTCTTCTTCTTGGCATGGAGAAGCGCATTCCACAAGGAGAAAACCGAGCCACGAAATACCCTAAAGCTATGTGCAAATGACCGCTTGACGTCTCTGCAACAAGATTAAGTACACCTATGTCTGCGAGTCAAGACCCATCAAAGGTGGACCCATATCTCAGTGCCTCTAATCTTTGATCTGGCCCAGTAGAAGAGGAAGTCCGAGAGAATCAGAATGTTCAAGGTCTCTGACGCCATCTGAATGCCTCGATTGTCCGGATAACGCCAATAGAAGACCCGAGGGTAGAAGATCCAAAAGGCAAGGGTGAACAAGCGATGCATGGCTGTGAGCACCACAAAATTCGCGAGCAAAGGCGAAACTCGCTTGTCTTGATGAAACATCCACAGCTGTGGAATCAATGCTACTGCCCCCATTGCTTCATAGTAGCAGCAGAAGTAGCTGACGAGGAAGCTGTGATTCGATCTCCGCACAGTGTACCACATCAAAGCAAGGACTGCCACCACACCATAGAGAAAAGAGGCTGCAACAAAGGGATTCGTCTTGAGGGGGCTATTCTTGCCTATGAGCTCAAACCTCTCAAAAATGTGAATGCCGAAATTGTCCTTCTCTTTCTCATAGCTGGGGTAGTAGTAAAAGCAAAATGACACCAGCAGCGCCACCCCCGCACAAGCACTCACTACATCCATGATTGGATAGATGAACCATGGGAAGACGTTCGGCGAGTAGTGCAACTGGATGTTGTGGCTGATGAGATGAATGACCCTCGCTCCAACTACCGTCGCTAAGGTCTGCAGGGACAGGCCAGCAGCAGATCTTCTCTTGCGCAGTTGGAGGAAAACCACCACAAAGGTTCCACAGATGCAGAGGTCTGAACCTGCTTGGCTGAATTGGTTAAGCAAAGAAAATCACGGAGAAGGCCTCACATGACCAAAAAAGAAAGCCTCCAAGCTCCCGACTCGATGTTTTTTCTTAAGAAAGGGTCCACACAGTGTCTTCTGAGTGTTGTGGGAGGTTTGATCAGCACTTGGCCACTTGGCCTAAGCAGAAGGAACTAGAAATAGCTACTCCCAAAATGTCTTGTCGTTGGAAGAGGTTTGGCCACCTATTCAAACCGCTCATGGAGACTGAGAACCTCTGAGCTGAGAAGCAATGAATCAACAGGTCCAAGCCCAGCTGACCAAAGCTCACCATGGCTTCGTGCTAGGACAGGGGCAACTAGGAGAGTGGCTGATGATGCTGATGCATGAGGACCCATGCCACTTCGGTAGCTATGAGGATATGTGGGGGACATGCCTGCATCGAGACTGCTGGAGATTCATAGTCTTGCTCTGGGTGACGTGAATCAGTTGGTCGTCTGCTTTGGTCATGCAATGTGGAAGCGCCTGGGAGCCTCACCTGTGGCTCGCTCGCATGAAAAACCATGGCCTGTCTTCTGCGTAGTCAAGTCTTCTTATAAATGTTACCTTGCCTCGTACATGTTCTTCTTCTGGGGTGTGACAGGCCCAATGGATGAATGCCTCAAATGTTGGAAGATTCAGACCAGTGCCCCGATCTGAAGAATCATAAAAAAGCCTCTGCTTTGCTCTCCCAGGATGCTCTCCTTTTCTCTCTCTCTCTCTCTCTCTCTCTTTCTCGGGCTTCGCGGCCGCATTGCCTCAGAGATCTTTTTTGCTCTACTCAGCGGTGCTTTTTCCAGCCCTTTAAGCTGGGAGATTCTAGATTTCAGCTGCGTAAGCTTGTAGAAACCATACGCTCGACGCGTCCATCGATCGCACGGCTCCCGGAGCCCCCTGTGGCATCAATCTCGCCCGGCCCGGGCGAGCATCGATCAAACCAGACTGCTGTAGTCGAGGATCACTTCCGAGTCACCTGTGGAGGCGTTGAACTAGTAGCATTCTTGCTACTAGGAACACAGGGCATCGCTACGAACGGAGCAAGGACGCTACTAGTAGCTCCTGGCATTACTAGTAATAGTAGCATTCGTGCTACCAGGCACAAGAAAAACGCGAAGCCATCTCTGCTCCGTGTGACGTTTTTGGACCAAGAGTTGAGGAAGAATGTTCCTGAAGCTCAACCTTCAAGATTCAAGCTGCGCCGCGCCCTAAAACACCCATATCACCTATTTCTCACAGACTGGAGGCCCATCAAAGGTGGACCCATATCTCAGTGCCTCTAATCTTTGATCTGGCCCAGTAGAAGAGGAAGTCCGAGAGAATCAGAATGTTCAAGGTCTCTGACGCCATCTGAATGCCTCGATTGTCCGGATAACGCCAATAGAAGACCCGAGGGTAGGAGATCCAAAAGGCAAGGGTGAAGAAGCGATGCATGGCTGTGAGCACCACAAAATTCGCGAGCAAAGGCGAAACTCGCTTGTCTTGATGAAACATCCACAGCTGTGGAATCAATGCTACTGCCCCCATTGCTTCATAGTAGCAGCAGAAGTAGCTGACGAGGAAGCTCCGTTGAGACTTTCTAACTAAGAACCACATCACAGCCATCACTGCCACGACCGCATACAAAAACGATGCTGCCAGGAATGGGCTTGTCTTGAGGGGGCTGTTCTTGCCTATGAGCTCAAACCTCTCAAAAATGTGAATGCCGAAATTGTCCTTCTCTTTCTCATAGCTGGGGTAGTAGTACAAGCAAAATGACACAAGCAGCGCCACCCCCGCACAAGCACTCACTACATCCATCATTGGATAGATGAACCATGGGAAGACGTTCGGCGAGTAGTGCAACTGGATGTTGTGGCTGATGAGATGAATGACCCTCGCTCCAACTACCGTCGCCAAGGTCTGCAGGGACAGGCCAGCAGCAGATCTTCTCTTGCGCAGTTGGAGGAAAACCACCACAAAGGTTCCACAAAGGCAAAGATCCGAACACAAAATTAGCAGATCCAAGAAGACCTCCTCAGCTGCATTCAGTTGTACTTGTGTGATCAAGCAATGTTTGTTGATATGTACAATCAAGCACTTTGACCCCTGTATTCTTTGTGGATGACCTGGAGCCATGTTTGATTCTTCCCATGAGTGCTTTGAGTGTGGTGCTTTTCGCGTCATATGACTGTTGAGGGCAACTCGGCTCATTCCAACCGAGGCTCTCCCCACTGCATTGGCACCTATCACCAGATGCTCCCTGCCGCGCGGCCGGAGCAAAACCCCTGCCGCGCGGCCGCAACTGACCGCTGAGCCAACTCAGCTGTCGCGGCGGCTCAGCTGACTGTCGAACACCTCTTGGGTGCTCAGAGGTGTTCAGCAATGTAGACTTTTGATGTAAACAAAGAACTGTATGACTACATGAAGAGGCCTGAAGAGGTAAGAACAAACCAAATGGCGAGGTCGACCAATGAAGCAAGAGTCTACAATCCTATGCATCAGAAAATGCTTTTCAGTTGGAAGACCACGTTCGTAGCGCGGCCATGTGGGCTCTTCAAGGCCCAGGCCATGGGTTTCTTCGCCCTTTGTTTTCAGGAAATCCCTCCGACTTCGGATCGAATCGAGTCTCCCCACCGTCAGCGGCCGTGGGCCACCCTTCGCTGCGCCTTTGCCCTGGGGCGGCGCACGGGAGAAATAGAAACTAGAACAAGAGGGGGGATACAACACCTCAAAAATGTAACTTCTTGACATATCTTAATGATATCCAGGCACTTGCGTGGAGCGCCATCTGCACAGGTAGTCACACAGTAGTGTCCATGCTGATTTGTTCTCTGCTTGCAAGCCTTGCCCTCAGACACAAAGTAGTTGAGAAGGCCTTAGACCTTACCCTCAGACCCTCAGGCCTTACGCTCAGACTACACAAGAATGAAGGTACAGTAGTTGAGAAAGTCTTACAAACTCGATGGTCCTACGATTGGCTCCCAGCATCCAAAGGCTACTGAACCTAGCAGCTTTCATGTCCAAAACTCAGCCACATCATCTCCAAGAGTCCCTCTCCTAATGCTGCAATAGGAGGAACCCAAAATTCCCTCCACGCGGAGATATATAAGTATCCTAGAACCCTTGTCCATACCCCTCGTCTTGCTAGGAAAAGGGTGGTTGGTGAGTCCTTCTCCACCTGGGCATCCCCAACGGGTGCTGGCGGCCGCACGGGCACCGGCCGTGGCGCCGGGGGCACCGGCGCGGTGGGTGGCTGGCCGGGGGCACCGGCGGACGCAGGACCAAGGGTGGAGTGGAGTGGAACGGGACCCCCTGCAAAATGGTTCGGATTGCCCTAAACTCTATACCAAGGCGCGTGGTTGATGGTGAGGAAAAAGCATGTAGATTTTCACGATTTAGAGTTGAGACGATGGCCCGACTGTGGCCATCTATGCAATTCTAGCCCCAAGTTTCCGTGGGGGTGGCTTTCGCCTGAAGAGGTGTTTCTTTGAACTCCAGCTTTACTTGCGGGATTAAGATCCTCCTTGAAACCAACTATACACACAACCACAGTTCGGTCAGCAACCACCTGCAGCAATCCTTCGACCCACGGTACTTCGCTGGTGTGGCGCAGAAGAGCCGCTCACCGCACCACCGCACCGCCGGACCGTGCACGGCACCGGCACCTGCATGAAGGCGCGCATCTGGGCTTGCGCCTGGTCCGGCAGAACCCCGGAACCGAGCGAAACCGAGCGAAAGCCCGGGTCCCTGTGCAGCACGGGACATCTGGTTTGCACCGGGCAGGAGTCACATGCAGACCCTGGGGTGGCTTTTCTTCTAAACAGGGGCTGTGGATGTGAGTGAGTGGCTGGGCACCCCGACGAACCTCCATGGAGTCCGCACCCCTTTCTTGGTGACTGCTGGCATGTGTTTTTTGGCATGTTCGTTGGCACTTGCCTCGACCATGTTTTTCCCCACGCCAAACATTTGGGGGGGGTGACCTGCTCAGGATGATAAGAGCTCGGTGAAGTTGAGCGGCGGAGATCTTCGTGCAACGAGTGCTGAGTGTGGTCGACGAGGTGCGCCGGCAAGTCGTTTGGGTTGGATCACGGAGTGGCCCGGGCAATCGCTCGAAAGCACAAGAGCACAAGTATTACCTGGTAAAAATGAATGCATGAAATCGCTGAAATCGTTGCCCAAAGATACTCCTGGAGAAGATTCAGCGGGCAGATCAATGCAAACGAGTGAGAGGACTCCGCAAGCCTGTCATCGTCCAGCAGCCAATGCACTTGAAGATCTTCAGAATCGATCTTCAAGGTCAATCTCCAGAGATCATGTAGGCTCTTGATCAGGGCTTCTCCCCCATTTGAAGTGAAAAGCCTCTTTCCTGTAGGGGTTGATGAATCAAGAGTCTACATCAATCAAGTCAAGGTCTCTCTTTTCTCGCGACTCCAGCGCCTGGAGTTGCGCTTGGAACTGCGCCTGCAGCATCTGCGCCTGGAACCCCGTGATCGATCGGGCGTGCCAAGGACCCCAGCGCCCACCCCAAAGGCATGCTCAAGTCCCTCTATCCCAATTCATGCACTGAGGTCCAGGAGGTCTGGGGCCAGGTCCTCATCCTGCTCATCCCGATCGTTCCTTCCAGGTCATCCCACCCGTCCACCTGCTGCGCTTGCTGCATCTGCGCCGCCTCTCCAGGCGTCGGAGAGGCAGAGAGGCTCTTGGAGAAGCGGGTTGACTTGACCAGCACCATGGAAAGGGTGCTGCTGGTCATGCTGGTCAAAAAAAACCTTGACTGTGCAGGTTCCATCCAAGAACCACTCTGAAAGGGTGGTGCTGGCACATGTTTTTCTAAAGACTTTCTCAATGTGAACCCTGCTGTTGGGCTCAAAGCACAAGTCCTCTGAACGAGAAACTAGTTGAAATGGTGAAACGGAGTGACTGCCAAAAGTCTGGAACAAAAGGATGCAAGGTGGTGATGGATCTGTCCTACCCACCAGGCGGGGGCGCATGTGGGAAACCTGGCCGCGGCATGAGCACTGACATAGGCACTGCGAAGGGCAAGGTTGCTGGCACATTTGGAATGCCACCTGGCATGTTTGCCACCCCTTGTGGTCCTTGTAGTGCCATGGGACTCACAAAGGGCCGTGCTGGCTGCGAGGGCATCATTGGGGGTGGGTATGTTGGAGGCCCCGGAGGCCGAGCTGGTAACGCCGGGGGCGGGGTGGGCGGCGGTGGAGGCGGCGCATCCCAATGGTTCCAGTACCACGCACTGCGGCCCCTCCGCTGCGACCAAGGTTCAGGATCCCACCGGCTACGGTGTAAATGTCGCACATCCCACGAGCTGCGGGCACGAGGCTCAGGCCCAGGCTCCGACCAGGTGCGGGGCAAGGGGGATCGAGAGCGCGACCTGCGCCTGCAAAAATGGCGTGAAACGCGGGGATGCTTCAAAACATTTCAAAACTCTGAAGAGCAGGTCAACCAAACAAACATCCTCGAACGTCCCAACCCAACCATTGGGGTCACGACCAGGCCTCATCACCGGCTCTTCGCCCACTTCCAAAGAATGCTGCTGCGAGAGCATGTCCTCCAACTTCAAGTTGTCCAAAGGACAAGTTGCCTCCCCAGGCGAGATGACTCTTGACCAGCTTGACCCTGCCTTCTAGTATATACCAGGGGCCCCGCAAACCATCAAAAATATGGTGTTCCCTAGGCAAAGACATGGTTTTTGTATGTGAAAACCTTTCTTTTTCATGGTTTTGAGGGCCCTGGTGTGTGTATATATATATATATATATCTGTGTGTGTGTGTGTGCGTGTGTGTAATTTTTGTCAAGGGATTTATCTCATTCAGAACGCTCGTTGATGTGTTCTATTCTAAAAGGCTTGCCGTTCTGGCAGAGCTTCGGTACCTAGAGTGTTACATCATTACGCAGCCCCCAAATGTAGGTGCCCACCGCTCGGCTTGCCACCGAGCCTTCCGGCGCAGTCCGGCGCTTGAACGACCCGCCTTGACGGAAATCCACTGATCGATGCAACCGCGGTGGAACAAGTGGAAGCAGGGCAGGCGGCGGCAGAGCTGTCCAACTTGAATCTCCTCGCGGCAGACCACACAGGGCTCCTCTGCTTTGGTCTCCAGCGCGAAGACTGGCACCTCTGCCAGGAGTCCTTAGAAAGAACCGGCTGTGGAACAAAGAAATCAGGCCATCCATTTGGGGGCACATTGGAGTTGCCTTGTCCTATATTGACTCAACATGGGTTTTGGCACTCGGGATTCTGGGTCGGCCAGTCAGCTACAAAACAAACCAAACACTAGCAGCACGACATCGAACAGAGTCCAAAAGCACTCGCCCAAACAGGCGCCTGCCCCCATTGTCCGCCTGCCTGGCCATCTAAAAGGCCCGCCCCCAAGGTCCGCCCCCCCTCTCGAAGCTAAACCCTACACCCTCGCGTCGCGACCACTTCGACCCGTGGCCTCAACCAGGCGCTCGCAGCCAAGGCTCGGGTGACATCCGCATTCTCCGGCTCCCGCGCCAGGAAGTTCGGGATCAGCTCCGGCCGCGGCGCCGCGACGACGGGGACGCCCGAGACGCCACCCGAGACGAGCTGCGCCAGGACCTCCTGCACGTGGCGAGCGCCCAGGTCGCCCTCGGTCTCCAAGAACTCCGCGACATCACCTGGGGAACCCACGACAAGCAGTGGAAAGAGATGGATAGACGAACACAGAGAGAGAGAGAGAGAGAGCGACAGCATGATCAGCATGTGCAACAAAGGGAGGCAACACCTACAGTGCACTGCACACAGTAAACAGATCAGGGTTTGGAAGCCATTCAAACTGGTTCATGAAACCAGGTGTCTGATCTGCTCTTGATCTGCTATATATATATATATAACATATACTATATACAGTACCTGGTACCCCCCCAAAAAAAGAACATGATTTCATCAAAGTTAATTTGTATTTACAGTGTTGTATGCATATTTTGGTATATAAAGATTCTAACCAAAAAAAAAAAAAAAAGTACTTGCCAATCCAATTCCAAAAAAAAGACAACAACAAATGAAAGGAAACACATGAAACAAAAAACATCACGCATAATCATCCATATTTCCAATGATTGCATCCAAGGCTAAGGTGGTGGTTTTTTTGGGGGTAGCATATATATATATATATATGTCATGCAAATAAAAATGGCAACTCCAAATCCGGAAAAACCCTGCGTCGTTCATCTGCTTCTCATCTGCGTTCCGCAGCTGCTGCGGAGAGAAACCGCGACCCCCCCTCTAACCCCTGCTGCCTCCATGTGTCGCTCGCGGTGGTGAGGGCAAGCGCCAGGCCGGCCTCTGCCGAGATCCTCGCGATCCGGCTGATGCGGCGCTTAGACTCGTCTCTGGGAAGAAAAATGAAGTCTTGAAACCCGGAAAGAAACGCCTGCGGGGAAGAAAAAAGGGAAAGGAACGAACCTCAACGCGGGGGTTGAAAAATGAAGAACACATCCATCACTCACATCATGGCCGGTTCGATGTCATCAGAAGACCATCTGCAAGATCCATCAAGATCCTCTCCTTCCGATGAACTTGCAGCTGCCTGCTCGTTCAAGCGCACGATTGGCCAGCGTTGCAAGACTGACGGGATGTAACGCCAGGGGCGGATGCCTTGGCACACGCAAGACTTGACATCTGCCAAATGCCACCATCATCGTGTCAAATTGACAGGAGAATTGGCCTGATCGCCAGGCTTAGCTTAAAACTCATACTCCTCGGTCCTCGGAATAATCCACCTGTTTGTTCTTGAGTATTCCAAGATTGGTCATACTTGGTCATACTCCACTTCCTAAGCCTTGAGTGGAGCTCCACCACCTGTTTGGTCTTGAGCTTTTGGTCATGTCACCCTTCCGGGCCATGCGTTCTCCACGTGGGACACGGATCGATAACAAGCCGGCAGCAAGCGCGGTAGCTCCCTAGGTCTCCAACCATATTCTCAGAAGGTGGCTAGCCATCTTGTCAGGAGGGTTGGAGCCCTGGGGTCTTGTCCTTCCAAAAACCATGTTCCGGGGTTCCGGGGTGCTGGGCCATTCCCATCAACATCTGCAACTGGCCCCATTCTAGCCGCCCCAACGACGTCCCTTTGCGATGCCTAATGGGTTGTACACGCGCGAGGAAACATCAACCAACCAAGCCCCCCATACCTAGATCGCCCAATGCAAAATGTTCAACTCTTAGACTCTCAGCTGGTTCTAGAGGTGAAAAGGGAGATATTTGGCAAGGTCTAGGTCTAGGTATCACATCTCCACTCATCCCACGCTCTTCTTCCGGGCAACACAGCTGCCGTGGCTGGCTGCGGCGGGGTCCCTGGGTCAGCGACTGGTGCAGTTGCTTCAGCTCGTCCACCAAACGATTCCGGTCCACCAAGGGAACTGCCGGGCTGAAGCTCACCTCAGCTCTGGATGAGACTGCCAGGTGGTTTTGTTCGTCCCATCCAGGGGCCGTGGATGGGACGTTCGGGCACCCCAACTACCTCCAGGATAGCATCCCGTTCTTTGTGACTGCTGGTGGGTTTCGATGGGTTTTGGAGGGTTGACCGGTTGACCGTTGAAAACTCTTTTTGGAGTGACGACCACGGGACACGCCCTTGGGGAGCTTCATCGACACCCCGAAAGCTCCAAAGGGGACTATTGCTAAATATTTATTTATATATATATATATCAACTATCCAAAATATGGTCTTTTCCTATCAAAACAGAGGTCAAATGGGCTCGGTATATGTATATATTTTTTTTTAGACGCCCCAAATACGGGTTGGCGTAGACAAGCCCTGCAAACATGTTCCCCTGGTTTCGTAGGAAAAGACCTGTGGTAATGGATTCTGCAAGTGTTCGCCGTGTCCTCTGCAAGTCCAATTCCTAGTGAGATTGGCCCGAACCTCCTGAAGGAAGGGGTTAGTTCCATCGCTCGTTTGGATGTTGCGTCGCTGTGAGCTGGTGCCAGGCGACAGCCTCCCCATCAAAGCGAATGGCCAGGCGTGCCCGGCGGGTGCAGACAAAAGCGTGGACCCACACAGGCAGGAATTGACGCCCGTCGGCCGCCACACCGCAGGGCGTATAACCCAGCCTCAGCTCGCCCGGCCCAAAGGGACAGTGGCATTGTCCACAGCTCCTGGGCTCCATGCCGCTTCGCACTGGCTCCACGTAGATGCACGAGAAGCCCGCCAGGCCTCCTCCTGGTTCACTGAAATGAGGTGCTGTTAAGCCTGTGGCATCATCTGGCTCCAGGAACCAGGAGTCTGGGAGTGTGTTCTCTCGATCTGCCGGTGGGCTTTCATTGTCTGGACTCAAGGGCACTTCAAGCAGGCTTGGCAGCCCTGGGCCGGGTCTTTCATCCGGCTCCGGCCGTGCTGTCGATGAGGAGGAGGGCCCAGATGGTTGGCCCTCAAAGCCTGCAGCACTCCAACTAAAGTTCGACACCCGCGCACGCGGCGCCTCCTCACTGCGCGAAGCACTCGGCCTCCCTCGCGCACGCCGCGTGGAGGTGCGCCGCTTCGGACGCTGCAGGCGCACCTGCCGCCCAGTGTTGACGCTCAGCGCCGCGCTCCGCACCGGCGCCACACGGCGCCGCTCAGCCCGCGCCGGCAGACCCACGCCCTCGTCGCTGGAGACGTCCAGCCGCAGCAGGCGATCGCGCTCGGCGTCGAGAACCTCGCTGGCGACCTGCTCTACGTCCACGAAGTCGTCCTCCACCACCAGCGCACGGGAGACCAAGGGGATCCGCGCGCGGCGCGCGTGCCGCGCGAGGCGCCGCTGCGCTCGGCCGCTGAGGTTCACGTCCGTGACCTCCAGGTCGCCACGAGAGGAAGCCCTCAACAAGGCCTCGTGGATCGCCTCCTCCTCGCCTTCGGCTGGCACAAGGGCTTCGGGGTCTTCGATGCCATCAGGGTTCTCCTCGCTCAAGCTATCAAACTGAGTTGAAGCCAGGGATGTCTGAGTGTCAAGGAGTTCGGGTGGATCATCCATGTTTCACTGGGCCGGGCCAGCCAGCTGCCATGGCATCCGTGCCCGACTTTTGTCAGGCTGGCGAGAAACGGCTCGGAGGTATTTGGTGTATATAATGCCTGTCGTCTTTGAGCTGCTGAGTCGGGTTTTCGAAAGTTCTCAGCCACGGCTGGCGGCACATGATGGGTTTTGAAGGGCATCGATCTGCGATTCAACCAGCAGCTTGAACCATGGTGCTGCGCATGGTAGAGCAAGGAACTCATGAAACCGGTAGAAGGTGCGAACAACCACATGCCGGTTTACATATTCTTTATATTTAAACTTTATATTTTATGTCAGCACCCACCCCTTCAAAGACCCCTTGTTCAAAGAAACGGGACATGCCCAGATATGTTGGCCGCGTCCTCGATCGGACGACCCGCGGCGAAACGCGCGCCGGTCTGCCTGGAATTGGATCTGCGCTTGAATATGCGCCTGGCCCAAGAAGTGGGAGCTTTTGGAGAAGCAAAAAAATGGTGGGACATACTTGCGACCTGCAGTAATGTAGACTCTTGATTCATAAACCCCCCCCTTTGAAGAGGATCTTCAACTTCAATTCAATTGGGGGGGGTGTATGGGTTCTGCAGAGTCTGCATGATGTTGAACCATACAGCTCAGAATACGTCGTCAACTCCTTTTCACGTCCTTTTCGGAGCCCGGAATCGGAGCTCGCTCTCCCGGTCTCCATCCTCCATCCCGCCGGTCTCGAACTCGGCTGCCGAACTCGGCTCCCCCCTCCCAACTGTGCCAGCATGATGGCACCCACCCCCCATTCTTCTCCCAATTCCCGGACACCCTCGTCTTAAGAATGGCAGCCAAAACCTGCTACTCCCCAAACCAACGGAAACTGCTGGGCTGTCATCACCCCCCCTGCCCCATCGTACGTTTGCGGTGCTCATATAGGTCCCATGCAACACACCCAGCCGCGTAGTTACTTGACTTCATTCATGACAAAGCGAAGAAATACACAACAATCACACCAATAGAATCACTCAAGGTCGAACTCCTTCGATGCACCTATTTCAGCAACCCACTAAGCCGCACGCAAACCGCAGGTGGCTCCTCCCAAAAAACGTCTCCGAACAGCCCACCCACAATCCTTGGCATGGTGGAAAGATGGCCAACACAAGTCTAAGTAACCCCTAGAAGTCCCAAGACTATATTTTGACCAACTGAAGTTACTGAAGTACAGGAAATTCCTTTTCAGGTCACCTCAAGACCATCCTTTGTATAGTCTTCGACTCCCAGGGTAGCCAAAACCTTGGATGACCGGCAGCGCCCCAAAACCGCTGCACCTGCATGCTCATCGGCTGCATGGTGGGTGGCATCGCTTGCCCCGGCGGCGGGGGTGGTGGAGGTGCCGCAGCGGGCACGCCATACCTGGCCAACAAGGCTGAAAATGCCGCAGGTTGAGATGGGGACAGAAAAGACACCGCCCAAGCAAGATCTGCGAATGAAGAAGGGCTAGCAATTGGACGAGAAAACGCTTTTTCGTCGCGCTCTGTCAACCAAGGCTGGGTCAGCAAACAGCGCGTTGGACGCGGGCACAGACCGCGCCGTGTCACGCTCGAAGTGGGTTGGCCTATAGTGCCCCAGAGGCTTAAGCAAAATATGAATTGCAAGAATTGGATACTGGACTCTGGTGTTTGAATGAATTGAATCGTTGAAGCTTGGTCTCTCTTTGGTCCACTGCCGTAGGTCTGTCAGGGATGTTCACAAGTCTAAAACTGGCCAACCATCATTCAAAGGTCTGCTGGCTGTTCATCTCGAACACCTTTCCTCACTCCTCCTTCTTCTTCTTCGAGGCCCTGTAGATGCCAACGACCAATGCGTGGTCGCGATGATACGGCTCCAACGTCAACTGCTCCTGCTGGCGCATGGGAGTGGACGTTGACCTGTCACACCTGTCCTCCCTCTCCTGCCCCTAAGAAACCTCTTCAGGCTTTCGGGGGGGTTACAGGAGACGTTCCTCTTAGCTGCATCCCACCGCCCATAAAAGCCCCGCTCTCTCCCGTCTCCCCGTCTCCCCGCAGCTCCGCTCCTTGGGCTTCACCCCATCCTTCCGCAGCTTGTCGATCTCGGAGGCGAAGACGGCCTCCGGCGCCGCGGTGGAGTCCACGCAATTGGCCTTGATGGAGATCCTCAGTGCGGTCCGAAGGCTTCCCAACAGAGGTTAAGTGACCTGAACTAGGGTCTTGCTTCCAAAGACAGGCCCGGGCCCCGGTAACAAGCAAATCCTTGGGTCCTCCATCCACCGAAAGATCTGGCAGTTGGTTGGACGGCAAAAAGAGGCACCAAGAAGTCATAGAGTCCGATGGACCTATTTGATCCTATTTGCCTTATATACTTTAAACTTCGAAGAAAATATATAGTCCTCAAAGGCCCTCCGAACAAGCGTCATGACCCATCCATTGTTCTTCAGGAAGAAGCTCGCGTTGTGTGTGACGATACGCGCTTGGTCGGGCTGGGCCACGTCTGAAAAAATGCAATCCACCATGCCAATCAACATGCCTCAGACACTTCGTGATGGCGGCTGGGCGAGACGAAGGAGGAGCATGATCATGATTCTTGCACACCAAGAATGAGCCTCCAAATAAGAAGTATTGGGAGAGGATTTAGAGATGTTTATAGTGTCATGAAGATGTGCCGCAAGAAAGCAGAGCAACCAAATCTTTATTCCACCAAATCTTTCAAGTTGGAAATGAAGGTGTGGCTGGAAGGGCTACATCTTTCCTCTTGCACCTGGACGACCATACAGGGAATTCTCTTCATCGCTAAAACTGCCGCTGGCTCGTGTTATGGCACCCATCCCCAAACACACCAGCCCGCCACTGGTCGCACTAGGTTCACCACCTCGTGCGGAGAAGATATATCATGTTGATGAAGAAAAAAAACCCAAACCAAATCAGGCTCAGGTGGTTTTAACAATCAAGAGCTCCGCACTCCCCACTCCTCGATTCATCCAGGGGGCGGTAGCGCTGCGGCTGGCGCGCGTCCTCCACGATGGGCACCACGTTGGGCCGCCGCTTCGCCATGTTCGTCAGGTCGCGCCCCGAGCGGTGCGAGAACTCCACCGCGTAGACCACGCCTGGAGGCGGCGGTCGAAAGAGGCGGTGGGATCGGTCGAGCGGGAGGAGGGAGGAATTCAAACATCTTCAAACACTCCAACTTGTAGCCTCAAGTTGTAGCTATACAATAGCCTCTATCCCCAACCCCAACTACAATAGGGGGTGCAACGAAAAAATCGCCTCTATCCCTCCAACTTGTAGCTTCCACATTGCTCCCAAAACGATACCTGCCCTGGTCCCCGACCCGGTCCCACCCCACCTTCAGGTCCCACCATGTCGGACACGTGAGACACCGTCGTGCCACTGGCTCCGCCCAAATAGAGCACCTTGGCGCCCGGCTTCACGGGGCAGGCGCCAATGCCGCCCACAATGCCGGCGCCCAGCTTGGAACGGAAGGGATTCCACACGCGGTACTCGATCCTCAGGATTGGTCGGAACGGAGAGAAACCCGCAACCTCCACCCCCCACACGGCCGCACAAGTTTCGTTTCGAGTTCCTCTTCGGGTCCTTCTTCCTAGTCGTTCCTGGTCGAGACCTCCACACTGTCCTTACCCGGAACTTCCGTGCCTTGACTCATTCTACCCCGCCTGGTGGTCATAATCCACTGACAGGGGGTAAATTGAGTCATTTTTCCTAAACTCTCAGGGTGCTTTTCGAGGTGCTTGTCTTCGCCATCCGCACTCTCTGCCACCAGGCGCTTCTCACCGTAGACGGACTCCCCAGGAACGAGGTTACGCGTCACCAGGGAGTCATCCTGAACGCACCGAACCATGTGGGCTGCAGCGTGCCAATGTTGTTTTTACAGTATGTGTGTATTTGGTGTGCATGTGAATGTGAAACAATTATGCCAGCATAGACCCCAAACAGCTTAGTCGGCAAGAATTGCTGTCGTGGTGGTGGGCGGCAGCCCGGGGACCCTGGGAAGGAAAACAATATGAACACACCAAGAGACGGACAACGCCAAAAGGACAACAGGACCACATGAGGGGAGCAGCCCAAGAACGGAGAACAAGATGAGAAGAGGAAGAGAGGGCAAGAGAAACACAACAAAATGATAGGAGGAGCACAGCCGGAGAAATGCTGGCAGCCACGGCCAATGAACACCTGAAGAAGGACAACAAGAAAGCAACAGAAGATCATGAGGAGGACTGGACCGAAAAGATTGTAACATGAGGAGATGAGGAGGACATCCGGACAGGGTCCGCCGGCGCTGCCTGACACTGTGGCCAATGCAACAAGGAGAAGACATCGGCTTCTGGCAGGGGTTGCTTTCTGGAGTTGTCTTTCAAGAGAAGGACAAGAGAAGGACAAGCTCCGGATCCAGTGTTCAGGGGCAGAAGGACAAAAGGAGGACAAGAGAAGGACGAGAGGACTATAACAGGAGGACAAGCGCTGCCGGAGGACAACAGCAGACAAGAGGAGGACAAGACCCGGACACAGAGCCCGGACACAGCAAGTGTGGCCAGCGCTTTTTTTCATAAGAGAGAACCCCAACAGTAAACTGTTTGGGGGAAAAGAATATATATGTATATGCGAGATGGTTGATGCTCATATCTATACAGAAATACATAACTTGCTTTAAACCCTTGCTCCGGGCATTCCCATCCAGAAGCTCACGCTTCCGAGTCTTCCTCTCATCCCCGCTCCATCGCCCAAACTCGCCGCACCTTGCCCTTGGACACGAAGGCGCCTTCATGGCCTGAGCTAGTGGCCATGAGCGAGCGGAATTGGTTAGTGGCAGCTGCAACATTGAGACCTGAAGAGTGTGAAAAAAAGTCGTTTCACAGCAACTGGTGGCCCATGTTGGTGACCAAGCAATGCAAACCATGGCCACCAACTAACTTGCACCGTGCAAGTCCCAGCGGCGGTGGGGTTCAATGACCACCTTGGCTGCTCCACCCTTCTTCCCTCCGCCCTTCTTTCCTCCGCCCTTGCCGCCTCATCAACCAGGAGAACATCTGGTCATGATTTGTCATGCGTTGAGAAGAGGATGCTGACGCTTTTCAGAGCGGCTCGCTGTCCACAAGACTCGCCACAGCTTTTCGCTTTCCCAGCCTCCCTTCTTTCCTTTGCCACCGCCTTTCACTTTGCCTTAGCTTTGGGCTTGCTTTGCTGCACGAATCTGGCTTCCCCTATCACTCGCACCATGAGTTGCATGGGAGTTTGTAGGCGGAAATGTGGCCTAGAATATTGATCCCACTTTCTTCTGCACTGTGACACTTGTCTTCGCGGAGTGAAGCACATGTGCCTGCATACCCCTCATAACCTTCATGACTATTACGGGAAACGCCTCCTTGAAGGGGGCGTTCCGCCTCCTTGAAGGGGGCGTTCACGTGCTGATCCGTGACAACGCACTGCTGCTCGATGTCAAGATGCCTTTTCCTTTTCCTCCCTTGCCATCTTTACCCTTTCCTTTGGCTTTGCCGCCCTTCCCCATCACGGAGAAACCACGGCTAGGCCATCCGCGAGGGCCGAACGTCCGAGCTCAAACGGCACCAGAGAATCCACCAAAGTCCGAGCTCAAGCTTGTGCTGGGGAAAAAGAATGAGTGAGACACCAACTAGATTGTCCCAAATACATAACATAGAAATGGCTTCCAATACATTTTCTACGGGGGAGATTTAGGAACTTCTATCCTCTCTCATAGTGCCTGTAGTCGGCTCATTGTGTCAACACCTTCCAAAAGCCATGGTCAACTCAGGTCCCTCAGGTCATGGTCAACTTGCTGGACTATGGGCCACATCTGCTTGAAACAAGGTAGCACTTTTGGAAGGTGCTGCTCAAGATGACGGTCGGCCCCCTATGGAAGAACCTGGATCTATACACATAGGTGACATTGGCACCAACAGAAGCAGAATCCTCTTCATGTGAATGATGGGGTCAGCAAACGTCCCACACTAGCCGGTGTTAATTCAACTGCATGGTCAGCTATAAGAAATGATCCAGTTGAGTTTCCACCGCCCAAGATTTGCCCGGGCAGCTCCTCCACTGCCATGCTTTTTTTCGGGCTGCCTGGTGCAATAAGTACTGCCCACCTATAAGTGGTAAAATGCTCCAATCTCAGCACTCCTGGACTTCAAATCCCTGCCCAAATCCCTGCCAAAGAATCCCCCCAATCAAATCCCCCGAAAATCACCCGACATCGTCGCACTCTCCAAAGCTCGGAGGAGACTCCTCCCAACCACATGTGTGACACACGCACCCCTCTGGTGGTGGAGGTGGTGGAGCTGACATGACCTCGCGCGGCGCTCGCGGAGCACGCTGAATTCTCTTGGGGCGTGGGACAAGTATGGAAAAAGCGATGGATGAAAAAGAAGAACGTGAAGCTGGTGCTCCGGGCTGCTGCATACAGCCCACTTCTTATTATATATCTTCTAGTATCTTATATATTTATATATTATATGGTATTATGAAGTCTTGGGAAGTTTCAGCATCATTCTTTCAAATCCGTGTGTATGTCAATAAGTTGTCGGCTTGGGGATGCCTTCAGTTTAACTCCGATTCCTTCTGAGCCTCCAGCAAGCGTGCAAGGGACTACTAGCTATAAGCCCATTGAAGAAAGGTGGGAATCGAATCTTAGGCTTCTTTTCATGGTGAGATACCGGGCAAGGGTGTTTTGTTCTTGCGAATTGGTTTGGACAACATGGCACCTTATCTGTGACATGCTCTAGAGTTCGCCTCAGTGCGTGCTGTAGAGTTCCTCCATGTGTCAAATGTTGACCCTCTGTCGGCTTTCTCTTTCTCTATCCATGAGCCCACGCATCTGCCACTCAAGCTCAAGACGGTGCAGCAATGCAGCACCGTGCCGCAGCGGGTTCAACGCTAAAAACCGCTTGCCACACACCGCGCCCCAAACCAGGCGACCCCATTTCAGGCGACCACCCCCTTTTGGATCTTTTTGGAGCGACCTCATCCCTCGCCGACCCTCGCCATTTTTCCAGCCGACATCGACTCGCCCGCGTTTCGGCTCCGGGCCCGGGCCGGCGAGCCCCCAGGGCGAGTCCAGCGGCTTCGGGCTTCGGGGTGACACGTGAGACCACGGATCTCATGCCAGCGCATCTTCGAAGGAAGCCGCCTCCCCAGGCGCATTGAGCACCTGAGAGTTGCACCAAGCTGGAGATAGATAGACTGAACAGAGAGATAGAGATCGACAACCAATATAGACAACTATAGGAGCTATAGGTTCGATGGCTAATCCGAGGCTATTTGTGCCTTGCATCGGCTGCGTGCAAACCTCCTACCAACCCAAACCCCCCACCCACCGCATACATAACAGGAAGCACCCCGGACCATGTCCCAAAAAAAAGGGATGAACGAATTCAAGTGGACCACCTTGCATGGCCCATCCAGCATTTCTTCACCTTGCATGGCCCAAATGGTTCCCTGGAAACGCCCAGTGCCCAACTGCTCCAGGTGGGGAGGGGGTTGTGGGGGTCGTGCTGTAACTCCTAACAACTCCGGTCACTTGCCCCCTCCCAGACATCAGAACTGCTTGACCCCCAACTGGCACCCGTGCTCCAAACAGCTCGCAGCCCTCCAAAAACACCGCGTTCGCTCCGGATCCGGGCCAAGTGGCACCCGATTTCCTCCGCTTCTTGGCCTCGCTGGCACGGATCTGGTTGTGCTGCCTCTGCGCGGCGGCCATCTGCACGTTCAGCACATCGGAGGCCTTCTCCTCGGCGGGCTCCTCAGCAGAAAGCCCAATTGGAGGTGGCAAGAAGACGACCATCGGCGTTCGAAGGAAAACAGAAAACTTACATGTCTTACTGCACGAAATCCACGCATCAGCCACACCGCCCCTTTCTCAACATGCCCCCGAACCACCGACGCCAACCGCCAGCCGCCCGAAACCGCGCCCCCGGCAAGGCTCGATGACCAAGCGCCGCCCGTAGAGATGGCTGTGCTGCAAGGCTCCAAAGGCCGCCTGCGCCTCCGCGCGCGAGGCAAAGTCGATGAAGGCGAAGCCTCCGCCGTGCCGCCGCATTCGGAAGCGGCGGGTCTTTTCAAGGCGGCGTGGGTGATTCACCCCCCAGCAGCGGAGGGCGAGGTTCGGGGGGCTGGAACGTTCTGGAGGATCCGCGTGGGCAAAACGGTGCGCTCCCTACCAGCACCTTCCAAGAGGTCTCCGAAATGGAGGTGACCTTGTAGACTTATGCCAGTCGCAGGTGGTGACCTTAACAGGTCCTGGTAGGGATTCAGTCGCACCTTCGAAGGTACGGTGATTGCAGACATGACGAGAACTTGTGACACACGCCGCGCCTCGGTGCCCACTGTAGTCCGACTTCTTGGGAAGACGGCAGGAGGTCACAGTGCCATAAGCTCCAAACAACTGATAGAGCTCTTTTCCTTGGAGAAAAGGAGGATTCATGATGATTCATGAGCAAATGGTGGTGTTTTAAGATTCGATCCTGATTCCCCCTAAAGAAACACAGAGCTTGCCCTCGCAAACCCGAAAAAGCCTCTTCGTTGCTCCTTTTGCCGAAGTTAAGACCTTTTGGAAACCTTACCGTAACCTTGCCCAAATGGGAATTGAAAAGAAGACCCGGATGTGGATACGCACACTCCAGGACAAATCCGACAGGATCGAGCTTCTGGTGGCTTCAAAGGCAACATTCCGCACGCAGATGCTGGATGATTTGATGCCTGCCAGAAGCACAAACACTTGGCACAGGCGGGCTTTAGACTTGCAACTCCTCGCGTCTGGATATTCTCGGGAGCACCAGGTGACAGGTGACAGGTTACCTTGATCACCTAGTCAACTTCACCAAAGTGGCCCCCAAGTCCAAGAGTGTGGAGATCTTTACACTTGGGAACTTGATCTTTAGATTCTTTAGATGCTGTCTCGTGTGTGGCTTACAGTCATCCCTAACCTTCAATCCTTGGGATCCGAATCAGAAAATTTGAGCCATGCCCGCTCTTTTTCACAACTCAGTCCGGGTGGTGTTCCACTGTTGAACATCCCTGAGGCCTCGCCTGAGGCCTTGGCGGAGCTCTTGGCGTTGGAATTGCCCATGACCTTGGAGCCACGAGCCTGGCTCAGCTGCAGCTGAACAGCATGACCATCGATAAGCACCTCATCTCTGAGCGCGGCACTGCACTTGAGAGGGAAACAGATTCGAAAAAAATCACTGTGGAACAATGACTTTCACACAAGTCCACCAGCAGGCTGCTTGCACGGCTTGGATCTTTCAGCTTGAATTACTCCCCATGGCCAGTGAGGGGGCTTGTGATAAACCCTAAACCCTGCATGTGCCGAGAAACGCCCTGCTTCTTCTTCAAGACCTCTTGCGCTTGCGCAGCCGTCTCGAATTCTAGGAAACCATAGCCCATCGAAAGGTTCTTCTCCTCCTGGCAGTGGCCGCTTAGGAGCTCAGTGGTTAAAGCCTGTGGTGTTTGCGAGGGTCTGGAACAGGCTTCATGCCCTTTCTTGACGTGCACCCAAGCACAGGGCACCAACACGATCAACCACTTGGCCCACAAATGGACCAACATGGCCCAAGAAGAGGTGAGGAACCTCAAAGCCTTCACCTGCACGGGCGTCCACTGCAGTTGTGAAGGTCTCTGCCCCGCGATCACAGAACATGAAAAGGGTGCTCGGTTGGTAGGAGGTGGTGGGTTTGGGACAAGGCTGCCACTGGCGAGCTGGGGGAAATTCCCAGGGTTCAAACAACTGGCTAGACCAAGTCACACATCCTGCAAAGGACATTGACATAGACCAAAGCTTCGGGGCAGAGTCCTTCCACTGTCGGCCAGCACCCTCCTCCCTGACCTCACCGCGCTTCTTTGGTGGTGCTCAACGTCGGCACGTCCTCCTTCACGGCGCCCTTCTTCTTGGTCACCGCGGCCTTCTTCCGCATGATCACTGCAGAGCGGAAGCCTGGCACTTTCCGGAAGGCCTTCTTCAAGGCCTCCTCGGTGGTGCTGAAGTTCAAGTTCTTCACCTCGGCCGAAAAATAGAACGACACCCGAAGCGGAGGTGAGGGAGGGCAGGGCCGGGGCCTGGTTGGAAAAAGCAAAGCTCTTGAGACCAATAAAGTCGCATCAAGAAAAGGTAATTCTCTGTCACATTACGGAATTTAAAAGCACTTATATATATATATATACGTGTGTGTGTGTGCATATGTGTGATAGATATATACATATATCCAGAGAGACTTTCGAGGCTCTGCTTCGTCTGAGCGGCAAAAAGGTATCCACGAGATTCCTGCAGAAAGAAGAAACGGTACAGAACAATGTCAAGTGCCACTCCGCCTTTCCAAAGGCGTCAAGAATCACAAAGCAATGGTCACCTCACACGCAAGGAGGGTCGGAGGATCCGTTCAAATGCAGCGCCTGCTACTGCGTCTACGGCTCAAGGCGGCGTTCTCCACATCCGCGGCCCACGGGCCTCGTCCAGCTCCTCCTCGGCAGCCGCATCAGCATCATCCGCTGCGGGTGCAGAGCCGTCAGTGAACCTCACAAAAAGGTGGCTCCCCTTTTGGATGGAGCTGATCTACCTAGGGCCGTGGAACTCATCTTCCTCACTCACTCGGCCAAGAAACGAGGTAGAAACTATATCAGAAAGCTTCTGATCTCAGACTTTTTTGGGAGATAGATGCCAGATGTTCACAGTGACAGGACGAGTCCTGTACAAAGGAGGAAGGGACTTTGACCATGGCTGCAAGTTTCACCAAGCTGCACGTCCTCCGGGGCCCACTCCAAATACAGCGGGACATGACCTCAAATGCAGCCATTGGCTGCATTCCGGAAACTCTGCCGGTGAAAATTGGCAAAACCAGCTGGGTGCATGCTGAATGCTCATTGTACATTCTGCTAGCAGGTCCTCTAAAATATAACATAGACATGGGTGTTTGGTATCCTCAAAAGTCTTCCTTCACAAGAGTCTGGCAGCCGATCACGACGACAAATGTTGGCTCGGCTCCAACGGGCTCCCACCACCCATGGCATGTTCCGTCTCAGCTGCGATAGCGTGAGAAGGCCAGCTTCTGAAACGCATGCTTTGCCGCACCTGCCAGCCACAAAAGAGACACTCAACCAGCAGTCACGTTTGATGGGGTGCGATCCATGGAGGTAGTCGGGGTGCATCCGCTCACTGGATGGGACTACACACCACCCCGTCTTGTGACTCCTGGAATTGTTAAAAATGAAAAAATCTCAGAGCAAACAATCAGACGGAGATCTCGCCACATCAGGTACTCCACATCTCGTTATATAGTTGTTCTTCTTTCGTCACATTCTCCGATTTCGATTCGGAGGCGACCCACTTCGTCCGGTGGAACACCACTTCGTCCGATGCTGAGTGGGGCAGCCTTTGTCGCTGAACTGCACGATGGCCACCTGGACAGAGGACTTGGCTGTTTTCCACTCCCTGAAATCATCGCTAAAGACAGGCCCAAAGGGGTGGTTTTCGATCCACTTCCGTATTCATGTTCATGACTTGGGGAGTACAACGTTAAAACCAAATGACTTGGCTCACTGAAGGTCCCTGACTCCTATGCACAGCATGGATGAAGAACTTCCTCCCATTGAGCCCTGGCCCGAGGGCTTCAGACTCAAAAGAAAAAGATTACGACGACAATCCTTAACATTGGCTGCCACATTTCTCAAACATCCAAACATCGCCGTAGCCCACTGCTGTTCGATGACCCACCTTCCAGTTGCATCTCTTTACCTCTCTATTGCCCAACCCACCCGCCTCATTAAGACCCAACAGGCCCAACAAAAAACACTAAGGTACTCCAACAGCCGACCCAACTCCTCCACCAGGACGTCCGGTGCCTTCCTTTGCCCTTCCACCGACCCCCCTCGTCTTGCCCGTCTTTCACGGTCCGGACCGGTCCGAAGGACACCCTGGTTCCCCCCGGCGCGTCCAGGGCGCCGTGTTGGACGGCGCCAGCGCGCAGCGCACCAGCGCGCCGAAGCGGCCGAAGCGCTCGCGCAGCTCGGCGCCGGAGGCCGCCGCGGGCAGGTGCTTCACCTCGGACGGCCCGGTTGCGGCCGAGGCGCGGCCGAGGCGCAGTCGAGTGTGGGACGTCACCAGGTGAGGCTCCAAACCCGGAGGGGACGAAGTGAAGAAGCACCAGCAAGCGCACTTCGAAGAGTTTTTGAGGCTTTGGCAGGGGATCACTTTGCGTCTGTCACTTGAAGCTTCCTGAACCAATAATGTGAGAGAGAAGATTCGGAGGCTTCGCCAATGGTTGTCACTTTGGTCACTGCATCCGACTTCGGTTCAGAGGCTAGTGTATCACCACAAACCTCGATGCAGGTGGCAATCATCGAACCAGCTGGTTTTAATGCAAAAATTGGTTTCCAGAAGGAGTTCCTTGAAGGGCCGGCGAACCCTGCGCCGGCAGAGCCCACTTTATGCTGACATGTTCCTCTGCGATAAGAAAATCTCCACAGGTGGCCTCACCCAAAAAATCATCAGCGCCATGGCACAATCAGCGTGTCCTCTCGTCGCTTGGCATCCTCTGGCAGGATGGCCTTGCTGTTCGTCAGGGCGGTGCCCTTCTGTTTGAAGGCGTCCACTCGGATGCCCTCGCGCTGCAGCCAGGTCTTCCTCAGGGCGAGGAGTCGCTGCACAGACGTGGAGACCCTCGAGATCAATTGACAGCGCGTCGGGCTTGGTTTAGAAGACACTCTGACCCACTAACATGGAAGTGAAAAATAGATGAAAATAGGCCCCGGGAAGACCATTTTGCTCTAGGAACAGGAGGTGTCCATGTTAGTGAGTGGCGGGTGTATCTCATTGAACTACTGACTCTACTCCATAAGAAAGTCCGGGCACCTTGACAATTGGACCGGATGGAGGACAGCAGCATTCTTGACATCAGCCAAGTCACGTTTGCTGAATGATGGACGTCTCAGTGAGCGTGGCCGTCACCTTAGCACAAGGTGCACAGCCACAGTCCGAGACAAGCAGCAATGATTCTCTTTTTTTCCATCTTCCTCCCCAGCACAGATCATCCCAACACATCCGAAAGCTCATGGTCACTTATGGTCCCTTAGTGCTTTTTTTTGGGGCATCGCCTTCAAAAGTCCGACACACTTCTGCACCCCAGAGCTCCACACACCCCATCCGCTGGAACCGCAATTCTCGGAGGCACGGCCGCATTCTCCGCATCCTTCCCGAAGAGCTGGCTCTTGGCCACGCCCAGCTGAGCGCTGGCCGCGTCCGCCGCCGAGCTGGCGGAGACGTAGAGCAGGTTCCACGTGTGCTCCAAGTGAGCGTCGACCTTCTTCTTTCGTTCCTCGGGACGCGGGCGAACGAAGCCGACGACGGCGCCGTCACCGCGGCGGGCGAGACGGCGATGTTGCAGCGTGGGTTCCACGGTCCCGTCAGACGGGACGTGTGTGGCGCGGGCGTGTGACGGTGGCACAAAGAATGCACCATTGAGGCGACGCTAAGTGTTCCTCGAAAAGAAAGGCCTAGTAGATCAAAAGCATGAACGATCGGCAGATCATGTGGGATCAGCATTTCGGCAGAGTCGGTTTTTTGGAACGATGCCCTATCTAATTTAAAGATAATGAAGGTACAGTTCCTCTTGGCACCTCGACGTTGTGGGCCAAGGCGCTTCCAGTCGGCCTCAGCTGTGGGTCACCAAACCTCCAGACACATGGGCCTTGCAACAAAAGAGTCCTTGGCTCCAAGATTGCTAGGTTTCACCTGGATCAACCATCACCCATGTGAAACTTCCGTGCTGTATCTATCCAAGTGATGTGATATGAAAGCGTCCTCCTCATCTCGAGAGGATCTGACACCGAAAAGTGCAACACCCAAGTCGTCCCATGTCATTCAGCGCCCTGACATCCAAGCGGCGCTTGTAGGAGCTCGTCCCACCTTTTGCCTTCGGCGCATTGAGAATTCCAGATCTTTACACCCTAAGAGTCCGTCAGGAGATCAGGCATGTCCCACAAACAGGTACAGTACATTACAGTACCCCATGTAGAGAGAGTTGCAGTACTAACATCCTCCTTGACCGGCCGGTGGTGAGAGTGCTTTATTTGTGAAAGTCGGTCTGATGCCAAGCAGCACTAGAGCTGCATCCCAGACTCACCGTTCAACCTGGTCCTGGTCAAGCCGGGCCTTGGGTTCCGCCTTCTCGGGTTTGTCCGGCTTCTGCTTGGCCGCGCACAGGCGTAGGAGGCGGCCCTGGAAGGACTTCAGGTCCAGCTCGGACAACGCTCCTTGGTGAGAGGACACGTGGTGAGGAAGACTTGAGGCACAGCACACACCGCGGCCGCTGGGGACCTTCATGTCCTGGAGGCCCGTATCTGTGAAAAAAGGTGTGGATGGGGAGGACCTGCGCCCCGACCTCCAGTGGAGATCACTCCGAGGCGCAGTTTGACGGTAGTGGAGATCACTCCGAGGCGCAGTTTGACGGTCAATTAACGCCACCGGTGAGAAGATGAAATGGAACACAAAGCTGCTGGTGCTTGTCCTTTTGTTGTAACTGGAGGGTTAAATAGACAAAGCAGAAACAGATCGAAAGGGATATCGAACATCTAACGTCGCACAAGCCTTGAACGCCAAGCCTGGCCCGGCCACTTGCGCAGAAAGACGTGTGAACTCACGCCCTGCAGGCCCTGCATCTGCTTCATTCCAAGGATCTCACAGCACACTCAGGGAACCTGGGTGACCAAACGCTCGATATTGAATAAAGTGAGCCATCTATCTGGTGGCAAGAGAAGGCTTTCAGTGCAAATGTCTCTTCTAAACAGTCGAGAATAGCCTGAATATGCCTGAATCTGGTTGACCCTGGGACTTGCCCCGTGCTTTCGAGCTGCACATAAGTGACATAGCCAAATCCACGGGACTTTAAGTTGTCTTCATCCTCAAGAAGTGCTTGGGCAGGTTTGGCTTCACTTGAGTGAGGCAAACTAAAAAGCAAACTGCTACATGCCACGACTACTGAAACACCACGACCGACCGATGCTTGGTCTCCTTGCACACCACGACCGAGTCCACCTCTCCCAGAGTCTCAAAATGAGCACGAACTTCATCTTCACTGGCGCCATAGGGCAAATTGGTTATGTACAAGCCTCAGGTGATCTCATTCAATCTCGTCTCATTCAAACAACGCGCGTGAAGTCCACACAAGCACGGCCAAACCCGTGGCCACCTGGTCCTTTCCGGCATCTCCTTCCGAGCTGCGACCCGTGGACTCCAGGTCTTCCAGGTTTTGGGAACCTCGACCAACGAATCGATGACGTGGACGAAGAGTCGACCAAGTAAAACCGACCGACGGCAGGTGGGTGTGGACTCGGTCTTCGGTGGGCTGGAAACGCGGTCGAGTGTTTGAGGCGACCGTGGTTCTTGTTGCCACCGTTCTGGGATCCTTCTTGGTCAAGGGATTTGATAAAGGTCAATCTCGAGAAAAGAATCGTGTTGGAGAACCTGCAAGGCCCAGCATCTTTCGTCCTCGAAGATGCCTTCTGTGTGCGTGTGTGTCCCAATGTGATTTGCTGGGAAATCGATCACCTGCGAGGCTCTTGACGGATTTAAAAGGGACAGGGAAGAGCACGGGGCGGTGTAGCCAGTGCAGCGTAGCCTGCTAACCATTGGTGGCATGCATATTGCTCAATTTCGATCATCAAACTCCTCGACTATAGTGACGGACAATTCCTTAGAACAGCAATTTTTTTCAAAGTTGAAAACCTCCACACTTAGGACATCAGGTAAAACCCCACACTTAGAACAGAAAAGTTCGCAGCGGAACAACACCACACTTAGAACATCTTGGTGGATGCTATTGGTGGTGCAATTATGGAGGTACCTATGCAGTCACACATGCTTCTCAGTATTCTATAAAGTTCCTTGCTTGCACACATGTTGACTAAACAAAGTGACGGACAAATACTCAAGAACAAAAGTCCAAAAATGTTCTGAGTGTGGGGTTGTTCCGGGGTCAACTTGACATGTTATAAGTGCAAATTGGCATTGTTTGAAGTGTTCACTTAGAAGGAAAAGTTTTTCAAAGTTTTGTTCTAAGTATTCGTCCGTCACGATACACTCTTTGACCGGCGGCCTCCTCTGTTTTCACCTCCTAGAAAAGCCGTTGCAAACACTTCCAGACCCGCCCTCCCGGCGCCCGCCACGTCCGCCGCCTTCCGGCTCGCCCTCCTCCGCCGCCGCCGCGTCCGCCGCCGCCGCCGCATCCACCGCGGCCGCCTCGCTGGCAGCTGGGTCGGCGTCCGTGGCGGCGCTGATGCCTGGTCCGAGGGTCTGAGGCCGAAGGGAAGGCATCTGAGGTCGGAAGAACTAAGTGAGTTCTTCAAAAGTGTGGCGCCCAAAACGCCTGAGGCGCTAAAAACCCAATGACCAACAACCAGCCTTCAGCTTCCTTCTGTTTAGAGCCTTGGTTGCTTTAATTCTGCTCATCGGACAGGGATGCAGCCCGTTGCACTGGTGAAGCGCATTGGAAGCACCCACACATCAACCACACCATTCACACGGGATATTGTATTCTTTGGATGCCATCCACACGTGCGCCAAGCTGCGTTTTTTGCCTTTGGACCGCTTCTTTGGCGTTTCCATCTCTACCTGCTCCACCTGGACCTCTGCTGTCTTGGCGCCCTTTGCCTGAAAAGGTGCCACTGGGCCCGGATCTCTGTTCAAAAGGCCCCCCCATCCGGAACGAAACGAGCAAGAGGTTTGGTTCCTTTCTTGGCTTGAAGGTATGAGTCTCTCATACCTTGCCTTCACCTTCAGATAGGCCAAATCATCCAGTTCTTCATCGAAAGCAGGTCCAGACTCACCTCTCGTGGGTGGTTTTTTTTCCTTCGTCTCCTCATCACCTGCGCGATGCTGCAGGTTGCAAAGCAACATCTGAATGGTCAAGGAAAGACCCCAAAAAAGAAGCGATTCCAAAGATTTGTGAAAAGAAAACCCCTCCCAAAAACTAGAAAAGGAAAAACGCAACAAAGCCCTTGCAAGTACAAAGGTTTCGTGATGCTCGTGTTCAGGTGCCCTTGTCCATGCGCCAACCGGTTGCGCCCTCTGACTCAATCAAGCTACTGGACTCGAACTCGGTATGCCTCAGGTGACTCAGGTCGTCGTGAGTGGGGCATAAAACTCGCCCTTCGGTCGTGGTTGTGGTTGTGGGACAGACAAACAGACAGACAGACAGACAGACAGCCAGCCAGCCAGCCAGCCAGACAAACAGACAGACAGACAAACAAACAAACAAACAAACAAACGTTTTACGTTTCTCAACTGAGCTCCAATGCTTGACTGAACTGTGGCCAACCGATTGGATGAAACAGGGTGGTCGTTGCAGCCTCGCAACTTGGCCCACACAGCCCGACCAAAACCTGAAAGAGGTCACCATTCCAACCCATCGTTCATCTCCAAGGTGCATTCGGGTATCGCTCACGCCAGCTTTGGTGGGTTTGATGTTGGCCGTGCGAACCACTTTGGTTCCTTTGATGTTGACTCTCGCCATCCGCCTCTCACCTGAACCGGGACCCAGCCCAGCGGCGAACACACAGGCAACGGCGGCAATGGCGGCAACGGTGGCAACACCGCGTGGCATGCTACGGGGAGCGGTTTGGCAGTCTGCTCAGGACCCGCCGGTGTTGATAGACATCGCACGTTTTCAACGCCGACAACTTCACACCCATTTGCGCCTGCCGGTTCAGCAAGCACGTGTCTTGTGCCAGCCTCAGCACGGGGGAGTCAACACAGCAAAGCACCCTTCACGACAACCTGGTGGTGACTTCAAGCGGCCTTTCCATGAGCACCCTGTCCTTCGTCAGGTCCTGAAACATGCAAGACGCATGTAAACACGTTGATGAGTGGCCAGTGGCCAGGCACATGTCAGCGAAGTTCAATTCCAATGGATCTTATGGTTTCCAAGGTGTTAGTCCGGTTCCGCATGGGAAAACTTATGAAAATTTCAATGCAAAATGTCTACACGTGAGTTCCCACAGCTGTCCTCGTTCTCGGTGTGAGTTGTCTTTCTTGTTGGCTTTTCGTGCAGTTTTCTTCTCATAAGCCGATGAACCCGGAGCATACCTTGCCACGGCCCAAACCTCTTGTTGCACCTAACGTAACCGAGCAGCAATAACCCAAGAATCCTCCAAGTTGCTTGCTCCACGGGCGTGCTAAAGCGTCTGAGCCAGGGGCGTGTGCAATTTCAACACCTCAAGATGCATGCGTCTATGGTTTACAATTGGCATGATCACTGCCAGTGTGCACGCCAAACGGCTGATTTTGGACGTGTCAAAAAAGCTCCGGTTGAATTCCTTCACGGCGGTTTTCGCCTCTGTATCGTTCCTGCGGGAAAATCACACAAGCAAGCAGGGAACATGCTGCACATGCTGTACATTATGCTATGAGAATGCGGACGAGTTCCTGAACCCAATGAAGGCAAAGTTTCTGGAACGACCATCTTTTGTTTTCCTCAGGACGACTGCAACAACATTGGGCAAGAAACCCGCGGTCAAAACACTAACCCGCGATGCAGCTTGGAGACTGCACACGGCAGTCAGTGACCTCACCAACGGCGCCGAAGAACTCTTTCAGCCGGCCATCGGTCGCATGCTTCGGCAAGTTCTTCACAATCACGCGCGACGCCATTGGTGAACCAAGTCCGGGCACAAAAAATATCACGGGTGGGCCGGCGTCTATAAAGTTTTGAGTGTGCACTGAGCAACTGCCAGACAGGGAACACCGTTCTGTTTAACGTGCGGGCAGTTAGCCAAAAGCCGGCATGCTGCGGTTCAAACTGCGGATGCACACCGCCGATGCTCAATGTGCAGATTGGCGTGTGGTGCGGAAACTGTGAATTTGAGGATCTGGGACGCTGTTCGGACCCAAGCGGCTTAACATGGGCGAATCGGAGTTGCGCGTTCTGACAAACTATGCCTTCACAAAAATGGCCTCCGACTATGGCAAGCAACCGACCCCCCCAAAAAACCGAAAACCGCCAAAAAACCGAAAACCGGTGCTATCCCGCAGGAACCACTGCCATAGCACGTGACAAGCTGCCTCACCCGCACCTAGGCACAAAAATACATGTGTGACACTGTATAATAAGGTGGCCCCCAAAAAAGAAATGTGCTTCCACGATGTAAACGCCCTGGAAAATGCTAGCCCGTTTTGACCGTCGATGCTCTGGAAAATGTGAGCCCGTCGGCCCGGACCATTACAGAGTTGCAACACGTGGGTGTGCCCTTGAAATTTGCTCGCCCTGATCACCAAAAACATCCTGTAAACGCTCCAGGTCCTTGGCGGTTTGCTGATTCAAGCCACCCACCCACATCCAGTGGAAAATCCACCGCACCCCTTGTGATTGCATGGCTCAAGTACGACAATTTTAGGCAGCTTGTAATTCGATAAGTCGGCCACAGTGTTTATTAAGTGCGGGAGGTAGCAACCCCCTTCAACCAACAATGCTTTGTAGCAACGTCCACGACCAAGTTTCTTGGTACACTTCTCGGTTTGTCGCCGACTGGTGGCGATCAACCCTATGGCGCACAACGAAAGTGCGACACACGATCTTTTCTCTGAGGCTCGGACCCACCACTGCGGTATGCGTGGCTATACATGAAAGGACGGTGGCAAACAGCTCATGTGGTCATGTTCAGGTATGCGTGTCACCTCTAAACTCTCATCACCCCCATTCCTGAGTTGTTTGCCGGATGTGAAAGGCCAGCAGCTCTGTTCTGCCAGCTGTTCGATAGCTGCGAAGAAGGCATCTTCGTGTTCTCGAATTATCTTCTCCAGTTCCTTCTTGCGCACCTTGCGGTTCGACTCGAAGTTCGGGTCATGAACCAACTTCCAGCGTTGTCCTCGGGCCATGAAGGTCGCTCAGTGCCTGACCTGTTGTCCAGGTCAGATCTTTCCAGGTAGTTGGTTCGTTGCATGGAATAGCCATGTGCTTCCGTCTCGGCACCGAGCGAGCTTGTGGCTGAGCACGCCACTTCCATGAAGTCCCCCTGACCAGACATTTGGGTGAACATGGACTGCACAGGAGCCATGATCATCGCTCCGAGGAGTGCGGCTGTCACTGACATCTTCTTCGCCAATGATGGTGGAACCATGTTCTTGCTGCTGCTGCTCTGGTGCCCAAGCCGTGGGCGTGCTCTGCCACTCTACTGGATGCCCGCACGTGCCCAGCAGAGGAATGTGAATGTTATGGCCGGGTTCGGCCATTGGGTTCGCGGTGCACGCCGTGCTGTCGCGCTGACAGGTGGCGCAAGACGTGGCGCCGTGAGGGCTTGTGGTGCGTGACGTGTGGACGCCAACTGCATCCTGCCGTGGATTAAGGCCAGTGATGGTCTGGGCATCTGGCGACGCCCTGCTGCTGTGGCTGTCTGCTGCTTCCGGAGCCATTATCAGCTCCCTTGCCGCTCCTCTTCTCCTCGATCCTGATCCTCCCATTCGTCCTCGTCCGAGTGGATCATCATCACTTCCGCTCCGTCTGGGATCACTGGGGCTTCGCTGCCCTTCGCAGCTTCTTTGCCGCATAGGCCTTCTCCTGTTTGCTGCGCCATCCGCAGGGCCATTTCCTTCACTTCCTTCTCCAGGGCGCTCTCCTGCCGTCTTGGATTCGCTGGTGTCTTCTTGGGAAAGGGCGACGATGGCACTTCGGTTGGACTCATCTTGTCCTTGCTTGATGGGGCTGCCGTTGGGACTCCATCCATCCGACCATACTTCTCCACCCAAGGTCACGGTGGGAACTGTGTCCGGTGGAAATTCACGTTGCTCTGACGCGCGACGCTGAGCTCCAGCTACGGGAGATTGGGATGGAGTGGATGGAGGGCTTGGTGGGGGATCGCCAAGGAAGCCCCAGCAAGGTGGCTGTTGGGCGCAGCCCAGCAACCCCCACCAGTGTTTACTTCCGGTGAAGGACATGCCCATCGTTGCAAGCGGCGCCCGGGTGTGGGCGGCCGTCGTCTCGCAGAGAGGGCACAGGGGCGACATCGCAGCAGGGGGCTAAACCGCCTAGGCAGGCGCTGACGCGCGTTGAAAGTATGAGTTACGCATGGTTGAAAAAATCGGGCGAGAGCTTTCTCAGTGCCGGGTTGGTTTGCAAAATCCCCGTGGTTTGTTGGTTCGGGCAGGTTTTTGTTGTTTTTTGACATATATACATATTATCTATATACATGTAAATAAGCAACCAGTAGACTGCCAAGTATCTGGGCCTCCTTCTGCTGAGGTTGAAAGGGCGCAGTGAAGTGTGGCCATGCAAATCACATTGGAATAAAAAACGTTGAACAAGGGGAAAATGTTCACACGTCTTCGCGTCTTCGAATTGATGTTCACGGGCCCGCCCTGCGCGCACAATAAAACGAACAAAAATTCGAATCAATCTTGTGTCCTTGCCCCTTCGGCATAGTGAACACAGCAGTTTCTGAGCATAGGTACCGGTAAAAAAACACAGTGTGGTCACACTTGAAGGTTTTATTTGATATCATCATGTTTTTTGTTTCATGATTCATGACTGGTGTCTGCGTGGAACTTCCTGTCATGCTAAACCCAACGGGACATCAGTGCACCCACGCCATGGGCAGGAGTGGGGAGGGCAAACACAGCGGGCTGTGGTTTGCGCAAAGCATCCCTGCAAGCCTGAACCCTGCCGGCCCAAAAAAAGTAGGCCGTGAGCCGAGCGAAAGGCCACACGACAAGTCGGAGGAGAAAACACATCTTTCTGACGAAAGACAAAACCATTGACGCAGTATACTACCCTTCCAGAACAAGCGCTCCCGCTACGGACAGCCCATCGTAGGGCCACAATTGCAGAGGGACCGCCATGCCCTGTACTTGTTGGACGAAAGGGCGTGTGGTTTCTTAGTGTGCCACTTCTCCTATGGACTACTTGGTCTACAGTGAGCGCCGGAGGCCACATGTGTGTGTGTGTGTGTGCGTGCGTGCGTGCGTGCGTGTGAGCACTGACCAAATCAGAAAAGGGAAGCCTGGCGGACGCAGAGCCTGACACCGTTCCGGCACGTACTTGGAAACCAGCTCCAGTGTGCCACGCATTGGTGTTGCTAAGAAGAATTTCATCAAAAATGATCTGATAGTCTTTTCTCCCGAAAAAAATTCAACCTACATGTGTGTAACTGCTCAAAAATTATGCACGTGCCGCTGGACGTTGGCGCGTAGCGAGCTGCAGGCTTGACTGCAGGACCGAACTAGGGGGACCTGGTCAGCTTTCTTTTTCTGCATTCGCCCACCTCCAAACCCATTGCTTCTTCCTGGACAATATTTTTTGTCGGAAAAATCATACTGGCCTGTTATGGTCGGAGAATGAGTTTGGGTGGTGGGCTGTGGCGGGCAGGGGGGAAGTGGCCACGACGGTGATCCAAGGTGGTGTGTGCAAGGCGAAGGGGGTTGCCAGCACTGTGCACGGGGAGCCTTAAATATGTTTGCTTAAACAATTCCCTGCGTTGATTGCGTGCCCAGTTCGCCAAGCTGCGGAAACCAAACCGCGATGAAAACAGGCAACCTTTTTGCAACCCTCAGCATGCCCTCCGTTGTTTGTAGGGCTTAGCCCATTCCTGGACCTTATTGCGATGAATGGCGTGGCCACCACGTGCGTACATTTTTCGGGTGCCGATTTCGTTGTGGTTGTTTGGATTGACCGTGGCACTGGTACCTGCTCTTGGCCATTGCGGACAATTCCATGTCGTAGTTTCCATATCTTTGCCCATTGCGTTTGCTTCTTCCAGTCGCGCCGAAGATGGGTGTAAAGAAAGTTGTTGGCAATGACAGATACGCAAGCGAGTCAAATGAACCCGTTTTTTTAGCCAATCACGACAGAAAGTTGTTTGTTTCCCCTTTTCCACTCCTACATGTGCAGCCCTGTGGTGTGTGATCTTTTTTTGGAAACCACTTCCCCAATATATAACTAGGGCTACAAGGGTAACAACGGGGATGTCCCCTTTTTGTCACATGCTCTTCACTTCCAGTTGTGTGGTTTGGACTTGGCTCCCTGCCCTCGTGCTGCACCAGTCCTTCAAGAATGAGCGGGCTGCTCCGCTCCCGGAGTTCGCGTTTTGCTGGCCGTGCTCAGGCCGCAGGCCGGCTCACACACAGCTGGCTGGTTGACTGCCATCCCCATGCATGGCACACACCGCTCTCCACACAGTTGCTGGCCGTGTTGCGCTGCTGCTGGTGGGGCCTCCTCAGCGCGCGCCCTGTGCCCTACGCTCTTTGGGGACGATTTGCCGCGCAGTCAACGAAACGAACTGCGAAACCAAACAGAGCCAGATTACCACTCCGGCATGCAATCAGGGCGCATAAGCTGCGGACATTGGCGCACGTGAAAGGGATTAACATTTTGCCAAACCTTGCCGGCTAAACATTGGAGATTCAGGTGGCCAATGCTCCACGCGTGCGATGCGCACAGGAATCAACAAGTTTTTGCCGTTTTCGCATCAAAAGTGGCCTCACAGCAAACGACTGGAACCATGTTGGCATGCAAACCCCCTGGGCGTCTCGACCTTCGTTTTGGGACGGCCCCCCCTTTGTTTGATCAGCCGCCCCAAACGTGCGTGTGCGGCCTGGGAGAGGGCAGTTTTGAAGCAGGTCTTTGTGAATTGTCTGGTGTTTGCACTGCGTTGGGTTCTGGGAACGCCCTGGTGCACGACATGCCGGGAGCATAACAAAGAAACGCTTCACCCACAAAGTTTCCGTGGCGAAGGCCACCTCAG